CTGCTGTAGCTGAATGGTGGAGCTAAACTGCTGTAGCTGAATGGGTGGGGCTAAACTGCTGTAGACTGAATGGGTGGGGCTAAATTGCTGTAGCTGAATGGTGGGGCTAAACTGCTGTAGACTGAATGGGTGGGGCTAAACTGCTGTAGACTGAATGGGTGGGGCTAAATTGCTGTAGCTGAATGGTGGGGCTAAACTGCTGTAGACTGAATGGGTGGGGCTAAACTGCTGTAGCTGAATGGTGGAGCTAAACTGCTGTAGCTGAATGGTGGAGCTAAACTGCTGTAGCTGAATGGTGGAGCTAAACTGCTGTAGACTGAATGGGTGGGGCTAAACTGCTGTAGCTGAATGGTGGGGCTAAACTGCTGTAGACTGAATGGGTGGGGCTAAACTGCTGTAGCTGAATGGTGGGGCTAAACTGCTGTAGACTGAATGGGTGGGGCTAAACTGCTGTAGCTGAATGGTGGAGCTAAACTGCTGTAGCTGAATGGTGGAGCTAAACTGCTGTAGCTGAATGGTGGATATATGTAAATGTGTTGGTTTTTGTGACATCACAAAACAGTGCATTGAAAACGGGCTGTTTGTGCAGTTCAGTTTCTGTATATAGACTGAATGTGCTGGAGAGTGAACAGTAGAACTCGGGTTCTCCGACACTGAAAACATAACAAAAACAAGTACACCACCTTCAGCAGAACCCCCCCACACTGTCTCCACTCATGTGTGTGTGTGTTTTGTGTGTGTGACGTCAGGTCCAGTGTTTGCTGAGGTTATTTAGGTGAAAGACTCTCCGCGCTGACCAATCAGAGCACAGAGATTAGAGTATGATCCAATCACAGGCTGCACTATCGTCATTGGACCGGTCAGCGCAAACTTTAGACCATTAGACCTGTTGTTAAACTCAGGGGAGGACAGCGTGAGGACACTGAGGACGTCAGCTCATTCAGCTCCTCACTTCACTGCTCATCACTGTTCATACATATCTAGAACCTTCCTCAGAATCACCTTATTATGAGGAACACAGATGGGAGGTTATTAAGATCAGGTTCTTTCTTCAGTAACACTGGAATTAGAGACTCAGCTTTAAATGATTAAGAGTAAAGTTCTCCGAATTCTCATTTTTCAGTTTTGCTTTTCAGTCAGGTCAGTAATTAAAGGTGGGCGATATGGCAAAGAAATAATATTGCGATACTTCAGGAAATTTTCACGATACACGATATGTCAAAATATTTAATGATCAGAGGAAAAAGAACATTTTAAAAATACTATCAAAAACTGTGATCAAACAGTGATTTTATTCAATATTTGGCTCTAAATCCAGTTAAACGGATTCATTTTTCTCTCTTTATAATGAAACGTGCAGTTGGTCAGTGTCTACAGGCACTGATGATATACATGATATGCTTAGCATACTGTATTGTATTGTGACATAATTTATCAGGATAACAGTATATATTTCCATATTGTCCAGCCCTGTAAATAAAATAGAATATGTTCCATATTTCCCCACTCGCTCATCCCGTCACGCATTCTCTCCTCTAGATGTTCCCTGACGGATGACTGTGGCATCGCTGAGCTTCACACTGACAGCCTCCTGTCAGGATGGAGGCTTAAGACCCTCACAAACTGGACGCGCCACGTCGCACAGTACAGCATCTCATAGCGTCATGTAGCAGAGCGCTGCTGCAGAACCTCTGCAGGGAGAACCCAAAAATGGCAGGTTCCAGTTCTTTTTTACACTCTACTCATATAAACTGAGTGAAATAAAGTGTTCATCGTCTCATCAAACTCAGTATTGGTTAACTGGCTCCACACAGTCTGGCTGTTTACGAGCAGAAAAAGGCCAGGCTAGTAATGCTAGCTGAGCTAACTTAGCATTAGCATCTCTCTGTTTATCTAAAAGACTGGCTGATTTTCTCTGTGCACAATTAAAGCCTCAGGTGATCCACTGAGGCGCTGTGAGGCAAAATAGTCCCCAAAGAAAACTTATTATTTCCGATTTTCCACTATTTTCCATCATCAACATTCATATAAACTCAGAAGACTCGTGTAGGTTCACTGGTGGTTCTGGATAGTAAATAAAATGTCTATATTTGTGTTGTAGTCATGGCGACCACTGGTTCCTATCACCACCACTGTAAAGACCTCTGAACCATTTCACACCAAACCGCTCTGAATCACTCTGATTACCTCACACACTGAGTTATGGGGAATTTTGAAAAATTCATGTAAGTATAACTGTAAATGTGGAGCACTGTGGTGATGCAGGTTCTAAATCAGACTGAATTTTACAGTGTTAAATTCTGCCGTTATTCCGGTGTGTTTGGGGTGTTGGGAATGCCGTGAGGACTGAAACATGCTCCTTCATGTGGTTTCCTTTCTGGGCCAGTGCTGCTCTGCGGGTTTGGCTCATTAAGTCGATCCTGTGGGCGAGGCGTGGAGCGGAAAGGGCTGCGGAGCGCGCCGGCCCCAATCCCATTAAAGGCATGACGCTGGGTGTCTGTGAATAGACTCTGCACACGCAGGGCAGGAGAGGCAGGAGAACCCACTGAGAACATCCTTTTTCCATGTGAGAGAGGAGGAGAGATCATTTCTCCTGCTTAACGCCAAGTGTGGGGTCCAGCCTCCTGGTTACCGCACGCTCGTACGACAAAAGCAGGCGAGAACCAGATGAAGAACGTCCACCACTGCACCATACAGAGTCTGATGTCTTAGTCAGTGGAATCATCTTGAGTTTAGTCAGAACATCTAATATTCCTGATTATGGGATTGTTACCCTTCTGAGCTCTGAGGTCATTCTCTCTCCATTTGTTCATATCTTCTTAAACTCTCCTTTAAAGGCTCTTCATATATCATGATCCTCATATGTTTCATATCTAAATGCTCCGTTATCTTCATCACTACTTTCCAAAACCGCTGCAGCAGCTTCAGCAGCTGTAAACTCTCTGCACGCCGTTTCACATGAGTCTCCGATGTGGACTGAATGAAGAATGAAGGGTTTCCGGCGTGATGGTCAGTCCTTAGTGATTTCCTGAGTGTCCATTGGTCAGTTTCACACAGAATGTAGACGGACACACCAATCCACCAGTTCCACACGGTGAGAGGCAGATGGCGTGTATCTCAGCCCCTCTTCATAGGCTCATAACTCCAGATGTGAAAAACAATAAAGAATCATCTAAATTCACAGCGTATTGGTGTATAATTGGCTGCATTTGATACCTGAAGGTTCTAGATAGTGTCTTGCAACTTCTGGAGTTTATTGCATTGGAGCCAATAGATTTTTAATAAGTAACTAGAAAAGTACATTTCCTAAAGAAAATGCAGTGTGATTGTGCAGTTTAGGCAGTTGCTAGGTGGTTACTAAGGTGTTGCTGCGGTATTTTAGGTGATTTCAAAGATGTTGCTAGGTGGTGGCTGTGGTATCTCAGGTGATTGCAAAGTGGTTGCTATGGTATCCCAGGTGCTTGCTAAGATATTGCTAGGTGGTTGCTAGGGGGTTGCTAGGGGTTGCTAGGTGGTTGCTTGGGTATCCCAGATGCTTGCTAAGATATTGCTAGGTGGTTGCTATGGTATTTCAGGTGGTTGCTAGGGGGTTGGTAGGTGGTTGCTATGGTATCCCAGGTGATTGTTAGGGTGTTGCTAGGTGGTTGCTATGGTGTCTGAGGTGGTTGCTAAGGTATTTCAGGTGGTTGCTAGGGGGTTGCTAGGGGTTGCTAGATGGTTGCTTGGGTATCCCAGATGGTTGCTAAGATATTGCTATGGTATTTCAGGTGGTTGCTAGGGGATTGGTAGTTGGCTGTTATGCTATCCCAGGTGGTTGCTAGGGGTTGCTGGGTGGTTGCTATGGTATCAAAGGTGGTTGCTAGGGCGTTGCTAGGTCATTCCAGGTTGTTGCTATGGTTCCTCACACAGTTAATAGGGTGTTGCTAATGGACTTGTATCAACATGACATGACTATTCAGTCTTAGAAGCTGGTTGATGATTTTCTGAAGTAATCAAACACATTCAGTGGTGTTGAGGTCTGGACTCTGGGGTGGTCAGTCCATCGTTCAGCTTCTTTGTTTGATGTGTCCGTCTCCTTTTCTCAGTGAGGTTCTTCTTGATCAGCTACACATCCTTTCAGACCCACAGCGCTGAGTCGTCTTCTCACAGTGGAAGGATGGACAGAAACACCTGTGGATGTTTTCAGATCTGAAGCAGCTTGATTTTCTCCTCTCTCTCAGAGATGAAAGCTTTAAGTGCTGTTTATCTGATGGGGGCAGTTTTGGGGTCGACCAGCTCTTCCAGGTGGTTGTTAGGAGACACATTTTCTCTGGAGCTTTTAATCAGATTTAAACTCCAGTTTTTGAAACATCACCTATTTTCCTTTAACATTTTCCTTCATTATGATTGTACACTCTAAAAAGATGGTTCTTCAAGGGTTCTTTAGTGAAAACAATGCTTAAAAGGTTCTCTGCATGGTGAAATGGTTCTTCAGATTAACGGAGAATGTGTTGTATATGGTTCTATACATCACCAAGAAGGCTTCTGCTATTGTTACAAGCTTCAGATCGGAAGAACCATCGTTTCTAAGAGTGTAAATGATCTTATATCTATTCTCCTCTCAAATATCTCCTGAGAAATGAAGAAGTTGTGCTGAATGACCGTTTTGGAGGAGAACACCATGATGAGACGTCCACTCCTGGCTCAGACTGGCCACTTCATTGGGAACATGTGTCCAGAACCCGTGAGGGTCAAGCAGGTCAAGCACTGGACTGACCCAGAAGTCTGAAAGCGTGGTGCTCTCTGTTCATTCATGGGCTCATGATCTCAGACTCCTCCTCCTCACAGTCAATGGTCCCAGACCTCTAAGTCTAATGCACCTCCAATTCCATTAGCCGGCTAATCTCGGCAGTGTGGCGCAGCACCGGCTTGGAGCTATCCTTGATTGCTTAATCTGTAGTTAGAAACGCTTTACCGCGAACTGCCTGCGCAACACTTCCTGGGCTCCGGGGGTCTCGGCCATGGAGGACAGGCAGAGCGGCAGCAGACGCTCCTCGGCTCAGTACCAGTCCTCTCCGGACACGCCCTGGAGAGCCATGGTGGAGTACCTGAAGAACGTCCTGCACAACACGGTGTCCCTGAAGGTCCGGGAGTGGGTCAAGGACTACTGCAGGAAGAACGGCCTGCTGACCCTGTCCGTTCTGGCCGTGGTGACCGGCTGCGTGGTGGGCTTCATGCTGAGGAGTCTGAACTTGTCCACTCAGGTAATCAGCTGTTTCAGTACTGACTGTACAGGTAACACTGTATTATGAGGATCACAGACTGGGGTCTTGATCTCTGTTCAATAAAGCGGTTCTAAATGGTTTTAATGGATCAAGACCTGAATTAGGATATTATTGAATTCTGTGATGTGAGAATCACTAATAATTTACTCATTAGTTGCACAATAAATACATTTATGAGCTGTATTACTACATTAATTAGAGATCTGTTACATTTCTGCATCATTTGCATCATTAGTTGTAACAATTTTAGACTTAATAAGACTTTTATAAGGCATTAATACTTCAAGATGTGTTTTTATCACTAATTAGAGCCTAAAAAGCACTAAACAAGCACTCAACAGGTAAATCTGTGCTTCTTTTAATAAAGTAAAGATGATTTTGTACCATCTTGGTAGCCAAAACATTCAATGTATGAATATTTTAGGTTATTTACAACTAAATGTGAATAAATAACAAACAATAAACAAATGAGCTTTATTTATTATGAGCTGTGTTAGTAGATTAAGTGGAGGCCTGTTATGTAAGAATCACTAATAATTGCCTAATTAGTGGTAATAATGTACAATAAATAAATTAGCTTTATTCTTTGTGAGCTGTATTAGTACATTAATCATAGGTCTGTTATGTTTTTGCATCATTTGCATCATTTAATAAGTCATTAACACATCAAGGTGTGTTTAAAAGAATTTTAATCACTTAGAGCCTTAAAACTCTAACAAGTCAATTTGTGTCCTTTATTGTAAAGTAAAGATGATTTTGTGCCATTTCGGCAGCCAAAACATACAAGTTGGGAATATTTACAACCAAATGTGGATAAATAATACAATGAACAAATTAGCCCTATTAAGTATGACTTAGATTAGAACATATTAGAGTCTTAGAACACAATTTGAAGGCCTGACGGTGAAAATCACCGCTGAGCTGATCTTTACTTTAGAATTTGGGACACAAACTGATTGTTTACTGCTTTTAGCCTCAAAGTAGTGATGATTAAAACTCTTATTAGCTGTGAAGTAATAAACACCGTCTTAATGAAGTGTTTATTGTGCATTATTACAGCTAATAGTGTGATTATTTGATGAAACAGGCCAATCAGAGCGCAGAGTAACAGTTCATAGTGATTAAAGCGTTTAGAAACGTCTGATTAAGGTCAAATGTAAGCTTTATATGTACATATATACGTTTGGACTGTGCTGTGAGTGAAATGACCAATCAGAGCGTCCGATGAGCTCCTGTGGAAGTTTTGACAAATGACGGTCAATAATTTTAAATAATCTGTAAACATGTTAAATTACTGATTCATCAATATATAAATCACAATCTCAGTCTTTATTATTATGATATTTTGTCTGCACTTTTAGAAAAGATGGTTCTTTAAGGGTTCTTTTGTAAAGACAATGGATCTCTATAGAACCTTGAACACGTTGCATGCTTAAATGGTTCTCTGCATGGTAAAATGGTTCTTCAGATTGATGGAGAATGTGTTGTATATGGTTCTATACAGCACCAAAAAGGGTTCAATGTCAAGCTTGTGCCAATAAAAGAACCCTAATTGGTGCTACATAGAAACCTTTTAGAACCATCTACAACACAGTCTCCATCAGTCTGAAGAACGATTTCACCATGTAAAGAACTGTTTGATCATAATATGGATCTGTATGGAACCTTTTTGAAGATAGTTCTATGTAGCACCTGAAAGTGTTCTGCTATCGTTACAATAGTATACAATAGAAGAACCCTTTTTGGTGCTATATAGAACCAGAAGAACTATTTCACCATGCAAAGAACCATTTAAGCATGCAATGGTTCTCTGAGAGTTCATGGTTCAATAAACCCATTGTCTTTACTAAAGAATCCTTGAAGAACCGTCTTTTAGGAGTGTCTCAGTGGATAGTGAGGCCTCAGGCGTCTTCAGCTGGATCAGCAGAAGAGTTAAAGAGTCATAGAGTTTTACTGAAGCTCCGAGTTAAAGAGTCGTAGAGTTTAATGAAGCTCTGAGTTAAAGAGTCATAGAGTTTTACTGAAGCTCTGAGTTAAAGAGTCGTAGAGTTTTACTGAAGCTCCGAGTTAAAGAGTCGTAGAGTTTAATGAAGCTCTGAGTTAAAGAGCCGTAGAGTTTAATGAAGCTCCGAGTTAAAGAGTCGTAGAGTTTAATGAAGCTCCGAGTTAAAGAGTCGTAGAGTTTAATGAAGCTCTGAGTTAAAGAGTCGTAGAGTTTTACTGAAGCTCCGAGTTAAAGAGTCGTAGAGTTTAATGAAGCTCCGAGTTAAAGAGTCGTAGAGTTTTACTGAAGCTCCGAGTTAAAGAGTCGTAGAGTTTAATGAAGCTCCAAGTTAAAGAGTCGTAGAGTTTTACTGAAGCTCCGAGTTAAAGAGTCGTAGAGTTTAATGAAGCTCCGAGTTAAAGAGCCGTAGAGTTTAATGAAGCTCCGAGTTAAAGAGTCGTAGAGTTTAATGAAGCTCCGAGTTAAAGAGTCGTAGAGTTTAATGAAGCTCTGAGTTAAAGAGTCGTAGAGTTTTACTGAAGCTCTGAGTTAAAGAGTCGTAGAGTTTTACTGAAGCTCTGAGTTAAAGAGTCGTAGAGTTTAATGAAGCTCTGAGTTAAAGAGTCGTAGAGTTTAATGAAGCTCTGAGTTAAAGAGCCGTAGAGTTTTACTGAAGCTCTGAGTTAAAGAGCCGTAGAGTTTAATGAAGCTCCGAGTTAAAGAGTCGTAGAGTTTTACTGAAGCTCCGAGTTAAAGAGTCGTAGAGTTTTACTGAAGCTCTGAGTTAAAGAGTCGTAGAGTTTTACTGAAGCTCTGAGTTAAAGAGTCGTAGAGTTTAATGAAGCTCTGAGTTAAAGAGTCGTAGAGTTTTACTGAAGCTCTGAGTTAAAGAGTCGTAGAGTTTTACTGAAGCTCTGAGTTAAAGAGCCGTAGAGTTTTACTGAAGCTCTGAGTTAAAGAGTCGTAGAGTTTAATGAAGCTCTGAGTTAAAGAGTCGTAGAGTTTAATGAAGCTCTGAGTTAAAGAGTCGTAGAGTTTTACTGAAGCTCTGAGTTAAAGAGTCGTAGAGTTTAATGAAGCTCTGAGTTAAAGAGTCGTAGAGTTTAATGAAGCTCTGAGTTAAAGAGTCGTAGAGTTTTACTGAAGCTCTGAGTTAAAGAGTCGTAGAGTTTTACTGAAGCTCTGAGTTAAAGAGTCGTAGAGTTTTACTGAAGCTCTGAGTTAAAGAGCCGTAGAGTTTTACTGAAGCTCCGAGTTAAAGAGTCATAGAGTTTAATGAAGCTCTGAGTTAAAGAGTCGTAGAGTTTAATGAAGCTCTGAGTTAAAGAGTCGTAGAGTTTTACTGAAGCTCTGAGTTAAAGAGTCGTAGAGTTTAATGAAGCTCTGAGTTAAAGAGCCGTAGAGTTTAATGAAGCTCTGAGTTAAAGAGTCGTAGAGTTTAATGAAGCTCTGAGTTAAAGAGTCGTAGAGTTTTACTGAAGCTCTGAGTTAAAGAGTCGTAGAGTTTAATGAAGCTCTGAGTTAAAGAGTCGTAGAGTTTTAATGAAGCTCTGAGTTAAAGAGTCGTAGAGTTTAATGAAGCTCTGAGTTAAAGAGTCGTAGAGTTTTACTGAAGCTCCGAGTTAAAGAGTCATAGAGTTTAATGAAGCTCTGAGTTAAAGAGTCGTAGAGTTTACTGAAGCTCTGAGTTAAAGAGTCGTAGAGTTTTACTGAAGCTCTGAGTTAAAGAGTCGTAGAGTTTTACTGAAGCTCCGAGTTAAAGAGTCGTAGAGTTTAATGAAGCTCTGAGTTAAAGAGCTGCGTTTTCAGATGTTTATTAAAAGTGAGCTCTGAGCTCGACTGTCTAATAAAAGCTGAACTGAGCTCCACAGTTTAGAAGCAGAATAACTGAAAGAGTCTCTCCACGTTTTCTGTGTTTTACTGAAGGAGTTCAGAAGGTCAGAATCTGCAGATGAATGTGTGATAACTGTGTCATCAGCAAAGCTATTAGAATTGATATCATGTTCCCTAATGACATCAGCTAGAAGTAACATGTACAAAGAGAACAGCCAAGGCCCTAAAACTGAACCCTGTGGGACGCCACAGGAAATGTTCAATGTTTTATGTGTTGAAAATGTGTTAAAAATATCAGTGGTGTTGATGGGAACCAGGGGTCGCCATGACTACAACACAAATGTAGACATTTTATTTACTATCCAGAACCACCAGTGAACCTACGAGTCTTCTGAGTTTATATGGAATGTTGATGATGGAAAATAGTGGAGAATCTGAAATAATAAGTTTTCTTTGCTGTGAAAATGGTATCTCGTCCAGTGATATTATCTTAAATCTAGTCAATGTGGCTAATATTCCTCATTTGGAGATGGTTGTAGGAATATTATGGTCATTTAATCTGTTTCCAGACGTTTGTTCCTTGTTTTAGTAACTTTACTGAGTGAAACTGTCTCTGTATTGGCAGATAATTCTGCTTGTTGTAACTGAGATCACTTCACTGAATAAAATAACCTGAAACAAGAACAGAACATCTAGAAATACGTTAAATATTCTTAATATTCATACAATCATCTCTAAATAAGAAATATCACACATTTAGACTGGATAAAACTGGATAAAATATTTAATAAATCAAATATTTCTTGTGTTGAGATTGTTGTTAGCTTATTTTAGGATGACTTATTTTTAGACATTATTTACTCTTTTTAAGTCATTTTAAGTGAAATTATCTTAAATCTAGTGAAGATATCTAATATTTCTCCTGTTAAGAGTGTTTTAGCTTATTTTAATATCGTTTAATTTATTTCTAGACATTATTTAAAGTTTTAAGTAAAATTATCTCTACTTCAGTAGATCATTTTGATTGTTTTACGAAACGTTTGAAATGAAGACATTTTTCTGCCAATATAGTGAGAAAATTTGACTCAATAAAATGAGCTAAAACAAGTAAATAATGTTTAGAAATACGAAAGTTAATCTTACAATAAGAGCACAACGTCTCAAAATGACATATATTAGACATAAGTGAACAGACTGATATTACCCACATTATTAAAGTGTTTTTAGAAGAGCGAAAACCTCTTAACTCTGCTCAAATATCTAATATTTCTCTTTATGATGCTGCTGTATGAATATTATATGATTATTTAACTGTTTCTGTTCATTTTTATTTGTTTGAAGTTGTTTAATCCAGTGAAAGTGTCTGATTCTGTTAGCAGGTCACTGAACGTGTTTCAGGAAATGATGCTTAAAATGAGTAAAATGATCTGCTGACAGAATAAAACACTTAATAAGATAAAATTACTTACACACTCAAAAAGATGGTTTTCCAAAGGTTTTTTACTGAAGACGGTGGTTCTTTAAAGAGCCAAGAACACTCAAAGAACCCTTTGCATGCTGAAATGGTTCTCTGCATGGTGAACTGGTTCTTCAGACTGATGGATAATGTGTTGTAGATGATTCTATATAGAACCTTTTTTGAAAATGGTTCTCTATAGCACCAAAAAAGGTTCTGCTATTGTTATGATACAAACTTGTATACAAAAGCAGAACCCTTTATGGTGCTATATAGAACCATTTTCAAAAAGAGCATGCGTGGTACATGGTTCTGTGTAGCACCAACAAGGGTTTTACTATTGGCACAAGCATGACATCGTAACAACAGAAGAACCCTTGTTGGTGCTACATAGAACCATATACAACACCTTCTCCATCACTCTGAAGAACCGTTTCATCATGCAGAGAACCATTTATTCATGCAAAGGTTCTTTGAGTGTTCATGGTTTTATATAGAACCATTTCCTTCACTAAAGAACCAGCTTTTTTCAGAGTGTAGAACAAGTAAAAAGCCATAAATTAGCTAAATAACTGTGAAACAGCCTCAGTGAGAAACACTGGCTGAACTGGCTGAACTGAAGATGTTCCTCCAGAAACAGCAGTAAAATTAAAAAACAGACAAATTTCACTTCAAAACTTCAACTTCAGATCCTGAAACTCTGAGTTTTTGTTCTGCTTTTACTTTAGAATCAGTTTCATTAAAAATCTGATCTGGGTGTTTAAAAACGTGTCCTTATCTGATCAGAACGTTCTCAAACACCACGTTCTCCTCCTCCAGGCCAAGATCTACTTCTCCTTCCCGGGAGAGCTGCTGATGAGGATGCTGAAGATGCTCATCCTTCCTCTCATCACGTCCAGGTAGCCTCTCCAACCCACTACACCCACCATGTTCCACACTCTTCAGTAAGATGGTTCTTCAAGGGTTCCTTAGAAATGGAATGGTTCTGTTTAGAGCCATGAGTTCTGTGTAGAACCATTTGCATGCTTAAATGGTTCTCTGCATGGTGAAATTGTTCTTCAGATTGATGGAGAATGTGTTGTACATGATTCTATACAGCACCAAAAAGGGTTCTGCTATTGTTACAATGTCAAGCTTGTAAGCTTGATCCTGTATAGAACCCTTTTCAAAAAGGGTAGAACCATACACAAACACATTCTCCATCAATCTGAAGAACCATTTTACCATCCGAAGAACCATTTCAGCATGTGGTTCTATATAGCACCTTTTTGAAAATGGTTCTATATAGCACCAAAAAAGGTTCTGTGTCAGGTTTGTATACAATAGAATAACTTTTTTGGTGCCATATAGAACCACTTTCGAAAACATTCTATATGGAACCATACATAACCCATCCTCTGTCGATCTGAAGAACCACTTCACCATGCAGAGAACCATTTAGGCATACAAATTGTTCTATATAGAACTCAGTGCCTGAAACAGAACCAGTCCCTTTACCAAAGAACCCTTGAAAGAACCACCTTTTTATAGTGTGTTTGTACGGTGACAGTATACAGTTTTAGACGTTCTCATGTTTTGTTTTGTAGAACTTTAAATCACAGTGGTTTCATTTTTACGCTGATGTAGAGAAACACAGTGAAAACTGAGCTCAGATCAGATTAATCACTGCAAAAAACAGTGAAAGGAACTTTAAATCAGCTCTAAACATCTGATACTCCTCACTAAGGCTGCGTTCACATTACCAGGCTGAAGTGGCTCAAATCTGATTTTTTGCCCTAATGTGACGCAGATCTGATGTTTTCAGAGCTGTGTGGACACAAATCTGATCTTTTCAAATCCGACCTGAGTCACTTTCATATGTGGTCCTAGATCAGATACGTATCCGATTCGTGGTCATACGACCTTAATGTGACGCTCAGATCAGAATTCATGTGTTTTTTCTCCACTGCGCTGCGCCATCATTCAGCGTTACCATGGCAGCAGCGCCGAACAGAAGTTAAAGCCTGTAAACAGTGGAAAAGCAGCTCATCTCACCTTTTTCTCCTTCGTCTCGCTCTAATAATGAAGCTGAGAGCTGATCAGAGTTAATTATCTTCTCAGCGAAGCTCGTTCTGCTCGTTAGTTTGTGCTGATGATGAACGTGATTCATTCACGTGACGTTACTGAGTAGGATGAGCTCATGAGGGTCATTTCAGGACGCTGGTTCGTCACATTAATGACAGATTTGAATCGCTTACCTAAACGAGTGTGAACCATCATGTTAGAGAAATCGGATTTGAGAAATGAGGCTTGTAATGTGAATGCAGCCTCTGAGACTGTTGTGAGAACACGGTAAGACTCACTAAGGACTGACCGTCACACCGGACACCCTTCACTCTTCGTTCAGTCCACACTCTGTAAAACTCACAGCACGTCTTAATGAAAGAATTAAGTCAACACAACTTAAATAGTACAGAAAGTCAAACTAACTCAAACTCAGAAATGAACTGTTGAGACAGTAACTCAGTCATTCTGAGTGAGAATATTTATTTAACTGTATTTTATTCACTATTTTTGTTTAACTTGACTTTACATGCAAATTCAAACAGGCCAATAACGGGTTGTTTTTGAAGACAATTCATTGTGGCTTAATATGATACACTGTAAAAAGTGTCTCGTCAGATCTACTTCTGAAAATGAAATGAAAAATGACTTTGTGTGGAAACAAATAAACATGAACTAGTTTTATTCAGCCTAAATAAATACTCTGAATGAGTGATTTTCTCAATCAGTGTAGTTTTTAAGGTGAATAAAACTGGTTCAGCTGCTTGAAAACTACATGAAGTAGTTTTTTTAAGCAGATCTGAAGAGACACTTTTTACAGTGTAGACATAAATGTTTACATTTAACTGATTTGGACTTTCATGCTTTTTTCATAACTTTATTTTGATGATTTTAGACTCAAAGATTCCGTCAAACAGGATCTCTGAGTTCAACAAACTTAGTGCAGTTCAGTTTAGACTCTCAGCTTTACTTGATAAATGTTTGGTCACTGCAGCCTTCTTGAGTAAAACTCATTCCTATTGGCTCTTAGTACCATATATTTACATAATGGGCGTGTCTCTTCACCATCTGTGTGTTGTCATTCTCCTCAGCCTATCTTTCCCTTGTGTTGACTTATCCACTTTTGTGATTTGAGTCCATGAGTACTGTTTAATCATCAGTGTGAAGAACTGAGTTATTACGTTCCTCTCTGCTGAGTGGGGTTCTATGGTTCTATGGTTCTATGTGGCTAAATGCTACAGAGACAACATCTGGACTGAGCTGTTACCATTCAGTCAGGTGGTCTGGAGTGACATTAAGTTGGATAAGACATTGTTATAGATGTCTTATCATGTCTCTGCAATGCAATATGAATTTGTATAGATGATGGTCTAGTTTAGCCTAGCAGTGAATTTAAATTACAATAGCTTAATTATTGAGTTAGAACAGCTTAATCATAAGTCCCAAATAATCATTTTAATATCAACAAAACAAACGGGGGTAGAACACTTTACTCCATTTACTGAAGTGTATATAGCAATAAACATGTCGCTGCTGTCGAAAGGAAACTCATCTCCATTTTTCAGTTTTTGAAATAATTTGAAAGTGTCTGTTTCTCTTTACATTGTGTGTAAATTTCATGATGAATGAACCAAAAGAAACAGACAAAAGTGTCTGGTTCCATTGACTTCCATTAACAGTTAAGTGTGTTTTTTCTTCTCCTGTAAAGTTACCATATAGACATACGAGGTTTTGTTCTGACAGCAGTGACATGTTTTGTTCATACTCAGTTCAGGTAATTATGTTAAATGATTTGAGTTATTGAACGTAAAACATTGGAGCTAATCGGTTTCCTCGAATCATTTGAGTTGACTTAAGTCATCAGGTTCTACATTCTGCATCGCAGACTCATGTGAAACGGCGTGCGGGGAGTTTACAGCTGCTGAAGCCAAAACCAGTAATAATTCATTTTTAAGCTCTTTCTGTAACAAATACAGTGACTAAGCCATTTTGTGTGCAGTTTAATGTCCGGTCTGTCGGCCATGGACACCAAGGCCAGCGGGCGTCTGGGTCTGCTGACCATCACCTACTACCTGTGGACCACCTTCATCGCTGTGATTGTGGGGATTATCCTGGTTCTGGTGGTCCATCCTGGGACAGGAACCGAGAAGGAAGGACACAGAGCCTCGGGGGGGCCGGTCATGACCTCCGCAGATGCTCTGCTTGACCTCATCAGGTTCGTATCACAACTTAACTTGCTCTCCCATTGGTCAGGACTTCAGGAGCTGGACTGAAGGCCTTACACGTTAGATTAACTACCAACATAATTAGGGAGTGACAGAGGAACCAAGCATGCTTTGGTTTACAATGTTCTAGATACATCACTGACTGGGAATACAAGCCGTTGCCTTAGCAGGTTCCAGGTAGTTGTTAGGAATGTAAAACAGTGGCGGCAGCTCTATGGCCTCTTTGCTGAAAGAGTTACTGTAACACTGATACACACAAGATCAGATATATGATAATGTCTGTCACAAACTTCAGATAAAATATATAGAATGACTTTTACAAGCTTCAAATGTCTGTATTTAATCTAGAACAGCAAGAAAATGTTCGTGTGAAATGCTGTTAGCTTAGCACTAACATACTACAAGAAACCCCATAGGGGCCCTAGCAGAAATAGCTTTATTATGGATACGTTTTTTCCTAATTTTTTGACCAGGTTTTGACATTTATGGACTGATCTGGCCAACTGTAGAACAGACTCAGTTTATATCACAATACCTACATTTAGAGTCAGTTATTCATTCAGCCTAATGAGAAACTGTAGAACAGACTCGGTTTATATCACAATACCTACATTTAGAGTCGGTTATTCATTCAGCCTAATGAGAAACTGTAGAACAGACTCGGTTTATATCACAATACCTACATTTAGAGTCAGTTATTCATTCAGCCTAATGAGAAACTGTAGAACAGACTCAGTTTATATCACAATACCTACATTTAGAGTCAGTTATTCATTCAGCCTAATGAGAAACTGTAGAACAGACTCGGTTTATATCACAATACCTACATTTAGAGTCGGTTATTCATTCAGCCTAATGAGAAACTGTAGAACAGACTCAGTTTATATCACAATACCTACATTTAGAGTCGGTAATTCATTCAGCCTAATGAGAAACTGTAGAACAGACTCAGTTTATATCACAATACCTACATTTAGGGGCATAAATGGACGTTGCACAATACACAATATAATATTTTAACTCAATCAAAATATTGTCGCCAAAAGGTTTACTTTTCAGAATGAAAAATTCTTTAAAATTTCGTATTTTAAGCAGGTTTGGACTGTTCCTGTTGGTCCGTTCATCATGAGATTTTCACACAAAGTTAAGAGCAGCTAGTGTTTTCATATTATATTTTTTAAAATTGGGCAAGAACCAGGGTTGGGATCCTTGGCACTACCAATGCAAGATTGCTAGTTCCCCGGTGATGCCACAGCCATACGTAATCAGGAGTCCACTTAGTGTTCTTGATAGCATGGTGTCAGATGAAGAGGCCTGGCTAGCAGGTGAAACTGGACTTGACTAAATTAAACCAAAACAAACAAAAACAGTTGACTTTGGAGCCATTTTAGCCCTTCGACTCTGTAGGCCTCAGAGTTAGTGAGCGAGTTCAGATCATCTCCCTGCAGAGGAGAGATCCCTCAGTCAGAGTCGTATCACCTGGGATCCATTAGACAGTTCATTTCAATCGATCAATCTTCTTAGAAAGGAGTTACATAACCGCTCTGCTGGGACGCGTGTGCTGGAGGCTTAGACTGGCCGGGTCCAATCCCGTTACAGAACGGCAGGCTCAGAGTATTTTTAGCGGGATGTGAATGGTCAGGATTTGAGCTCCTGAGCTCCAGAACAGATTTAACAGGATTCCAGCCTCAGGTCAGGGCCTCCTGCGTGGGAGCCGTTATATATAAAAGCTCAGCGTTCAACCTCTCACCTCCAAAATCCACAGCTTTTTATACTGACCATGCTTTCCTGTCCAGCTCACACGCCTGACACCACGAAAACAAACGCACTGTAGCTTCTGCGTGACTGCAGCAGGAGCCCGATTGGTCTCTGAACATGTGGAACCGTAACAGGCGTAACGGCTTAACAGCAGACGCCCCGTTCATTCTTTATCTGTTTCTTTTTCAGGAACATGATCCCTTCCAACCTGATAGAAGCCACCTTTCAACAGGTGAGGGGGAATAAATGAATAATTCATGAATAAACCTGCTGATAAAAACAGCACAGACCAGCCTGAATACCAGCATCCAAAACACACCATGTTCACTGTAAAAACAGGGTCTTGTCAAGTGAAATGATCTTAATCCTAGTCTATCTAATATTTCTTGTTTTGAGATGGTTGTGCTCTTATCATGAGATTATCTGGCTTATTTCTAGACATAGTTTACCTGTTTTAAGTAATTTTATCAAGAACAATGATCTCATTATACTGGTAGATAATTCTGCTGGTTTCAAGCTCATTTCTTAAACAAGCTAAACTATCTGTCACTATAGTGAGATAAACGTACTTAATAAAATCAGCTAAAACAAGTAAAACATGTTTGGAAACAAGTTAAATAATCTTAAAATAGGCTTAAGACAATCTCAACAGGAGGGATATTAGATGTGTTGACCAAATTTAAGGTAATTTTACTTGACAAGACACCATTTTTGCAGTGTGCTGGTTTTGCTGGTTTTTCTTGCTGGGAATTCAGCTGAAGTAATACTTTGAAGAAAAGAAATCAATTTACTTTCCCTTCTGAACTCAAATGTAGTCGTTCAGCCGAGACGTGTTTGGTGTCTGAAGTTTGCTGCTTTAGTTTTAGCGCTGGAGCTACAAGGCTAATGTAGCTAACAAGTAATAGAAGCATATAAGCATCTCCACCAGCTAGCCTGGTGCTAACTGCATGCCTGAATGATCTCAGACTGTGAGGTGTTCAGTGTGTCTAACAGTCTTGATTATGTGGTTTCTGAGACTTTGTAACTCATGTTTTACATTTTAAACCCATTTTAAACCCTGAAACTCGAGGCCTAAACTGATCCATCCTCCCTCATCATTTGCGTTTCAGTACAAAACGGATCTGGTGCCTAACGTCAAGAGCATCCCGCTCGACTCCCAAGCCAACTATGTTTACATCATGCCGGATTATGATAACCCTAAAATGGGCCACCCGGTGTTTCTGGAGCTGACCCCCGCTCCGGAGATCCACTACAAGGTGGTTCCAGGGAAAAGCAGCCAGATGAACGTCCTCGGCATCGTCATCTTCTCCGCCACGATGGGTGAGGAGCTCCTCTCTCCACTGGTTTCAGAATTCTGCCTGGAATGCTTCACTTTTCCTTTAATGTTTATAAAACACTGTAGAATAAAACAGAATACAATAGAATTAATGAAGTATGGAATAGAACAGAACACAGAAATTAATAGAATGGAACAGAAAAGAATGTATGAAAGGAGTGCGAGTCAGCGAGTTAAACGCTGCCAGGTAACCAAGTTACAGTTTATTAACTGTAAAAGGGCTTCGACTCTGAATTACTCATTAAACACGTATTTAGACTGGAAAACACCTGTGAATGAAGGAGGAGGTAGAGTTAGCATGTATATCACACAAAAACCTTGTGTCTCTATTTTGGTTGTTTTTCACTGTTTTGCACAGTTTGAAACTCCCATCACATTGTGTTAAACACGCATGATGAACAGGCCGATAGAAATGGTTCAAAATTACTTGATGAGAAAATCTCGCTGCATCAGCTTCCACTGTTTTCTGCTTCTCCTGTAAAGTTACGTTTTGGAGATACGAGGTTTTGTTCTGACAGCGACGCAGACCATCGCTCCACTCAGTGTCTGGGAGTCTGTGTGGATCCACATCGTCAGTAAAGCTAGTCTTGTGACTGTACTCGTTCGTCCCTCTGGAGTCGGTTTAGATACATTTCCTTCATATTTGATTCAGTTTTAAGCGCGAAGCCTGTAAACGAAGAGCGAACCCTGCCAACATGGCGGAACGATGACATGGATTCCCATCGCTGTAACGTCGCCCCTCAGAAAGATCTGACCTCCTCGCTCCGTTGTGTCCTCCAGGTCTGCTGCTGGGCCGGATGGGTGAGAGAGGATCTCCGCTGGTCAACGTCTGTCTCTGCATCAACGAGTGTGTGATGAAGATCATCAACGCTGCCATGTGGTGAGTCAGACTGGACACTGATTCTGTAGAGACTTTAAAGCAGCAGTTTGGAGATAAAGCTAATTTGCTCAACTCCCAGACACCCCCAGCAGAACGCCTTTTGGTGCTTTGTAGAACCCTTTTTAAAAAAGTTCTGTATAAAACTATTTTTGTCTCTAACTTTGTCCATTTTTCCAAACGCGTCTGGGCTGATCAGCCACAAAACTGTACGAATTAGATATTTAGCCTTAGCTGTGGCCTTCAGAGGGTCTGAATGCGTGTAAGGACGTCTAGACTGGACTCATTACAGACTGATTCCAGCCAAGGGTCAGTCCTGTTTAGTCCACAGCACCGAAAAGCTGCTTACAGCCTCTGCTGGTGTATTTAAAACTCTCACAAACACAGCAGAGAAACACTCAGCGCTAACGCTAATGCTAACACAGCACGGCTTTAACCTCCACCAGCCGGAACAGCGCCGTGCCGATACAGACAGCGTTCACATATTTAATTAGCGACTGCAGAGACATGAGCAACGCTATTGTTATCTGACAGTACATACCTTTTATTTTTTTATTTTTTTAGTTTCTGAGATATGACACAGTGGGAATGGTGGACCTCCACACAGCTTTTTGATTGGACATATGGTTTTTGTGCAATCTTTGTTAAATGATAGATTTTTTCCCCACAGGAATAAATGGGGTGCAACACCCTATTAACCGTTTGGGATACCATAGCGACCACCAGCATCCACCTAGCAACCCCTAGCAACCATCAGGGATACCATAGCAACCACCTAGCAACACCCTAGAAATACAGTCTTAAGGAAGAACATAGAAATAAGAAAAAAAAGATATTGGGTATTTAAATGTATACAAGTGTATACAAATACATACATTACATACACTACATATAGTACATTACACAAATATATAGAAATAAAAATAATAAATCATAAACACCCCAATCTCTGTGCAGGTATTTCCCGTTTGGTATCGTGTTCCTGGTGGCAGGGAAGATTTTGGACATGCATGATCCGGTCATCCTGGCAGAGAAGTTGGGGATGTACTTTATGACCGTCCTGGCCGGCCTGTTTGTGCACGGAGTCATCCTGCTGCCCATGTTCTTCTTCCTCTTCACCAAGAAGAACCCCTTCAGCTACATCCGCGGCCTGCTCCAGGCGCTGGTCATCGCGCTGGCCACTTCATCCAGGTATGGCAGCGCCTCTGCTGGCCACTGGAGGAACTACACACAGCTCCACAGCTCACTCTCCATCACAGGGTTCAGTCAGAACCATCATAAACGTTCTGTCTTATTTTCATTTTAGTAACTTATTTGATTTATTTCTTCACTGTTTTAAATGTGGTGCTCAGTAAAGATTGGTTTAATCTACAAACAAACAAAGGAACAATGGAGAAAAAGTGATGTTAGTGAATGATTATCATGACACTCCAGTAAAACTGCTGATAACATGTTCTCTCTCTCTCTCTCTCTCTCTCTCTCTCTCTCTCTCTCTCTCTCTCTCTCTCTCTCTCTCTCCCCCTCCCTCTCTCTCTCTGTCACTCCTCTGTGTCCTGCAGTTCAGCCACTCTGCCCATCACAATGAAGTGTTTGTTGGAGAACTGCCATGTGGACCGTAAAATCGCTCGGTTTGTGCTGCCCGTAGGAGCCACGATCAACATGGACGGAACGGCCCTGTATGAGGCCGTGGCTGCTATTTTCATCGCCCAGGTCAATGAGTACGAGCTGGACTTTGGACAGCTAGTGACCATCAGGTAAAACATTACAAACTGCTGGAATGTACACTTGCTGGCCACTTTATAGGAAACACCTCCCTTGTGCTTCCACTAACTGGCCACTTTATTAGAAACACCCACTTTGTGCTTCCACTAACTGGCCACTTTATTAGAAACACCCCCTCATGCTTCCACTAACTGGCCACTTTATTAGAAACACCCCCTCATGCTTCCACTAACTGGCCACTTTTTTAGAAACACCCCCCTCATGCTTCCACTAACTGGCCACTTTATCAGAAACACCCCCTCGTGCTTCCGCTAACTGGCCACTTTATTAGAAACCCCTCTCCTGTAGCTCCTCCTTGCTGATGTGCAGTATGAGACAAGACTACAGCGTAGGTGTTTCTAATAAAGTGGCCGGTGGGAGGAGCTATTATAAATAGACCATATTAACTATGTTTTACGGGGAGAGGAAGTGATGTAATAATAACCCATAACCCCCTCCATCCCCTCCTTTCAGTATTACGGCTACAGCCGCAAGTATCGGAGCAGCCGGGATCCCGCAGGCTGGCCTCGTTACCATGGTGATCGTCCTCACCTCGGTGGGGTTACCACCTGATGACATCACACTTATCGTTGCCATCGATTGGATCCTGTAAGTATGACATCAGAGCAGAGCTCATTTACATATATCAGTCTTAAAGGCACAGCAACAAACACAGTTTAGCTGTAATGGATAAAGAGAGGCTGGAAAACTGAATTATGACTGAATTATGAATTTAAGGAGAAAAAATATACTAAATATAAACATAAAATCAGGGGGAAAATATAAAATGCGAGAATAATGTTGGATATGGGCTCTTTAAGTAATCCAACAAGCTGCTTTCTGAACTACGTCTCAGACTGTCTGAGCTCAATCACGTCTATCAGAGACATCAGTCTGACTCTTCATTCTGTTCTCCAGAGATCGGTTCCGCACCATGATCAACGTTCTGGGGGACGCGCTAGCTGCAGGAATCATGGCCCACCTGTGCAGGAAAGACTTCCAGCCCAATGCCCCCAGAAACAACGATCAGAGGGTGAGATACAGTCCGACTGTCAATAATATTATTATTAACAGTAGGTACAGTTGCATTTACTTGCATCATGTCTACACCAGACGGTTCAATATTATTTGCTGAAACATGCAAATAAGCCTCTGACAAATCACTGTGGCCCAGCCCCTTTTCTTAGTTTTACCCCACCCCTTGTTTTCGAGTGTTGCCCCTTGGAACTGAGTCACATATTTAGGGCATCATATGATCTTCAAAGAGGGGGGAAATTATTTATTATCACCCACCCCTAATTCTTCAGTGATATGAAGCTGAAGTCAGATATTCACCAGATTCGAATTTTCCCGTTCCACCTTAAATGGAGCAGCAGTTCTGACACCCGAGGAGCCAGAATGTAACTGCTGCACCATTTAAGGTGGAACGGGAAATTTAGCTACCGAGACGTCAGCACTGCTAGAGATTATTATGCTTGTTATGAAGAAAAGGACCAAAATACACTGAAACGATATTAAAGTAAGAGAATATGATGGTTATTGTAATTTTAACAGATAATTGTCACATTTGTGGGTTTCAAGAATCAGGACACCCTACCCCTAGACGAGAACACGCAAAACAGAGGGGTAGTGCTGAGGGGTGAAATGGGACTGGGCCTTAAAATCTTTTTATTGTCCAGATGAATCCCTCACTTTATCCGGGGCTGAGTGGTCACTTCATTAAGTCCACCTCCTTGTTTCTACACTCACTGTCTACTTTATCAGCTCCACTGACCATATAGTTCCACTCTACACTCCACTCTAGTTCTACAGTTACAGACTGTAGTCCATCTGTTTCTCTGCATACTTTGTTAGCCCCCTTTACCCTGTTCTTCAGTGGTCAGGACCCCCATGGACCCTCACAGAGCAGGTACTATTTGGGTGGTGGATCATTCTCAGCACTGCAGTAACACTGACGTGGTGGTGGTGTGTTAGTGTGTGTTGTGCTGGTACGAGTGGATCAGACACAGCAGTGCTGCTGGAGTTTTTAAACACCTCAGTGTCACTGCTGGACTGAGAATAGTCCACCAACCTAAAATATCCAGCCAACAGCGTCCTGTGGGCAGCGTCCTGTGACCACTGATGAAGGACTAGAGGATGACCAACACAAACTGTGCAGCAGCAGATGAGCTATCGTCTCTGACTTTACATCTACAAGGTGGACTGACAAGGTAGGAGTGTCTAATAGAGTGGACAGTGAGTGGACACAGTGTTTAAAACTCCAGCAGCACTGCTGTGTCTGATCCACTCGTACCAGAAACAAACTGCAGACACCAAACAGGTCCCGTCTGATTGACTGTATTTGGGGAAAATCTGTAAATTTGAGAATTTACTGAACCGTCACTGTAATCTGTGCTTCCAGAGAGATACGGTCACCTCCTACTACGGAAACCAGAGTGTGCAGAGCATCCCCTCCTCCGAGGTGCCTCTGATCGCCAACCGAGACTACATCCTGGAGGTGGTGGGCGACCAGGTGATAGAGAGACCCACCGCTTACTACAACCTCTGCCAAGTCTGAGTCTCTCCGAGGATCATCTGCAGGAAACCGCTGCCTTCGACTTCACCGGAACCTTCCTGTCCTCTTCCTTCTCCTTTGCTTCTGGTCGTGCCATTCTGAGTCGCCCTTACGCCAGAAACTGTTCCTTCAACTTCTGCGCACAGGGAACCGGTGAGGAACCTCCAGGAACCTCTGCGAAACCTGTAGGAAACCTCCATGGGAACCTCTGAGGAACCTTTAGGGCCCCTCTGCAGAACCCATGAGGAACCTTGATGGGAACCTTTGAGGAACCTCCGGAGAACCTGTAGGGAACCTCCAAGGAACCTTCAGGGCCCCTCGGCGGAACCCATGAGGAACCTTGATAGGAACCTGTGAGGAACCTCCAGGGAACCTGTAGGGAACCTCTGAGGAACCTTCAGGGCCCCTCGGTGGAACCAATGAGGAATGTTGATAAGAACCTGTGAGGAACCTCCAGAGAACATCTGGGGAACCCTCGAGGAACATTCATGGGAGCCTGTGAGGAACCTTCAGGGAACCACCGGGAAACCTGTGAGATGAAAGCTGAAGTTCTGAGATATACTTGAGACGTCACGTTTGATCGATTCTTTTTGTATTTTGTAAATTAGGGATTTTTTTATTGATCTATATATAAATATATTTCTGTATTTCTGTGTTTATGTATGTATGTATGTTCTAGCGTTGCCTTAAAATGCAGCAACTGTTTCAAATCAAATAGTCCCAGTTAGACTACAGTGACTTATAAGCAAAAAAGTAAATAATCAGATTTACACTGTTTTCTAATCTACATACCGGAAACAATCAGCCAAGAAAATCCTTATTTATTTTTGCACTGGAGCTGAAAAAGGACTGTGTTTAGCTTTGCTACTGTACTTCAGTCCATGTTTATAGATACAGTGAGTCGCAGAGTCAGAAACCACAATCATCAGTCTAATCAGAGACACTGAACAGCTCCACTCAGTCTGAGGTGATGTAGGAATGCGGTTAGCACCAGGCTAATTGTTGGGGTAAACACTTCCAGTACTTGTTAGCGACATTAGCCCCGTAGCTCCAGCGCTAATTGTTGGGGTATAAGCTTCTATTACTTACCTACCTTAGCCTCACAGCTGCAGTGCTGACTGATGGGGTTTGAGCTTCCATTACTTGTTAGCTACATTAGCCTCACAGCTGCACTGCTAATTGCTGAGGTAAAAGCTTCTATTACTTGTTAGCTACATTAGCCTCATAGCTGCACTGCTAATTGCTGAGGTAAAAGCTTCCATTACTTGTTAGCTACATTAGCCTCATAGCTGCACTGCTAATTGCTGAGGTAAAGTTTCCATTACTTGTTAGCTACATTAGCCTCATAGCTGCACTGCTAATTGCTGAGGTAAAGCTTCCATTACTTGTTAGCTACATTAGCCTCACAGCTGCAGTGCTAATTGCTGAGGTAAAAGTTTCCAATACTTGTCAGATACCTTAGCCTAATAATTGCAGTGTTAATTGTTGGGGTTTAAGGTTTATTTTTTTAGCAACATTAGCCTCACAGCTGCAGTGCTGACTATTGAGGTTTGAGCTTTCAGTGCTTGTTAGCTAATAGCCTGATAGCTCCAGCGATGGTTGTTGAGGTAAAAGCTTCCATTTGTTAGCTACATTAGCCTCATAGCTCCAGTGCTAAAACTAAAGAAGCTTTAAAGGAGAAATTCAGACTCCGAACATCTCGGCTAATCGAAGCGACGAGGTGAGAAAACTGAGTTTGAACTCTTTGAGACATTAGCGACCGTCAGCGTCATCAGCTCCAGTACTACAAAGCCAGGTCGTGCGCTGCCTTGTTCTACTGAGGATGTTGAAGACTGAAGGTGTTTTAGGTGTGTAGTGACGGACTGAATGCACTAAGCAGGAACGTGTGTTCTTTACTGTTTTCTTAATAAAAATATGAAAGTATTTGTTCACTGTCTTGTGTTTGAAGAGCAAACTGAAGAAAAGGGTGTAATAAGTGCAGGGATCTGCCCTTTCAACTGCATTCATTTTGAACGTTTATAATCAATTATAACTGATTTTTGTAATATTCAAAATGGATAATCATATCAGTATACTGGATATTCGATGGTATTTATTGCCCTTCAGAACATCACTGTTTAGGTGACGCTGGGTTACTGTGCTAAAATATCTGCATTATTTTAATTAATTTAATTTGTATAGTGTTTTTCACAACAGCTTTACAACCCTCTACAACTGCTACATTTCTCTGTACTGCTAATCCAGATATTTAGATTTATAAATGTTAATGCATCCATAAATTGAATCTCTAACTTCATAATTTATGACCTTAAAATCTATATTAAAACTTCCTGCGGAAACACCAAGAGACAGGATTTCCAGGATTCGCCGGATGTTTTATTTCAAAACAATGTTACAGTCACTCTTTACAGAGGTTCTTTCACCGTAAATACTTTCAAAAGTCTTAAAATTGATTATAATACAAAAAATTAAAGTAACACTCCAATGAACATGAACAACCATGAACAATGAGCAAAAATAAATAGTCCTCGTCTCCCAGTCGTCTGCGCTCCTGCATAAATTAAGGCTCACGTCTCTCACAACTCCAGTAAAATCCAGTCTGAGAACTGAATCCAGTAGCTAACTTAACTTAAAGGCTGTTAAAGAGATCAGATGAAGCCGTGTGAGCGTTTCAGCAGCAGGCTAAAGATTAGCACACTAAAAGCCCACTTAAAAACACAGCCTGGACCTTCTTACCCACCGCTCACGGCCACAAAACCAAAGATTCGGCTTCGGACCTGCTGACGGCTCACAGAGTCTGACTAGTGTAGTGACTGAAAAAGGCATGAAATATGGTTTATTATAAAAGCTCTTAAAAAATAAAAGCCATAAAAGGTTCTTCAGAGCAACAGAAGCACTTTCAGTTCCCTCAACATTTCAATGGATGGTTCTTTTAAAAGAACCAGTTTTGTATGAGACGTGCAAGTGTGGAGAACATTTTCAAACCTTGAATAACCTCCACTCCAATTAAATGTTTTACCTAGTACCATACGTCCAAGCCAAGAACCCTTCAGGAACCTGTGTTAAGAGCGTATGGAGCAGCGCGAGTCGCTCCTGATGAAGGTAAGTGGAGTTGGCGCTACAGCTGCACAGTCGAGCATCTGCTACGTGATCTTGAGTGAGTTTGTGTTCTGACTGAATCTAAAGTCTCTTAGTGCTACTGCAGAGTTAAAGGTGAACAGACTGAACAAATGGCAGAGCAGGGCCGATCCAAAGGCACCGCGCTGCTGACACGGCTCTAGGAAACGTATCCAAAGACGATGGATTACAAACAAATCAAATATCCGCTTTAAAATCATTTGGTCCTCTATCTCTCAAAGCTTAATGAAGGAATCCGTGAACTACAGGCTACAGGCCTTTCGTTTAGCGGCAAAGCCTCAGTTTGGCCAGAAGTTAGCCAAGTGGCTAGAGGGCTACCTCAGTTAGCCAAGTGGCTAGAGAGCTACCTCAGTTAGCCATGTGGCTAAAGGGCTACCTCAGTTAGCCAAGTGGCTAGAGAGCTACCTCAGTTAGCCAGCTAACCCCCAAGCTAAATAAGCTAGAGTTAGCTTCTGAATGTGTTAGCTAGCTAATTAGCCATCATGGTTGAGGGTTACGCCTAATCCCAACAAACGTCTATTCTGAAGGAGTGATTTACACGAGCTAACTTCATCCCTTTAGTTTTGTAGGAGCATTTTACACTAGCTAATGTTCTTGAGGGTGTAATTAACATTAACTCTTTTATTCGTATTGAGCGATTTACACTGGCTAGCTAGCATGGCTTGGCAAGTTCTTAACCCTACACTCTTACAAAGATGGTTCTTCAAGGGCTCTTTAATAAAAATATGGTTCTTCAAGGGCTCTTTAATAAAAATATGGTTCTATATAGGACCATGAACACTCAAAGAATCACCTCATGCTTAAATGGTTCTCTGCATGGTGAAATGGTTCTTCAAATTGATGGAGAATGTGTTTTTGGTTCTATATAGCACCAAAATGGGTTACAAGCTTGACATCGTAACAAAGTAGAACCCTTTTTTGGTGCTATATAGAACCATTAACAAAAAGGTTATGTACAGAACCATATACAACACACACTCCATCAATCTGAAGAACCATTTTACTATGACTGTTTATGGTTCTATACAGAACCATTGTCTTTACTAAAGAACACGTTTTATAAGGGTTTAATACAGGAGCTGTTCACGTTAGCCAACCTGGCTGAGGGTGTAGCTAACGTTCAGAGTTTTACACAGCTAATGCTTGATGGTTTAGCTAACCTCATCACCAAAACCCTCAATCTTCTCAATGAGCGATTTACGTAATCTAGCACTGCTGGGCAAACACGGAACCCCAACCTTAACTGTGCTATTCTGAATTAGCCATATAAATCAGCTGACGTGGTTGGGGCTTTAGCTTCCCTTTCCCCCTCTAATCCTGACCCTTTCAGTCTGAAGGAGTGCTTTACACTGCTCTAACCTTATTCCCGGGACTTTTATTTTGGAGGTGAGATTTACACTAACAGGGTTTGGGGTGTAAAGTTAGTAAACTTTAACGCTGACCTTTCATTCTAAATGAGCGATTCACACTAGCTAATGTTGCTGAGGGTGCGGCTGACCTTGTGCCTAATCAAGATTTTAGCCAATTTCTTCTTAATTAGCGATCTACTCTTGCTAACAGGGTTGAGGGGTAACATTACCTCTAAACCAAACCGTAACTCTTTTATTCTGAAGTAGAAATTTACACTAGCTAACCTAACTGGGGCTGTAAACTTAGCAATTCACACTAGCTAATGTTGCGGCTAACCTTATCTCTAATCATGATTTTAGCCATTTTATTCTGAATTAGCGATCTACTCTTGCTAACAGGGTTGAGAGTCGTAACATTACCTCTAAACCAAACCATAACCCTTATTCTGCATTAGCGATTTACACTAGCTAACATAGTTGGGAGTCTAACGTTCCTGAACTTTAACCCTAACCCTTTATTTTTAATTAGCGATTCATGCTAGCTAATGTTGCTGAGGGTGTAGCTAAACCTATCCCTAATCCTGATCTCAGCAATTTTGTTCTGAATTAGCGATTTACTGTTGCTAACAGGGTTGAGAGTCGCTAACCCGAACTTTATCCCTGTTATTCTCAATGTGAGATTTAAGCTAGCTGGTTGTTTGAGTAGCTAATGCTAATCGTAACTCTGAATCAGCGATTTACACCAGCTAGCTTTGCTGTGGGTGTAGCTGACCTTACCTTAACCCAACCCTGGACCTCTTTACTGTGAAGGAGCGATCCTGCCAGCATGATTGAGGGTGTAGCTAACGTTAACGTTAACCATGAGGGATTTACTGTAGCTAACATAGCGGGGGGGTGTAGCGTTAGCGAACTAAACCATAACCCTTCATTCTGAATTAGCATTAGCTAAAGAGGCTGGGGAACCAGCTAACGTGGCTGAGGAAATAAACCCACAATGGTTTTATCTACACAACGTTACTGTGAGCTACTTTACCACCACTCCAGTTCGCCAGCTAACTTCGGTAGTTCGCTACGCAGTTCGTGAACGTTCTCGCTGAGGCTTCGTCTTCATGCTGCCCGAAACGGCCGAATGAGCTTTATTTTTAGTGTGTGTCGTTTATCTGTTACTCAGACTAACCAAACCAGGCATGGACCTCCTTCCGGTCCTAAAACTCCTAAGAATGGAAAATGAATTAAAAACGAAATCATAAAACCAACTCTATAATGAAAAAAACCAAACAAAACAAAACTTTCAGCAAAACAAAATAAAATTTAATGATCGTGGATGCCAAGTGAAACAATCAAAACAATCAAAACAAAGGAAACACCAAAGCAAAGAACAAAAATCAATGAAAGAAAGGAAGAAAAAAAAGACAAAATCACAAGGCAGTCTTCAGAAGCATATGGATTAGTACAAACAGCCAAGTTTTATCTATCCACCCTAAACTGCACGGAAAAGAAAAAAAACAAAAAGGGAAAAAAAGAACAAAGTAAATAAATGTTTGCTTCTAAAGAAAAACAAAAAAAATTAAAGAAATAAATCAAACCTTACAGAAGAAACTGCTGATGCTGAAATGTAAATAATCTGAACACAGAAATATCGTCAGTACCGGCTAATTAGAAAAACGCTTCGCTTTTTTCGGGGGGGCCACACTGACCAGAGTGGCCCACTCGTCTCTCTTTAGGGGGGATTAAACCTTCTCTTTGGTCCTTTTCAGTCTTTTTCAGAGGGTCCCTTTCAGACAAATCACAGAGTATTAAACAGGTTCCCCTCACTCAACACACTCTTCAACGCTGTTTACAGACACTCTGCTTTTTCTGCCGCGACGGCCTCAGAAAACTGCAGTCCGGTCATAAACACACCCAAAAACAATGGACAAGTGCTCCAGGGGTCAGACGGGGTCAGACGGGGTCAGACGGGGTTCGAGGAACAGAGGGTGAAAAAATAAGGCAACTTAAATATCGAATACTGTGCGAAGACTGTAATGTGTGTCTATATGGGGAGCTGAACAGCGTCAGTCTGACCGCGCTTACAGCACAGAGACCAGCATCTCACACAATAGCTTTAGCATCAAATGCAGATCTGGTGTAAATGTGTTTTCAGATGCTCCCCGAAATATCTAGAACATTTACAGCACAGTTTGAATTAAATCAAAGAAAAGAAAAGAAAAAGGTTCTCTGTCCAACAGGACGCTAGTGACGCCGCGTGTGAAGTGGAAACGTTTAGCGTAAAGTGGATTAAACTACAAAAATAACAGTATTTAGCTCTCAGACCTGCGCCGCCCCCTTCGGTCACGGTACAGACTCGGAGCTCTGGCCGTTCTAGCCCGCTCTACTTGTGCGTCTTGCTGGTTTTGAAGGAGACCTGCAGGATTTTGTCGCCGAGGCGGTAGCCGTTCAGGCTTGCGATGGCCATGGCCGCCTCCTCGTAGTTCGTCATGGTGACGAAGCCGAAGCCTTTGCACTTGTTGGTGTTGAAGTCGCGGATGACCTTGACGTTGGTGACGGCACCGAAGGGCCCGAACATCTGCCACAGGATGCCCTCGTCCGTGTCCTGGCTCAGGTTGTAGATGAAGATGCACCAGCCGGACGTGGAGCTGCCCGCCACGTTCACGCCAGACACGCTGCTCATGTGGTCCACGCCCATCGGGGAAAACCTGAAGGGGGCGACAGAGTGCAGTCAAAAACCGACTCGCAAACAGGAGAACAGGCAATGTTAACGGTACAATAAAATAACTCGTCTACACCGCAAACAACAGAGACTAATTATCGAGAACGTTATTTCTCCATCAAGCGTTCTCTCAGGATCCATGTATCCAGTAATCCATGTTTTGTGTTTTATTCATTAAATGACGCTGTTCTGCTCCTAAATCCAGTATCAGCAGGAAAGGCATGAATTTTGAACAGCTGCTACTTCAGTACACTAGGAGGCGCTGTGTGTCTCTTACTTTCTAGATGAGGAAGGAAGGTAAAGAAGTTTATGCTGTGGCTAAGCAAAGTTAGCTACAGTTAGCAGAGTTAGCTGCTCTCCATTAGCAGAGTTAGCTGGAGTTAACTATTTTCGGTTATTTCCAGTTAGTCTGGGTGATTCATGGACATGAAACCAAAACAGAAGTGAACCTTTACTCTCAGTTACTGAGTTAATGCTCTGGTGTGATATTTCTGTAAGTTACTCCAGAACAAGCCGTTTGTTTCCTTCAGTGTTTGATCTGCTGTTCAGAAACTTCTGATACTGAAAACTATCAGCACTGAACAATAATGAGAGTCAGACTGATCAGATTTGTAGTCGTAGTGTTCATTAAGCAGCCTCAGTGAATCAGAGCTGAGCTCCTGGGCAGGTGTGGTGCAGGTGTGCTGTACCTGAACCTCTGGGCCTGGTGGTGGACCGGCCCCCCGAAGCGGCGGGACTGGGCGTGGTAGATCTGGGAGATGATCTGGGTGCCCTTCACCTGGTTGGGGTTTGCTGCGAACTTGACCGTGATGGGCTCCGTGGCTCCCGGGGGCTTCTGTCCATTCAGGTCTTTGATGGCGTCCTCAGCCTCCGTGCGCTTGTCGAAGCGGATGAACGCCACGCCTCGAGACAGTCCTGACACGAGGAAGAACCTCACATTAAACCACCAAACAGCCCTCAGATTTTAAAGAGACAGGTCAGAAAAACAATCCAGCTCAGTCTAATCCATCACAACTGATCAGCCAGGACACATTCGCCTCTTTAGACTTAGCGCTGGAGCTAATGTAGCTAACATAACTGAAGCCTATAGCCCACCGATTAGCATCACGGCTAAATCATCAGCCACTCGCATCAATATTCAGACCAACGTACTTCAGTCAATTAAGTGTGTTGTAGAGTCAGAAACCACATAATCAGGTCTGTTAGAGACTACTTAAAGGGGAACGCCACCCAAATTTTAAAATTTCTGGCACAATTACATGGCTCAGAGTGGTTTGGTGTGAAACGCTCTGTTCTACATAAACTTACAGAGTCAGAACTGTTCACAGTGGTGGTGATAGGAACCAGACGTCCACCTCTAAAAGCTCCCTCACAGAAAGTTCCTACATGAAATGGTTATGAATTCACTGCCTGATGACTGAGACACTGTTTTATGATAGTTTAGAGAACTTAAACTCCATTCATGGTGGAGGGATACATGCAGGGCGCTGTGAGGCAAAATAGTCCCCAAAGAAAACTTATTATTTCAGATTTTCCACTATTTTCCATCATCAACATTCCATATAAACTCAGAAGACTCGTGTAGGTTCACTGGTGGTTCTGGATAGTAAATAAAATGTCTATATTTGTGTTGTAGTCATGGCGACCCCTGGTTCCTATCACCACCACTGTAAAGACATCTGAACCATTTCATACCAAACCACTCTGAATCACTCTGATTACATCTCAACCACTGAGCTACGGGGGAATTTTGGGAAAATTGGTGGAATTCCGGTCACCTGTGGCCTTATCGACGAGCACGCGTGAGTTGATGATCCGGCCGTAACGTGTAAACATGTCCTCCACATCCTTCTGCGTCATGGTCTTAGGCAGCCCGCTAATATACAGGTTAGCATCCTTAATGGAGTCAGAACTGGGCCTGGCGTAGGAAACCTGCAGGGAAGAACATCATTTAGAAGAGAAAAAAAAAACCTGAAAAATAAATAAAAGCCAGTTAAATATGAAAAAACAACCTAAATCTGATCAGAAATGAAGACAGGAGCCTAAATGCATTACAAATAAAATATACAGGGCGAATTTCTGAGCACCAAACTCAATTTAATCTAATAAATCTACAAATAATACATTTAAACACAAAATAAATCCCAATTAAAGTAGTTATTGAAAAAGATCTGCTGCCCAAACTCAGAAAATTTATACATTAATTAAAACAAAACACCAGGATAAAGAAATAAAACAGTAAGTAAATGTGGCTGCTCTGTTTTGGGGGCTTTAACATTTATAAAACTTAAAGTTTTCACTTTAAAGTGAAGCAAAACAAATGCAGATAAAGCCAGAGAGTGTTAAAAAGGCCACATCCTGTAAACTAGAAGCTCTTAAGATGATACACAAGTGCAGAGAAAATGGCACTGTACACAGGAACACCTCGGTGACGTTACCTTGATAGTTTTAGACTGTAGCCTCAGGCCATTGAGTGTACTGATTGCTCTTTCTGCATCACTAGGGTTAAGATAGTTAACAAATCCGTACCCTAAACTGTGGCCTAGAGAAAAAAAAAAGGAAAACAATAAAATAAAAACAAAAAAAGAAACTTGCAACGTTCCAAATACAAAGAAAAAACAAAAACAAACAAACAAACAAACAAACAAACATTTGAATAGCAGAAAGTCAAACAAACAAATGAAGTTCAGCTAAGAACGTTGAAAGTTGAGAGTGAAAAAAATCATTAATTGTAACCCTTAAAAACCCTTAAATCCCACAGTTCAGTGAAGCGGAGGCTGAGAGTAGTCATGGGCGGTACAGCGGCCCAAATACTGAGTACAGAATCTTTATAAACTGGATCGGATCGTCAGTGTAGCGGCAACAGCTGCGCCCAGAGAAACATCTGTACGGTTTAATAGACACTGACAGCTCAAATACATTACAGGGACCGAATGCATGCGGCTCTTTTACTGTCCTGTTGTGGCTCCACAGCTGAATCAGATTAGTAGGTAAAAATAAAATAATCCTCCTTTACAGTAAAATAAAGCTCTGCTGATCGTTCAACACAGTTTAACAGTAAATGGTCTTAAACTCTGGAGTTAATGTAGAACTGCTAATTCACCCTTTAAGCCTGAAGATCAGCGCAGACTGCTGGTCACCATAGCAACACAGACAACAGTCTCGCCTAGTTAGTAGCTAACGAAACGGCAAAGAGAGAGATTTAAGATGAACATTGATAATTTGGAGATGAATGGACTTATTAGTGTTTAGAATCACTCCAGCTGGTTTCCTGATACGTTTAACCTGCAACGAGAAACTGAAACACTAAAAAGTCGCGAGGCTGAAGTTTCTCATTCACCAGGTTCTTGTTCAAATTCTCCCGTTCCACCTTAAATGGTGCAGCAGTTACATTCTGGAACCTTATGCACCATTTAAGGTGTAACAGAAAATTTGAACGCCACCTATTTTCTAAAATTCCTGCATAATTAAACAGTTAAGATGTAATCAGAGTGGTTCAGAGCTGTTCAGAGTGGTTCAGAGTGGTTTGGTGTGAAACTTACCGAGTCAGAACTATTCACAGTGGTGGTGATAGGAACCAGACGTCCACCTCTAAAAGCTCCCTCACAGAAAGTTACTACATGAAATGGTTAAGAATTCACTGCCTGATGACTGAGACACTGTTTTATGATAGTTTTGTGATACAGTTTTGGCTTAAAATGTATTTAAACCTATTTATTTTAATCAGATCAAGGCAGAGGGATGCATTAAGGGAGTTGGATGGCAAAATAATTAATAGTTACTATACTTTAAGCTTTTACATTATTTAACCATCATCAACATAATATATAAACAAACTCAGAAGACTCGTGTAGGTTCACTGGTGGTTCTGGATAGTAAATAAAATGTCTATATCTGTGTTGTAGTCATGGCGACCCCTGGTTCCTATCACCACCACTGTAAAGACATCTGAACCACTTCACACCAAACCACTGAGTCACCCTGTTCACACCTCACACACTGAATTATGGGGGGAATTTTGAAAAACTGGTGGATGTCTCCTTTAAGGTGGAACAAAAAATGTAAACAAAAAGCTGGTGAATAAATAGCCGAATTCAGCTTTGCAGACAGGAAAGGACATTTAGCAGCATTTTTGTCGTGTCAGAAAGCAATAAGGCTCCTCTACATACTGACGAGTTTGGTTCTTAATGTTTTCTACAATATAAATATTTCAGGTTTACTTACGTTTTTTTAAAGCACACACAAACCCTGATATATACCAGAGGTGCTGATAATTAATACAAACGTTTGGCTGTACCGCCCACTACTACACCACGTTTACTAAGTCAAATTAAGAGAATAAACAAATTCGGCAGCATCAGCGTTTCCTTCTTTTTTTTGGAGGCCTAATCTCAAACTAGAGTGGATGGAGTATTTTAATCCCACAAAACCGATGGTGAACACATCAAATTTGAACCAAAACGCAGGATAAAGGTGATAAAACACAATTTCTCTCCATCATCTGCGAGCAAAATCATCTCAAAACTAGTCAATACGTCTAATCTTTCTCCTCTGACATATAAAACATAAGACTATTCAAGCTTATTTCTAAAGCACTTTCGACCAAATAAAAGTTCTAATTGGCAGATAATTGTATTTCTTGAAGTAATAATAACTTAATTGCTACATTAATGAGCCTCATTACCTGCCAGTGGTCACTTCATGTGACTAAAGTCTTAAAATAAGCAGAAAAGGTTGAGAAACATCTTCTAATGATCTCACAGTGAGAATTATTAGCTATACTGACTACATTCAAGAGGGTCTCACTCGCCAGGACGTGGTTTTCTGAGCGTTTAAGCGGCCGAGACTCGGCGCTCGAGTCCGTTAGTGGCGAATACTTACCTGCTACTTTGTCGCGGATGAGCTTTGCTGACTCCACCTCGCCGATGCTGCTGAAGAGGCTGTGCAGCTCATCCTGGCTCATGTTCTGGGGTAAGTAATTTACTATAAGGTTGGTTTTAGAGTCTTTCGGCTCGTCCACCATGTGATCTTCGTAACCGTTCGACATGTCATAGACCTCCTGAAAGGGTCGGAGAGAAAAACATGTTAGCATTAATGCTAATGGGTCTGAAACGGACACAAAAACACACACAGAGCAAAAACTAGTATCTATTTCCATATATATATATATATTTTTATATATAGACTATGTACGGTACAGTCAAGTGAAAATTATCTTAATTCTAGTTGATCCAATATTTCTCATTTTGAGATGGCTGTGCTCTTATTTTAAGACCATTTAGATAATTTCTAGATGTTTTCAACCTGTTTTAAGTACTTTTTTCAAGAAAGATTCTCACTATACTGGCAATACAGTAAGATAATTCTACTTAATAAAATCAGTTAAAACAAGCAGAAATGTTTGGTAATAAATTAAATGATCTTAAAATAAGCTTCCAACAATCTGAACATGATAAATATTAGATTTATTGACTAAACTTAAGATTAACATTACAAGATTTTTCTACCTGCATTTATATATTCTTGTTTGATGTAAGTCATTAAATCCAGTGAAAGTCTCTTATTCCATTGGGCAGATTGTTTTACTTGTTTCGAGACATGTACAGATAATTTCTTTACTCCAAGAAATGAGGTTTAAATTGTCTGCCACTGAAACGAGACTCTCTTAAGGTAAAATTATGTAAAACAAGTAAAAATATCTAGAAATAAGTTAAATAATCTTAATATTCCTACAACAATTTCATGATAAGAAATAGAAATGTTGACTAGTTTAACATGTTTTCACTTGCTAAGATACCGTTTTGTGCAGTCTGGTGGGATTTGTGCACATTTCAGAACTACAGCAGGGTTTTATCAGAGAAAACACACAACATTCCTCAACATTGGTGTTTAGGAGTGAAACATCTCTAAACCTCATACAGACGGGCCTTCAGAACAGGTTTAGACTGGTTATCTTGATAAATTACGTGACGATACACGTTTCTGAGTTGGTGATGTGCGAGTCTGTGTGACATACAGGCTAACAACTCAGTACAACATGATTTTATCGTTTAAAACGACCGCAAAAACATTTACGCTCATATTTGTGAGATGTTTTTTACACTACGAGGGGCTGATCGTGAGCGCGCTGTTAAGGACGAGAATGGAAAGTCAGTTTTAGCGCTAACTAAGCCGACAGCACTGCTCTGAAATATGAAGAAAGTGGGTAAAAAAAAAAACATTTATCTATTTAATTCTGTGTAAATCTGCCTTATCACTCGTTCTAATGTGTTAATGCCAGAAGAACCCTTTTATATATGTCCTTTTTGAAACCTACAGCATGTTCTCCATCAACCTGGAGAATCATTTCACCATGCAGAGAACCATTTAATCATGCAAGGGGTTCTCTGTGTGTTCATGGTGCTATATTGATTGTGCGTGAGGCTCCAGTCCTCGTGGGCCAAAACTCTGCAGACTTCAGCACATTAAACACACCTGATTCAGCTCATCAGCTAATTAGCAAGACCTTCATTAACTGAATTCAGAGCGACAGATGAGGATAAACTGTCTAGTTCCAACCATAATCTGCCACAACTGCTCCAGCTAATCAACGTCTGCAGTAGTTCTTGATTGGCTAGATCAGATGCGTCACTGTTAGGTAACGGGAGGCGCAGCTCGTTACATGCAAGTTGAATCTAAGCTCTGCAGCAAATCGGGCCTCTAGAAAGAAGGTTGGTGACCACTGGAGTAGCGTATACTGGTCAGTGACTCAATCCGAACGGACTCCTCCAACAACCAATGAAAACTGAAGTGTGTCAAATAAGAAGACAGCAAAAGAAACGCCGAAGAGAGACTTAAATAGATATATATATATATATATATATATATATATATATATATATATATATATATATATATATATATAAAAACCTGAGAGACCACTACAAACTCGAACAAGTCCTCTGAACAGTAAAACATGGTGTTCCACAGAGCTCTGTTTTAGGGCCCCTACAGTTCTACTTTTATTTACAGCCCACAGCAAACCACCACTGGGAAGTCTTTTAGTCTAGGCTAAGCCTTAATCTGGCAGCTCTGTTTGGGTCTGTAGCTGCTTGCTAAGATAACGTTCAGATCCAAACAGGTTTAATTCCTCCCTCTGGTCCCTTCAGCGCCAGCGGCTCCACTTCACTCCCTCAGATTTGAGTCATTGTCATCTAAACTTGTGTTGGTGCTTTGGTTAAGAGCCAGAAACCAACATGTTCTGTTCTGAGCAGAGATATTAGCATGTTAGCTAAGCTAATGCTAACCAGCTCCTCTCTTCAGGTTAGCAGCACTGTTTAACATTTAGCAGCTGTTAGCCAGATGGCTAGCATTTATTGAACGATGGCTCATAAATCGTGCACTGCGTTCATTTATCTGGTGACTGTTTACTCAAAATAAACTGTTTGATCATTTTCGATTATGAACTATCGTGGGCTGAGACGGCAAAAAGCGCCATTAACGCTTTTTTGTCAAAACACTTCTTTTTATGACTTCCTGTCTGTTTGACCCCACCCCCCCAAGCTCCTTGAAATTGGCTAATGTGTTCTGAACATAAGGTCAGGAGTTAAAGCTCACCTTCAACCTCTCTGCAACAGCCCATAATACTGCCTACATCTGCTGTGTAGCTCAGTAAAACTGGAGTAATTCATATTTGTGATATTTCCATGTTTTACAGAGGCGCCGCTGATCCAAACCAACTCCTATCTACCCAAATTCATGTGTGGGAGATTAAATGTTTGCTTTTTAGATCAGAAAACTAACTGCAAGTGAGGAAATTAAAATGCTCAAATATTATATGGTTCCAAAAATGTTTACATTTCCAGATCTGAACATGTACACAAGATAAACTAACATACACAGCTACAAATTATACACAAAAACAAACACAGACCAAAACAAAACCCCACACATAAGGCTAAGGGCTAATTCTATGGAAAACAACTATTAATCCGGTAAAAGCTAATAGTGCTAACATGCTAATCCTCCTTTCATCCTCTGTCCATCCTGAGGTGATACAGTCCAACAGGGCTGGACAATACGATGATATTTATCATTATCGTGATAAATTATTTTTTACAGTGCGTCTCTGAGCGTATTGTGTACATCGTCAGTACCTAAAAACACAAACCACTGGATTTTTTTAATGTGGCTGTACTTTGATGAACCATTCCAGTTCATCAGCTGTCAGAAAAGCACTGACGTCATGAAAATCACACATCACACAGCTCTACAGTCTCTAGAACAGAACATACACAAATACTAACGTGTGCTCAAAGAATATAGAAAAATAAGACCTGCTCCAAAAATAGACACTTAGAGATGGATCTTTGTAAAGAACACAGTTCTATATAGAACCATGAACACTCAAAAGAACCTTCACATGATTGAAGGGTTCTGTCCATCATGAAATGGTTCGTCAGATTGATGGAGAACGTGCTGTGTGTGTTTCCATTTAGCACCAAAAAGGGTTTTTCTATTGTTACAAGCTTGACACTATAACAATAGAACCCTTTTTGGTGCTACATAGACCCTTTTCAAAAAGGTTCTATACAGAACCATCTACAGCACATTCTCCATCAATTTGAAGAAGAATATAAATGATGCAAATAACATTTAACCATGCAAGTGTTCATGGTTCTACATAGAACCATTTTCTTTACTAAAGAACCCTTGGAGAACCATAATTTTTAAGAGTGAACAACATCCCATTTCTATACAGCTCCTTAGGAATGTGAGGTCAGGTTCAGATCTCGGTTGAGCGTTCTGGGGTCTGAAAGTGGCCCATTCAGGCCAGAAGAGAGGCCTTATTGTGTTCTCTAGAGGCAGAGACTCTCAGCACCGGAACAAACGGCAATTATCAGAACCTCTGAGAGGTGGAGATCAAATCCGCCCAGCGTGGAACCCAATCTGACCTGATCTGCTCAGACAATCCTGCTATAACATCCTTACATACGTTACAACGGCCACCCAGTACAAGTTACTCCCTTTATCACACGGGAGCCTCGACAAGTCACAGCATAAAGCACTTTTACGAGTCACGGTACGGCTCGACTCGCTTTTGGTACCAGCTACTTCGTTTTCCTCACCTCCTTAACATAGCTGGTCGTCATAGCGACGCCACATGAAACTGCCGTGATGTGAAAAATAAATGTTGCTCAGAAGAGGCAGAAAGACAAAAACAGGAGAGTTTGAGAAAAATTACATCAGAGTTCTCAGACGACGAGGCGGTTCTGGTGCTCAAAGGCGACGCGAGAGGCTCCACTACCCTGGTAGCTAACGTTAGCGTATGTGTTTAGTGATTCTCTTCGACCAATCAGCAGCCTGCAGCGTTTTTACGTCACCTTTTGGTATCAGCTCAGTTTGCCTGGAACCTTGACACAGCACCGGGTACTAGGTACTAGCATGAAAAAACAAAACAAAAAAAAAAGGAGCAAGTGAGTCGAGTCGAGTCGAGCTGGCAGTGGCAGAACAGAAAACCCATCTCAGGTCCTCCTGAAATCGCTGGTCTGGGTTTTGCTTCCAGAACTCTGCGGTCCACTCCCGGCGCCGCGTTCGGGGCTATGTGGTTCATTCTGCAACGTGACGGCTTCGACTTCAAGCTCCGTGATTCTGCATACCTCCAGCAGAGGAGTGGCGTATGGAATTGCGCAGTCGATCCACAATGTTGTGAGTGAAACCAGCGATAACGAGCTCCTCCCCTAAACGAGCCCAGAATCGGTTCTGGCTGCGGACTCAGGTATTCAGGACGAGCATGAAAACACCTTAAATCTAATATCAGATGTCTGAGTGTTGAGTGAGAGTCCTTTTCAGTTCCTCAAAGAATCTGCAGACACACCTCCAAAGTTCAGTCTTAGAAGCTGGTTGATCATTTTCTGAAGTAATCAAACACATTCAGTGGTGTTGAGGTCTGGACTCTGGGGTGGTCAGTCCATTGTTCAGCTTCTTTATTTGTGTCCATCTCCTTTTCTCAGTGAGGTTCTTCTTGTCAGCTACACATCCTTTCAGACCCACAGCGCTGAGTCGTCTTCTCACAGTGGAAGGATGGACAGAAACACCTGTGGATGTTTTCAGATCTGAAGCAGCTTGATTTTCTCCTCTCTCTCAGAGATGAAAGCTTTAAGTGCTGTTTATCTGATGGGGCAGTTTTGGGGTCTAACAGCTCTTCCAGGTGGTTGTTAGGAGCCACATTTTCTCTGGAGCTTCACTTTGACTTTCTCCTTCTTTATACATGTCGATTATCTTTAATCTAACCTCACAAATATCTTCTGAAAAATCTACTGCCTGTACACACTTAAACATGGTTCTCCAAGGGTTCTTTAGTAAGAAAAATGGTTCTAAATAGGGTTCTTTGCATGGTGAAACGATTCTGTGGACAGATGCAGAACCTGCTGAAGATGGTTCTATAACACAAACTTTTTGAAAAGGCTTCTTCTATAATTACAAGCTTGACACTGTAACAGCAGAACCCTTTTATTAATCTGAAGAACGCTTTAATTGTGCAGATGGTTCTTTGAGTGTTCATGGTTCTACATAGGACCATTTTCTTTACTAAAGAACCCTTGAAGGGTGTACTGAAAGGCAGTTTTGTCTATATGTTCTACACACTACAGTACGAACATCTTCACACAGCTGAGCGCAGACTGGAGCATTAATGATGCACCAGCTCCAGCTATGAGGAAATAAGCTCCGCCCACTGGGGCCTTATTTACATACCATTTGCAAATGCCTTATTTATTGTCATACTTGGCGTGCAGGATCAGGAGATACAGGACATCATGAACAATGAACAAATCCACCCGGAACGCTGCATGACGGGTAAACGCAGATCTGACATAACCGTCAATCATTAACCCGATTAAATTAATTCAGGTTCAGATTCATTAGTTCAGGTTTGAGTGATATAAACTGAGATGTTCTGATGTGTTTACTGGACTCCAGAAGAGCAGACTGTGTAGGAGACTCTGGGTTTCTGCACTAAAATACCTACAATTAATTTATCTTTACTGTATTTGAGGACCGTACAGTGTCACAGTTCCCTGTACTGCGACTGCGCATCGGTTCAGTCCCGATTTCTTTAGTTTAGAGATGTTTGTTAGACGTGATCCCTACATCAAAAACAGCTCCCAACGATGAACGCTGAACTGTGTTCATTATTAAACTCACTGTTTTCTATTTTTTGCTCTCGCTGCTGAAAATATTATCATTAATGATTCTGATTATCAGCATTTCTTCAGGTTGTTAAAGGGGAATTCCACCGACTTCCCAAAATTTTTACATAATTCAGTGGCTGAAATGTAAAGAAAGTTTTTGATGATGGAAAAAAGTGGAAAATCTGAAATAATACGTTTCTTTAGGAACTATTTTGCCTCACAGCGCCCTGCATGTATCCCTCCCTTTTAGAGCCTGTAAAAAAATAGCATCTTATCAAAAGAAATTATCTTAAATCTGATTGTTGTGGCTAATATTCCTCATTTGGAGATGGTTGTAGGAATATTATGGTCATTTAATCTGTTTCCAGACGTTTGTTCCTTGTTTTAGTAACTTTACTGAGTGAAACTGTCTCTGTATTGGCAGATAATTCTGCTTGTTGTAACTGAGATCACTTCACTGAATAAAAGAACCTGAAACAAGAACAGAACATCTAGAAATACGTTAAATATTTTTAATATTCATACAATCATCTCTAAATAAGAAATATCACACATTTAGACTGGATTTAAGATTTAATATCACTCACTGATAAAAATACAAAATCTTCTCAAAACTATCCTAAAACAGTGTCTCAGTCATCAGGCAGTGAATTCATAACCATTTACTGTAGGAACTTTCTGTGAGGGAGCTTTTAGAGGTGGACGTCTGGTTCCTATCACCACCACTGTGACCAGTTCTGACTCAGTAAGTTTATCTAGAACAGAGCGTTTCACACCAAACCACTCTGAACCACTCTGCTTACATCTTAACCAGTTAATTATGCAGGAATTTTGGGAAATGGGTGTAGTTCCCCTCTCTATGATGAAGCTGGCCTACAGCGAAGCGGTCAGGGAAATCTGCGTGTACGCAGGTGTGTACAGGTGCAGCACTGGGTCCCTAGTAGACACAAGTTCTACTCACTTTTAAGCATCTAATGTGTCCCCTTCTGATTGCCATGAAGAGCCGTCACAGATCCCGACTCTGAAGATACCGAAAACAAAATAAGGTAATAAAAATACACGCTGATTTAAAAAAAAACAAAAGAGGGAGGCAGGGAAGGCAAACAGGCAGGTTTTGGGGTTCAAAGTAAAGTGAATTAAATAAACTGAACGAAAACAAATGAGAAAAGATGAGCCGCCTTCTGATTTTACCTGTGGAAAGAACATAACAGCCGTCAGCCGGTCAGACTGGGACAGTCTCAGCGTGTATTTTTAACACCTCACTTTGACTGCGCTAGCATTCATACAGCCTCTATGAGCTCTAATAGACTCTACACCTAAACCTACACTGACACAGAGGGGCCTCCCTGCACATACGCATGATTAATATGCATTACACGCTTATACGACTCTGCCTGCATATACAGCGACACTAAGTCATACAGTGTATTAAAATAACAATGTCTAAATTTACTGCCACCTGTGATCTAAACACTGTATTGATCATAAGAGAATACGCCACAGAAACCATCGTTAGGATACGATGAATGAGAGAACAGACTTTTAGAACGTTCTTCATATTTCCTAATGGGTCCAAGGTCACATTTAACGAGCTACGTCATTAGAGCCGTGTGGGGGCTGGGCAATGTGATCATATCACAGATCAATAATCAGTATTGTGATACAATACGGCACAATATGCTTTTGAAGCACATCATAGATCTCGTCAGTACATACAGAACCCCTGAACGGCATGCTCTACTGTAAAGAGAACACAATTAGAACCGTTTAATGAGATTTAGTGCATCGCAGCGCGTGGAACGTTAAAAAAAAATCACTGTATTTGTAATTTTTAATATCTTTTCAAAATATGGCACTATTGGCTCTTTTTTATACTGCGATGCATACTGCCATATCACATACCCCCCCACCACCACCCCACCACCCTACCACCCTCATGTGCAGTGAATTAAGACCGAACATCGGTGTGCTCATGGCTAGAACCAGAACTACGACTAAGTTAGTTAGGGCTGAAAGACTAATCGTTTTTATATCCAAATCACAATTTAAGAACGGTGCAATTTTCAAATCGCAAAAGCCGCAATTTTTGTTTAAATAGCCTATATGGTTATTAGTTCTTCAAGATTCTTAAAAAAATGGTTCTTTAGTAAAGACAGTCATTCTATATAGAACCATGAACACTCAACAACCCATTTGCGTGCTTAAACGGTGAAATCATCCTTCAGATTGATAGCACCAAATATATATAGCACCAAAAAGGGTTCTGCTATTGTTATGATGCCAAGATTGTAACAGTAAAAGAACACTTTGGTGCTATATAGAACCCTTTTTAAAAACTGCTACGTAGAACCATATACAACACATTCTCCACAAATCTAAAGAACTATTTGACCATGCAGAGAACCGTTTAAGCATGCAAATGGGTTGTTAAGTGTTCATGGTTCTATATAGAACCATTCTCTTTAGTAGAGAACCCTTGAACACCTTTTATTTAAGCGTGTATATTAGGAAAAGCGTTGTTTTAAGACGGGAAATTGAAATACCTACAGAAAACTTAGACCAATCAGAGGCAACCAAACCTCCATGTGTTGTGACATCACAACCACAACTTACTGGCAGTCTGGCTCGCTGCGTTCAGGGGTCGAGCCCAAGCCAGAAAGGGTGGATATTCTGGTCTTCTTGGCCAAAATAAACCAGGCCTGATTCTCAATTTATAAAAAATTGCAATTTTAGTCACAGACGCAGTATCAGCCTGAAAAACCGCGATTAGATATTCTCCCCAAATCGTTCAGCCCTAAAGTTATTTAGCTAATGTCACCAGAGACCAGCTGCTGTGTTTACCAGCTAGTCAACGCACTGGCAAAGCGTTCTCTGTCTAGAACGTGAGCACTCTACACTCGCTGATCCTTCTAATTTCACTGCACAAGTGTGCTTAGCCAGGCTCGGAGGTCTGGACACAAACACGAGCACACTAGCACTGTTCTATCAGATGTGTACGTGTGCTAGAACTAGAACACTTAGCTAGTGTGTGCTCACATTCTAGAATTAGAACAACAAAGCCTGGATAAATGTACACTCAAGCTATGAAGCTAGAAGGACTAACCAGTGAGTGCTCACGTTCTAGACTCAGAATGCCTAATTAGTGTGTATGTACATGCTAACTGGACAAAGCCTGTGTTCTGGAACCAGGACGCCAAGCTAGTGCATACTCATGTGCTACATCCAGGATGCTTGGCTAGTGTGCACTCGTGTTCTAACTAGGCAATGTGTTCCGGAACTAGAACTCCTAGCTAGTGCACACTCGCGTTCCACAGCCAGAATGCTCAGCTAGTGTGCACTCGCATGCTGACTAGCTAGAGAGCTTGGCTGATTTAGAGTGCGCTTGTATTCTGGTACTAGAATGCCTTAAAAGTGTGCACTCATGTTCTAGAACTAGAACACTCAGCTAGTGTGTACTCACGTTTTAACCAAAGTGCTTAGCTAGCACGCACTCAGGTTCTACCTACAAAGCTTAGCTAGTGCGTTCAGCAGCTGTGTGTTTCGGCTGGTGTGTACTCGCGCCCCCGCAGCAGAATGCTTAGCTAGTGTACTCTCGGGTTCTAACTAGAACGCTAGGTTAGTTCCCACAGTTCCGGCCTCCCACCGAACGTAGATGAACGCTTGGCCAGCGCGCACTGGAGCCCGAGTCCAGTGGGCGGTCAGTGCTCTCCACACGGTTAAAGCGCTCTGGGTCAGCTGGAACTCCAGTGTGATTATTGGGACGCAGCCACTCCTCCGTGTCGGTGTAACATCGCCTTGCCGACACTCGGAGCTGCGCTGCGCTCGCATTTAGCCTAGCGGAGCTAACCCGCGGCTCCCCGGCCGCTCAGCGCTCTGACCCGCAGACCGCGGTGCTGATTTTCGGGGCGATCCGCCGCCCCGCGGCCCGTTTTCCCGCTGCGTTCAAACTCGAGCGCGCTGCCTGCGGCCTGGCTAACATCGCGGGCCTCCGCCGCATGGCATTCGCTCGGCGGCGCCCGATTCGAGCGAACTCGCGGAAAAGCCGTGTTAACCGGAGACCGGGAGGGCGGGGGGGTGGGGTGAGCAGCTTACCAGGTTCTCCGCCGCTCCGCTGGGTTCCCCGCACGCGCCGATGAGGTTTTTATTCGCAGTGAGGAGCTCCGCACCCGCCGAGCCGCACGAGGAGAGCCGAGGAAGAACGCGGTGCCACGCCCACCTATGCACTAACCCCGCCCACGCGCGGATGATTCGACGCTTTTCTTGTCACTCAGCACGGAATCGTTCCCAAGTCCCGCCCTCTCGACGCTGCGGACCAATCCTGCCTTGGCAACTGTTGCTACCTTCCTTACTGAGCGGCTAGCTAATGTGCCTGCTAGCTACTTTACGGTCGTTTTCTGGGGAAGTGTTGCTGAACAGTTTGCTTAGTTATGTGTTCTGTATTCTCACAGTCAGATTTCTGCTGTAGTAAAACATTTTAAACATTTATACGAACACATTAAGGCCTCAGTAATGCTAAAAAAACAAACCTGTATTCTAAAAGCAGCCAAAACAGCTCATGGGATCAATACAATCGATTCATTACAGGAAACGATTTCTTTTGCAGTGATCATAACATAAACACACGTTTACTGTACCTTCACGAAAATGATCTACATTAATATGATGAACCATAGATTCACAGTGCTGCATAATAATGGTGTAGAATACTTTCTCTCTTATACTTACAGAATTACTCAATACATATTAATAATAACAGTATATATTACTTGTATAGAAATCATGTAGGTTCATGAGTGGCTAAAACCCTTGATATTCAGTGTTTTAATTAAGAATGAATAGCACACAGTAGTGTTACTGTATATGGAGTAGAGATGGGTAATGTGGCAAAAACATAACATGACGATACTTGAAGTCTGCATTCCTTTAATATGAACACAATATGCTCAGAAATGATCATCACAATAATAATATATCATCACATTGCCCCTCCCCACTGTCATGAATGACTGGAAGTTTAAATCATTCTACCAGAAAAACACAAATTCATAACAGATCTGGAGAGGGGTGAACCAGGCCTCATTCCCAGCTTAGTATTTCTAAAATCACCAAATACACCCATATTTGCACCAAAGCAAGCCGATTTAATCCCATTTCAGATTTGTTTTAGTGACCAAAATGTTTTTAAATTTTAAAAAGGCGATTTTTAAAGATCAGCAGTGCTGCCTGTCTTATTTATGTGTTAGCAAGGCCTAAGCTAGGCTAGGCGAAGCTAGACTGCTAGCATTAGCTGCTCCACCACTGTCTAACTTGCTTTATGCTAACAGCCATAGCTATAACATTATAAAATTAAAATACAGCAATGGAGACCTTGAACTGATGAGCAGCTGAAATCCTGTATCAAACAAGATCAGGAAAACATTTCACTTTCTAAACTACAGCAGTGTCTCCTCAGTTCCCAAATGCTTACAGAGTGTTGTTAAAAGAAGAGGTGATGAAACACAGTGGTAAACATGAACCTGTCCTGGACTTTTTTGACACATGTTGTTGGCATTAAATTCAAAATGGGCAAATGTTTTTTAAAAAACAATACAATTTCTCAGTTTCAGCATTTAATATGTTGTATTTCTTCTATTTTCAATTCATTATATGGTTTAAATGATTTGCACATCATTGCATTCTGTTTTCCGCCCAATGACAGTTGGGATAGGCTCCAGCACCCCAGAAGGATAAGCAGTTTAGATGATGTATGTATGTATGTATGTATGTATGTATGTATGTATGTATGCATTGTTTTTACATATTTTGTCTGTGTGCGGCAGAAAACAGGGTTGTTTTAATAGAATAAGTGAGAATTATGTAAAATAATATATATTTTCCCTTGTGCCTTAGCAAGATGTTCTGTAAATGTATTCTGATTTCATAACTTGTTTTATTATATATTTCAGCCATTCACTACATTTTCGCCCAACCCTGGTTGCTGCTGTTGTCTCAGGTGGTTGCTAAGGTGTTGCTAGGTGGTTCATGTGTTACTCCAAGTGGTTGCTAGGGTGTTTCTATAGTATTGGAAGTGGTTGCCATTTGACAGGAGGTTGACCAACAGAATGTGAAGCTCTGGAGCAGCTGCACATGATCCTAAGGTCACTATGCCCAGTGCCCAGCGTGGTCTAGAGGGGTATAAAGCCCCCCAGCATTGGGCTGTGGAGCAGTGGAACTGTGCTCTCTGGAGTGATGGAGCTCCATCCAACACCTTCGGGATGAGTTGGAGTGATCCAGAACTGACCATCCAACATCAGTACCTGGCCTCACTAATGCTCAATCAAATCCTCATAGCAATGTTCAACATCTAGTCTAAAGCCTTCTAGAAGAGTAGAGGCTGTTACTGCAGTACAGACTCACTATTAACACCTTCATTTCAGGAGAAACTCTGAATCAGCAACAAACTTTCAGACTTATTAAACATTCACTACAAGATAAGGCTAAAGGTCCTTTAAGCTACAGTTTAACGGGACGAAATTAAAATTAAGATTTTTTTTCTGACGTAGTGTCAGCGTTTTGTCTTTGTTTAAATTAGGCAGCAGAACTCTTGCCAAAGCACGGCTTTCCTGTGTCGAGGACTTTTATTTTGCTCTTTATTTATTTATTTATTTATTTTGCATCTGTTACGGCGTTTATTTTAACTGTTAAAAAAGCGTTTTAAATAAATGTGTTGATGAGCAAAACAGCCTCTCTAATTAGCATACACTCACACACAAAGAAATCAGCCAAATAATAATAATAATAGTAATAATAATAATAATGCAGTTAGCCGAATTTGCTCACTAACTCAAATTTATTCAAATATGAGTGTCTTTACAAAAAATAAAAGAAAAGAAAAAATGGTACTTAATAAATCTGATTTACATATAGACTAACGTGAAAAAACAAGATAAGGAAAAAGGTGTTGTATTTTAAAATATTTATTAGTAATAATAACAACAATGAGAAACTATTAAACAATTATAATGAATAAAATATTTAAACAATTATAATAAAAATACTAGAGATACGACAACAAAAATGATGATTATTACATGTTTAATTACTACATGCATGTATTTATTATTAACCTCGTGTTTTTTTGATGATGCCTCTGTTTTTAACACGGACCTTTATCGTATGAAATAACGCCACCGTCGCATCACTTCCACTCTGTGCTGAGCATGAGAGGAATCTCGAGTTTATGTTTAATGAAAATATATTATATAACAACAACAAAAATAATTATATTTATATATTTTAGTTATTATCATTTGTTTTGATTATTTAATTACGTCGGACCTTCACCGTGTGGAATGACGCCACCTCCGCGTCACTTCCGCCCCGTGCTGCGGAGTGTGAAGATGGCGGAGCAGCAGGCCGCGGACTCGGAGCTGGACGAGCTGTTGGACAGTAAGGTTTGAGATCAAAGCGGACAAACCATAAACTGTCGGGCAGTAAATACAGTCAGAGTTTATTAAATGAGATTAGAGCAAACTGACACGAACAAAGCAGCAGAAATCGGCTTCTTACTGGAAATTCAGTAACTGCTGCATCATTTAAGGTGGAGCGGGGAGGTTCCGACAGGGGGCGCTGTCAGCCTCCAAACACAGTGTAAACCAGTTAACCTGTAGACTCTGTGCTGTATTACATTCCTCTCCCGCTGCGGTTTACGGCTGAGGTCAGTGGGTCACACCTGGATGCACACCTGTGACAGGTACTCACTCTGTCCCTCTCTCTCCCTCTCCCTCTCTCTCTCTCTGCCTCTCTCCCTCTCTCTCTCTCTCTCTGCCTCTCTCCCTCTCTCTCTTTCTCTCTCTCTGTCTCCCCCCCCCTCTCTGTCTCTTTCTGTCTCTCTCTCTCTCTGTCTCTCTCCCCCCCTCTCTGTCTCCCCCCCTCTCTCTGTCTCTTTCTCTCTCTGTCTCTCTCCCCCCCTCTCTGTCTCTTTCTGTCTCTCTCTCTCTCTCTCTCTCTCTCTCTCTCTCAGGTGCTCTTGATGATTTTGAGAAGACCAGTGCGCCTCGTGCGGCGCCTGAAGCCGCTGCAGCCTCCAGCGCAGAAGCGAAAAGTTCTGGGTCAAAGGTGAACATCACTTCTGTCCTAGCTTCCATTCTGTAGTGAAGGTGTTAATGGTGAGTCTGTGCTGCAGTAACAGCCTCTGCTCTTCTGGAAAGGCTTTACACTGGATGTTGAACATTGCTGTGAGGATTTGTTGGATGGTCAGTTCTGGGTCACTCCATCTCATCCCAGAGGTACGGGATGGAGCTCCATCACTCCAGAGAGCACAGCTCCACTGCTCCACAGCCCAGTACTGGGGGGGCTTTATACCCCTCTAGCCTGCACTGGGTATGGTGACCTTAGGATCATGTGACCTTGGGCTGCTCCAGAGTGTCCCATTCTTATGGTCAACCTCCTATCAAATGCAGAAGAAAGGCCAAAGACAGTATAGCAGTCACCTCCAATACTATAGCAACAGCCTAGCAACCACATGGAATAGCATATGAACTGCTTAGCAACACTTCAGCAACAACCTGAGGTAACAAAGCACCCCAACAATCAACTATAATACTACAGTAAACACCCCGCAATGCCTTAGCAACCATCTCAGATACCATAGCAACACTCTTATCAACCACCTGAAACGCAACCACCTTGGGTACCATAGCAGCCCACTGGAAACCACCTAAAGCAACCTGGCTACCACCTACCTCCACCCTGGATGCCATAGCAACCACAAAATTCTAAACTCTTCAATATTTAAATCCAAACAATGGAAATAAACAATTTAACTTCAGAAAGCAGTCTTCTTACCTGTAAACTGTTCACCACCTTCAACCAATCATCACAAAATAATCCTAATTATCAAGAATTATTTACAGCGGCTTTGATTTTTCAAGCGTTATTAGCTGGCTTTGATAAGCTAACGGAGAGACTGATTGTGGACTTTCCTTTTCTAGTTGTGTTTCTGGTTCTGTTTAGGGTGCGCTGACTGACTGACTGATCCATTTCCTGATCCGGTCTGTATACAGCAGTCAGCTCTGAGTGATCCAGTCTCCATGCTGCGGTCAGTGCTGACTGGCCCGGTCTGTGTGCAGCGGTCAGTTCTGACTGTGTGCATGTCTTTGGTCCACAGCCGCCTCTCCTGGAGGACAGTCAGTTCTTCGAATCTCTGTTCGAGGGCGAGATGGCGAACCAGGCGAAGGAGGAGTGGGAGAGAGCGATGGCCGAACTGGCACAGGAGGAGCCGGAGCTGCTGCAGCATTTCCAGAAACTCTCCGAGGCTGCGGGCAAAGTCGGTACGTCAGAACCAGAACTCTTAGAATAAAAGAAAAAATATCACCAAAGACATTTTCACCAAGCAGGATATTTATCAGCGAATTAAATCAGAGCAGATTAACCAGCAAATCTACCAAACAAACAGCAGAGCCACTTTTAAAAAAGGCTTAAAAACCTACACGATTTAAAAAATCATAGCCAATACTGATCGAGGGCAGAGCAGGACTGTTAAAGCCTATTTACACCAAATACGTTTCCTCCAGACAACAAAACTCATGTGATTTTAATGTAGTGGGACCTTCACACAATCCGAAGTTTTTCTGTGTAAACACGCTGAAAGGCTGGTTTACACTCGAAAAAGTCTTCAGAGTAAAAAGTCGTTTTTCAGCTGTTTTTAATTATTATTTTTTTTTATACAGATGCACTCCCTCACAAAATCACCCCAATCATTCTAGAATGGTTCATTCTTTCCAGGCAGAGCTGTTCAAGTTCTTTGGTGAAAATTCCTGTATTTTTCCATATCTCGGAAAACAAATTTTGCAGTGTCAGTTTTTTCCAATATTGTGCAGCCATAATACACGATATACATCACAGGATTTACTTTTCTGAGGTTTGATAAGGTGGTACAGAACAAAAGCCCCAGCAGAGCCACCACACTAAATCCATTAAGCCGGACTGGTTATGTTCCCTCTTTAAATCGGTCAGTGTTCTTTCAGTACTAACGATATTCATACTCAGGGTATTATAAAAGTTTATCATGATGATGATGAAGTATTGTATCATGCACCGTGTCCTCAGAAAAGAATACCGTAATGTGATTTAATCACTATAATAACGTGTCATGCAGTCCTGTTATTGAGCCCCCTGCTGTCTGTCTCAGTGCTGTAACTGTCTTTAACATCGTTCACTGATTTCAGGATCAGATCCAGCTTCACAGCAGGAGTTCACCTCCTGTCTCAAAGAGACACTGAGCGGATTAGCCAAAAACGCAGACAACCTGCAGGTAGAGCACCTCACCTCACACAGCTGATACCACAATCAGAGAGTTTTAGTAGTGTGTGTGTGTTACGACAAAACCTCGTATCTCTGTTTTTTGTTGTTTTTCAGTATTTGACCTAACTTGAAAATGCTTGTTGTTCTTCACATTGTGTGTAGATTTTATGATGAATGGACCAAATGAAACGACCCAGAACGACTTGGAAAAATTCAGCTTCCATTGACTTACGTTAAAAGTAAAGTAGGTTTTTTCCTACTCCTGTAAAGTTACCATTTTGGAGATACGAGGTTTTGTTCCGATGGCAGTGAAATACATACAATGTTTACATATTTATATGCTTATAAGATGAGAAGAAACACAATCAAGAAATATAAATGGTACTTTATAATTAATACCACCTTAATTAAAGGAATAAAAATGTTTATTGACCAAGTGCGTTACACCAGCTGTTATTCTTTACAAATACCTTCATATCCAACATTGTTACCGATTGAAATTCATACAGTCATATGCAAAAATGTCAACACCTCTGCTTAAATTACATGTTGTTATTGTTGGTTTAAGTGTAAATAAGTGAACACGTTCTCTATAGAGACACTCAAATATGACATTTTTCTATAAATTCTATATATATATATATATATGTATGTATGTGTGTATGTATGTATGTGTGTATGTATGTGTATGTGTGTGTGTGTGTGTGTGTGTATATATATATATATATATATATATATATATATATATATATATATATATATATATATATATATGTATATGTATATATATATATAAATTAAAACTGACAAAATGACAAAAACAAAGCTGCCATGTCTTTGATGTGACGGTGTTGCTGTAGAGTTTAAAGTTAATGTACAGTAAATGTATCTGAGATACAGAGGATTTTAAAAGTGGGCGTGGCCTTAATTTTTTTCCCTAAAATGTTTGTAAGCTTTGAAGTTTCAGAAAGTGTTTTGTGGTTTAAGGTGTCTTTTAACTACCAAACCTAAAACGGCGAGCGTGCGTCTCTTAATCTCCTTTGTTGAGTCAGAGAATAATCCCTGCAGCAGTATTGATTATCATAGGCTGATTATTGTTATTGATCAGTGAGGCTGAGTGCTGTTTTGTGGGCTCTCCTGGTCTGAGTGGTGGTGAATGGCTGAGGTTCTTCTCTCTGTGTACGTCAGGCTGCCGGACTGGCCGGAGACGATCTGGCTAAGACTCTGGAAGGGCTGGGATTGGATGACGGTGAAGGAGCAGGGGATGATGGGAATATTCTGCCCATCATGCAGTCCATCATGCAGAACCTCCTGTCCAAGGATGTCCTCTACCCGTCCCTCAAAGAGATCACGGAGAAGGTCAGTGAGACGCCTGGTCATAGTGTGAGATGTGCTCTAGATCCCCGACTCTTTATGGGTTCTTTCCTCAGAACTTAAAGCAATAGTTTTACCAAAATCAAGTTCCTTCTTCTGTACTGTAAATGTATACTCTTAGAGATGGCTCTTCAGGGGTTCTTTAGTAATGGCAGTGCGTCTGATTAGAACCATGAGTGCTATATAGAATATATATAGAGTGCTATATAGGTTCTACATAGCACCAAAAAGGGTTCTTGTATTGTTACAATGTCGAGCTTGTGAGTATAGAACCCCTTTGTTGTGTCTCCATCAATCTGAAGAACCATTTCAATGCAAAGAACCATTTAAGCATGAAATAGTTCTATACAGAACTCATGTTCTAAACAGAACCATTGCCTTTACTAAAGAACCCTTGAAGAGCCATCTTTTTTAAGAGTGTCATGAGTCAACCAAGACATGACGGTCAAGTTTGGTGTCTGAAGTTTGCTTGTTTAGTTTTGGTCTAATGCAGCTAACAAGTAATACTTGTTTGTGTTAACGATTAGCATGGTGCTAACTGCAGGCCTAAATCATCTCACGCTCGTCTCAGAGTGTGTGGAGGTGTTCAGTGTCTCCAACAGTCTTGATTATGGTTTCTGATACTGTGTGACTCACTGTGATCTATAAACATGGACTACAGGGTGTTAGCATAGCTATAAACAGTAGCAGCCAGACTGCAGGCCTTTTCCAGCACTTTCTATTAGCAAAAAGTCAGAATATAAATAACATTATTTACTCTTTAAGTGGCCAGAGTGGCACTGTAATTCAGATCGGTCATAAATGTGCCTACTAGTTTCTAGAGTGTTTGGAAAACAAGGAAAAACCCCTTTTATGATGCATCGCGAAGGTGGGAGGAGAAACTACAGTGGCTGATTTTTGGGGATGAGCTATTTGGATTTTGTTTCCTAGCTGGCTAATGCAGAAGGATGGCTCACGTTGCTGATAGGAAGCCGAATATCACATCTGTTTTTACTACATCAGCTGGAGAAATTCCCAAATGTTGTACAGCGTTTTTCAGTAAATCATGCTGGGTATTGTAGTTGGAGAACTTTGATGAACAACATCTTAAAAACAATGCAAAAAAGTGAGTCTGTCAGACTGATGAGGCTGAGGCGTCTGATGCTACAGAACACTGCATAACATCACAAATGACATGCTAGTTTTGGGCTGTGTTGCCCCTTTAATCAAAATATCAGTGGCCTGTTTAAATAAATGAGTCAGATGAAGCGCACTGGCAGTGCAGCACAGTGTATCCCGTATAATTGTGCAGCAGCGCGTATGAAGCTGCCTCATCCTGTGTCCTCGTAGCTCCTATGCTAAGCTAAGGCTACTTGTTAGGTGCGTTAGCCATGTAGCTGCGGTGTTAAGCTAACAAAACTGTCAGCCACGTTGTTCTCTGTGCTCCAGGACTAACATTGCTTGTTAGCCACATTAGCCTCGTAGGTCCAGTGCTCAACTAGTTCTTATTAGCGACATTATCCTAGTAGCTCCTACGTTAAGCTAATATTGTATAATATTATATTGTTACCTTTATTCCCATAGCTCCAGTTCTATACTAGTTAGCTATATTTACCTCAGATCCTGGGCTAAGCTAATATTCCTTGTTAGCTATATTATGCTAGTGCTAGCTAACATGACTTGTTGGCTACATTAGCCAGCTAATATTCCTTGTAGGCTCGTTAGCCTCATTATTTATATAAAAGTCACCTGTATTTCACATGTGGAATGTTCAAAACCTCACGTGTTTAGAAGTCGTCACACATTCTTAACATGTAAAGTGTGCGAAGTGTTTTTTGCATGTTTTCTGTAAGGGTTAGCTCCTGAGCTAAGCTAACACTGCTTTTTAGCTACATTAGCCTCGTATTCACTGGTGCTAAAGTTAAATAGTCGTCAGCAGTTTAGTGTTTAACAGTTTATTTAAATTAAATTGACACTTAAGGCAGATTTATAAGACAGAAATGGCTTTTCTTCAGTGTCTGTGTGGATCAGCTAACAGAGCTGTGTTTGTGTTCAGTACCCTGAGTGGCTGAACAGTAACCGACAGTCTCTCCCGCCGGAGGAGCTCCACAGATACGAACAGCAGCACAGGATCATGGGGGAGATCTGCAGCCAGTTTGAGAGAGATTCAGATGGAGAGAGCAGCTTTGAGAACATTCTGGAACTCATGCAGAAGGTAAATAAGGCTCCATTGCAATGATGGCATGCAAATTAAGCCATAGCAACGTAAATGTGTTTTATTTTGTACACACACAGACACCGAAGCTGCTGGAAGGCCTTGTACATCATTGAAAACTGATTTTATTTGCTTATTTATTCATATATTTATTTATCTACTTTCTTTTTTTGTAGTAGTTTGATGTAGTATTAATATGTTCCATACAGTCCATATATGGAAAATAGCTTCAAAAACAGCCTTAAATTTGTTTCTGTGATGTCAAGAAGAGCAACTATTTTACATGTTTCTGTCTATTCAGCCTACAGTTTAGCCCCGCCCATTCACACTGTGTTATAAGTGAACCCTTTAGGGGAAAACATATAATATAATTAGTCCCCTTTAAAGGGTTTGTTTGCTCTGTATTTGATGTGTATTTTCTCTAAATCTCTGTTTTCCGGCTCAGCTGCAGGACCTGGGCCAGCCGCCAAAAGAGCTCGCTGGAGAGGCAGTGAGTATCGCCCCTCCGTGGAAAAGCGTTGCTTTAAAGCAACACTTAAATGAAAAACATGAAACTTCATATTTTCCCAAATGTTGTCGTTCAGCTAAGACATGCTTGATGTAACCTGGCTAACGAGTAATGGAAGCTTGGCACTGGAGCAGTGAGGCTAATGTAGCTAACACACAATGTTAATTTAGCCTAGGCCAATGTAGCTAACAGAGAATATTAGCTTAGTCCTGTAGCTAACAGAGAATATTAGCTTAGTCCTGTAGCTAACAGAGAATATTATCTTAGTCCTGTAGCTAACTAAGAATGTTAGCTTAGTCCTGTAGCTAACTAAGAATGTTAGCTTAGTCCTGTAGCTAATGTAGCTAACAACTAACGTTATGCTCCATTCGGGAGCTTGTCGAAAGGCTGCATATTCCAGACGGTTGTAGTGAACACTGCTAAACTCCGTTTGGGTCCTCATTCATAGATGCGCCCACCGCATGGAAAGAAATGAACAAGTAATGGAAGCTTAGCATTCGAGTAATGAGGCTATAACCAGGAACATTAGCATAGCAGTGACACTATGAGGCTAATGTAGCTAACACACAATGTTAATTCAGCATGGGAACTGCAGGGCCAGTGTAGCTCTCAAAAACTGTTAGCTTAGTCCTGGAGCTACAAGGCTAATGAAGCTAATAAGTAGCTATTAATAATACCACAAAATGTTAGCAAAAGAGCTTTGAGGCTAACATAGCTAACGTGTGCTGTTATGCTGCGTTCGGTGCTCATCGAAAGGTTGTAAATACCAGATTGTTAACGAGAAAATACGACTGAACTCCGTTTAGGTGTTACAAAGCTCTGCATCTTGTAAATATCAGCATTTTGGTGAGCAAAAAAAGCACTTTTCTTAGGTAAAAATGCTTTTCAGTCCAATTTTGCTTGTGACACTTATGAGGAATGTGTGTGAGACGTGTGTGATATTTGTGTTTTTGTCAGTTTTTAACATTAAGACTAAACTAAAATGTCCTGGCTGATTAATGAGGTTATGATTATTATTATTGATCTGTGTTCTTAGTGCTGATTTGAATGTGCTTTATATCACTCTCAGTAATTGTTTGTTTTCCTGTGGATCTCCTCAGCCCCCCGGTTTGAACTTCGATCCCGAGTCTCTGCACCTCCCTGGTGGTCCGGGCGCGGCCGGCGGAGAGCAGTGTTCGGTGATGTGAGGGAGCCAGGCTGTGCCGTGCTGCTCTGAGCTCCTCCTGATTCAGGATGGAGCTGATGGAGTTTATCTGAGTGAACACCCACAAAAACTCCTGTAAAACACCTCCTCCTCCTCCTCACTCTTCATCTCCTTCAGCCGCTCCAGAGCGGTTCCTTAAACCGGTTTAATGCAGCTTTGGGTTCACCTGTGGGCTGATATATATTGATAAAATCAAATTTTGCACATTTGCACCTGATAATGAGTCGAACGGCTAGAAGCCTGTGCCTCTGCTCTTAATGACAGAGAATTAGAAAACTGCAGGAGGTGGGTGGGTGTCATGTTTGCAGTTCTGGCTGTTAGACGTCTTAAAGGAGGGATGTTGGATGAATAAATATAGTAACCGTCAATTTAATAAGCTATAATTAAATTACTGCTTTTATATATAATAATTCATCGTGTACAATTGTTTGGAACATACTGAAACCTAGTTAAATTTCTTTTTCAGAACTGATCAGTGACCAAAAAAGGATTTTTTAATAGGCGAGACCTTGAGATGAGGGCCAAACTTCATTGTTTCCCCATCATGAGCCCATCTGTACTGTGACTAAAGTAGCCTTGTGTGTTTTCTCCAGTCAGTTTGTACTGAAATTGCATGTTGGATGTTGTTTGCTTCCCTTAAAGGTGGGCGAGATGGATGTAATTGGTCCGTTTTGCCTTCTAGCATCTTTTCAACCTGTTTACAAAAGCATTTTTGACACTAAAGCAGAAGAAGTGTCCATTTTAAAGGAATACCTGAGCGTTTTTCAACCTAGTGTCATCAGTTAGCCACCACAGATGCAGCTCCACTGACTGAAATCACATATGTTGCTTACATGAATGTCATGAGTTAAATTAATTGGAAAATATCTCTATATATCTCTACATAATAATCTCTAATCAATACTAAGAAATTGTTCTTTTTGCTCACCAAAATGCTGCCACGTAAAATGCTAGCTAGGTGGCTTACAATAGCTGCTAGCAAACATTAGCAAACGTTAGCTAATGTTGTTTTCACACAGGTTGTGACGGTCCCAGGGCGAAATCGTTTTAAAGAAGGACCTTCTGGATGAGGTGTAGTTGAGGTAGAAGTTAGCTGAACAGTCAGGTTGTGTTTGTAATTGTTTTATACGGCGGTGTTACATAAAGCAGCCGCTGTCCCCATTCACTAAGATGCTAGATACTGGCTAACTTGGCAGCTCACTGCTATCACTGTAGCCATGAAGTAAAACCCTGAATAAAATAAGGTGTAAATGATCCTATTTTACACTGAAAGGCTGTCGCTGCAGTAGCTAAACAGGATCTAATGACTTAACCTACTGCAGTTTTCAGTTCTATTAAAATTATGTGTAATATTTAAAAAGAAAAACACATCGAAGTTTAAATGCTAGCACTGTCTAATGTAGAAAAGAGTCTTTTCCTCACAAGACCGAGCGCATTAGAGGTAAAGCGTTCCTCAACAATGGTATAATAAACATATTTATTTGGTCTTTATTGATTCTCAGCCTAAATTTTCCTCATATTATTTTTACCACTCAAAAATAACGCTCATTTCAGCTAGCATCTCTTTGAGATGTTGTGTGAGTGCCAAGCCAACTGTAGTGAATGTTCATGGTTCCACTTACATGGAATATAATAAAGAAAAATATTTTTTGATCCATTCTTTATTGGTTCTCTATTGATTCTCCAATTATTTTTTTTAAACCACTGCAAAAAATAATGCTACTTTACACTGGCCTCTATGGGGTTTCTAGTGTATATTTACTGTTCCACTGTGCTTATTACCACTAGTAGCAACTCTGCCTAAGACACGGACCTCTGAAACATTGATAGTGTTCTTCACATTTTATTATGCAGTTTTACTGTGAATAGTTCATGCTCTTTCAGTGACGCGCACCAAAACTATGAGTGCTAATAGCTTCCTTTTGTGGAGGATATTGAATTGTTTATTAGAGTCACCAGGATGAATTCAGTAAAGGCCTCGTGATTCTTTTTGTTTTGTGTAGGCCTGATTTGACTGGGCAATGGTTTCTATTCTAAGTGTGTTTTGAGTCAGTGGCTTTTCCTGTACTTTGATAGAAGACGTATGGAAAACCCATGTTGTCTGAGGTAAAAAGATGCAACAAATAGGTTGAAATAAATGCTGGAGTATTCCTTTAAAGTCTACCCGATCCTCTTACAGACCTGTATTATGTTAAGTGCTCCCAACAAGCCTCCATGAAAAAAAAAAAATAATAATAATAATAATAGTGTCATATTGTACAGGTGACTGTGCTCCAGTGTGTTGTGTTAACTTTCCCAAACATGACATTTAACACCCAGAATACCTCAGATCAGTGGGTAGTGGTGTAAAATGTTTATTTTGGAAAAAGTGAGCTTTTATTTTGAAAGCTGAGAGGATGCAGAGTTTAATAGGCTTTAATAGGCTTGCATGCACTCTTAAAGATGGTTCTTCTAGGGTTCATTAGTAAACAGTGGTTCTATATAGAACCATAAACACTCAAAAAAACATTTGCATCCTTAAATGGTTCTTTGCACGGTGAAACGGATCTTCAGATTTACAGAGAATGTGTACATGGTTCTGTATAGCACCAGAAAGGGTCTGCAATTGTAAAGATGTCAAGTTTGTTACAATAGCAGAACCCTTTTTGGTGCTGTATAGAACCACATACACATTCTCCATCAATCTGGATAACCATTTCACCATGCAGAGAACCATTTAAGCATGTAAATGGTTCTTCAGGCGTTTATGATTCTATATAGAACCACTGTCGTTAAACCTAAAACTAAAAACCTTTGCAGGACCGTGTTTTTAAGAGCGCAGGCTGAACTCGCATATGAAGACTGATATTTAGGTGGATTAATATGGGTTATGGTTAATATGGATTACAGTGAGAGACGAGCACATAAGACGAACACTCAGGGGTTCATTGAACACCCAATGCACTTAAACCAGTCACACTGAATTCAGCTGAAAACTGCGAACTCCCTCACAGTGAACACCTGGACCTGCTATCATCTACAGACTGTGAACAAAGTACAGAATTACAGTGGAAGAAATAAAAAAAAGAGAAAAGTTTGTGTTCTGTGTGGTCTTTTGTTTTATTTCCAGCCATTTTATTTCGTGCACAATAATTATAATAGACTTTTTAGAGAGAGATATGAGTGCGTTTCTGGCATCTGAGATAAACAAGTGGATCTTTTTCCCCAAAAGAAAATAAAACAGTCAAAAACACCTGAAAGCAATAATTCAGACAGGTGTCCACAGACTTTTGGCCATATAGTGTAGTTCCAAAATTATTTAGCAAAAAACTAAGTGTTCGGTTTTGCCCTGCTCTCTTTACGGTAGCCCAAAAAGGTCCTTCAAGGGCTCTTTAGTAAAGACAGTGGTTCTCTATAGAACAATCAACAGTCTAAGAACCATTCACATGCTTAAATGGTTCTCTGCAGTGTGAAAGAGCTCTTCAGATTGATGGTGAATGTGTTGTATATGGTTCTATACAGCACCAAAAGGTCCTTCTGTTGTAGCAAGCTTGACAATAACAGTAGCAGAACCCTTTTTGGTGCTACATAGAACCAATAAGATTGTCCTTCAATGGTTCTTGAGTAAAGAATATGGTTCTATATAGAACCAAAATAGGGTTCTTCTACTGTTACGATGTCAAGCTTGTTACAATAGAAGAACTCTTTTCAAACAGGTCCTATATAGAACCATATACAGCACATTCTCCATCAATCTGAAGAACGATTTGTGATGTAAAGAACAACGTAATCATGCAAACTGTTCTTTGAGTGTTCATAGTTCTAAGTAGAAACATCTTTACTGAAGAACCCTTAAAGAAGGATCTTTTTAAAGAGTGTAGTAAATGTACAACTGAGGTAAGATCATTAATGAGTGTGGAATGTTTGGATTCTCTTGTTTTTGCTTCTGATTTCGTCTGTTTTCTAAATCTAGCAGTGAAAGGATCATGTGTTAAGAGTGTGTTCAGTAAAAAGTGTACGCAAAATAACCTTTTCACCTTTATAATATACCTTTATTTATATTCAGTCAATATATTTGTTTTTGTTTTGTTCGTCTTTCCTATTATTATTCCTTGTTTTTCACCTATTTCCAAGGCCCGAGACAGCTGCCTCAGTTTCGGACACAGCCCAGGGCTCCTTCATGGCCTAACCAGCTCACTCCCTTCAGTCCACTAGACAGTAGTGCACTCCGTAGGGAGCATGGCGCTGTATTCGGGACGCGCCCTCCTCCCTGGGTCTGACGTGGAGCTTCCACTGCAGGCATCTTGAAGCGCTGAGCCTTAGTGGAGTTTCTGTAGACGTGTCAGCTGCAGAAGAGCTGCTCATTCACTGCGCTCTTCATGAGAACAGCCACTCTTCTGCGACATTAACCTGTATTTCGGTGTAACGGCACGGTCCGTGTGCGTCTCTGAGTCCGGAGGAGATGTTGACCAAATTCGAGACCAAGTCTGCTCGAGTGAAGGGTGAGTTATTATTACTGCTGCGGTTAGCATGCAGGCTAACGGCTAATGCTTCAGAACCAGAGTTAAACGTTCAGCCGCGCCGTTACAGGTTTATTTACAGGTAGATTCACCCGTATTTCCTGAATATGAGCTTTAATCTGCTGTTTTAGGAGCTACATCCGCTGACAGAGACGCCGCGGCCTGTCTGGAGTTAAGGTAGCCGGTTAGCTTTAGCGTTAGCTCGTGGCTAACAGCTCTTTGAGCTTTTGGCTGTTAGGAGTTGAAGGGAATGAATTACACTAATATAATCGATATGATAGTGTTGATCTAAAGCAACAGCGTGTCTTGTGTGCTATGTTAGTCGTGTTTTGGGGCCTCTCGCTGCTGTTTGGGTGCTGCGCAGGAAGCTAAGCTAACTCTGTACTGTGTTAGACACGGCTCGGTCTTAGCCGCTCGCTGTTCACATTACAGTCCGAAACACTGACTTCAGAACACGGAGCTGAAGTTCCACCTTAAGTGCTGCAGGACCGGATTCGGTTTTAACCACCCACTGTTCACATTAGAATCCGAATCATTCGCGTTACAACATTAAGCTGAAGTTCCACCTTTCCAAGCATCTTCATAGTTGGTCATGATTTAAGTGTCAGCTTTTTGTTCGGATGATTCTGTTCCACCTTAACTGGTGCTACAGTTACATGCTGGTTCCTGTCCAGGGCCCCAGAACGTAACTGCTGCTTTTACTTTTTAAGGTGGACCGGAATAATTTGAATAAGATGTCAGTTTTAGCCTTTTCTTTAGACCCAGATTCGGCCCGTGTGGGTTCTTCAACTTACAACACGGTTTTTTTATATTTCTAATGCAATAAACAGAATCAGATCTCTGATAATGACCTTTGTTCATCTAACGAGCTGGGAAATGTCGTCACCTGTCAACAGGTATGAAGGCAGAGTTTTGTGGAAAAGTTATGTGTAAAATCAAGATGTGTTTTGATGAGTTGGAGCTATTAGAATGTATTATTATTATTGTTATTATTATCCTTATATAAATTATATATAGTATTAATGATAACTCAGCTAATGGCTGGGTACTGTCTCATCTTGAAAATAGAAAGAAAATTGAATTGATATGATGCTTAATATGTTTTTTGCTCTAATTAAACCTATTTAATGTTCTAACTCAGTGGTTGAGATGTAATCAGAGAGATTCAGAGAGGTTTGGTGTGAAATGGTTCAGATGTCTTTACAGTGGTGGTGATAGGAACCAGGGGTCGCCATGACTACAACACAACTATAGACATTTTATTTACTATCCAGAACCACCAGTGAACCTACACGAGTCTTCTGAGTTTATATGGAATGTTGATGATGGAAAATAGTGGAAAATCTGAAATAATAAGTTTTCTTTGGGGACTATTTTGCCTCACAGCGCCCTGCATGTATCCCTCCACCATGAATGGAGTTTAAGTTCTCTAAACTATCATAAAACAGTGTCTCAGTCATCAGGCAGTGAATTCATAACCATTTCATGTAGGAACTTTCTGTGAGGGAGCTTTTAGAGAAAGCTTCACATAAAAGGCAGTTATGTGATGTTTGTAATTTTGTATAAATGTTTAGCAGATAAAATAATTTGTGCACAGACCAAAAGTGGGTTTGGCCTAAAACTAAAATGAGTTTGTGGTGCTGGAAGTCGATGTTTATGAACCACAACAGTTTACAGAGTAACTAAGAAGCGCCCCCCTCGTTAATAACGTGCATATAGAGTGTAATTCAGACAGCCAATCAGCAGCCTCGATCTTACTGGATCACTGATGCTGATCAGACTGTTTGGGTACTGAAGTTCTGTATTGAATCGCTGACGTTTCTGTTGCTCAGTAGTGTTGAGGTGGTTCAGACGGTCCTATGGAAGTGTTGAAGTGATGCCCAGCTTTGCGTCCTGCGCTGGTCAGACAGCATTAAGCTGCCACTCTCTCCTCTTTACTCCTCTGCTCAGTGAGTGATGGTGTTTGTTTCAGCGCTGATGAGTCTGTCCTCCTGTTTCAGGGCTGAGTTTCCACCCGAAGCGGCCCTGGATCCTCGCCAGCCTGCACAACGGCGTCATCCAGCTGTGGGACTATCGCATGTGCACCCTCATCGACAAGTTCGACGAGCACGATGGTACAAAAACACCAGATAACAACACATTTTCTCGTATCTTATCACATCGCATTGTGATCCTCTTTGTAGCTCATGGCTTGTGTGTTAGCACGAGGCTAACATATTAGTCTATAGCTCGTGTGTTAACTCTGGGCTAACATATTAGCTCACACTTTTATAAGGAGATCATTGTCATATTGAACCGAATTCTGCATTTTGGGAATCGTCACCTTTACAAATAACCTTTTTATTTATTTTTATTTAACATATTAACGTATCTAATGAAATGCGCAGTATCGGAGCGTTCGGTTCCGTATCTGTCGTCTGACGTCTGTGTTTTTGTTGTGCAGGTCCGGTCAGAGGGATCGACTTCCACAAACAGCAGCCTCTGTTTGTCTCAGGAGGAGACGACTACAAAATAAAGGTCTGATCTCAGCATAATAAAGAAATAATGGTGGATAAAGTAAGACTGACTGATGTTATTGGGTCAGTAAAAAACACAGATTTACTGACCTTAGCAGAAATCCCACTGATGAAGATGATGTACGTTAAATTTACTGTTGTGAAATTTGGTTATTTATACGTTTAAAGATAAGACTGATTTCTGAGTTGATTTGTAAAATGATAAATGAACGTATATATTAAGACTGATATTGCTAAACTACTTATATTAATACGTTATTCAATAGTGATATTAATATATGTCATTTAATGTGAGAGAAAAAAATGAAGAACAATCATATGAGTCAGTAAATCGTGCTGTTTATTTAAAATTACTGGATTAATTGAACCATTTTTGCTCATATAAAATCATATTTTGATTTTATTTTTATAATTTTTTGTGTTTTGTTTGTTCTCTAAAATACAAAGTTTGTTATATTATAATGTAGCGCTTCTTGATGCGGTTCTGGTTCTGTTGAGCATGTTTCTTGATAATGATGTTTGTCTGTTTTTATCAGGTGTGGAATTATAAACTGCGCCGCTGTCTCTTCACCCTGCTGGGTCACCTGGACTACATCCGCACCACCTTCTTCCACCATGTGAGTTATTCTGCCTCCACTGCTTTATGGGAAAGATTAACAATTAACATAAATCCAGACTAAAAACATCTTTTCAGCTCCGGTTTAATTAAGATGCAGCTGTGTGAACTTGTGATGGTTTTAAAGTGCAGACGGCTGCATTAAAGTTAAGATGTGATCAGCAGGACAGTTTTTGGTCTGTTTTCCTGACGTCCTGTTTGTTTGTCTGCTGTTTTCAGGAGTACCCCTGGCTCCTCAGCGCCTCCGATGATCAGACCATCCGCATCTGGAACTGGCAGTCCAGGACGTGTGTGTGGTGAGTCTGTGTTTCTGTATCTGGGTGTTCGGGTTTTCGGTTTGATTTTGTATTTATTTCGAGAAGCAACGATTAGTCCAAAAAGCTGAACGTTAGGCAACACAGTTGACGTGGATTTTATTTGTAGATGTTCTTTACTTAAAAATTATTGATTTGAAACGTCACTTAAAGGTTTAAATACAAAAAATGAACACTATTATTAGTAAACCTTATCTATCTTGATTTATTCGCTCTTAGTGGAGGAGGCTTCTACTGTTTCATTTAAAAAGCCTCTATAATGTTCATATGATCCACACAGTCACTCTGACAGATTGTAATACACTACAGGAAGTGTAGGGGGCGATACGGCTTCTGCTGTTTCATTTAAAAAAGCCTCTATAATGTTCATATGATCCACACAGTCACTCTGACAGATTGTAATACACTACAGGAAGTGTAGGGGGCGATACGGCTTCTACTGTTTCATTTAAAAAGCCTCTATAATGTTCGTATGATCCACACAGTCACTCTGACAGACTGTAATACACTACAGGAAGTGTAGGGGGCGATATGGCTTCTACTGTTTCATTTAAAAAGCCTCTATAATGTTCGTATGATCCACACAGTCACTCTGACAGACTGTAATACACTACAGGAAGTGTAGGGGGCGATATGGCTTCTACTGTTTCATTTAAAAAGCCTCTATAATGTTCGTATGATCCACACAGTCACTCTGACAGACTGTAATACACTACAGGAAGTGTAGGGGGCGATATGGCTTCTGTTTAATTGAAAGCTTTCAGTTGCTTAATGCTTTATTACACATTGTGGTTTTATTTAATACTCTCTCTCTCTCTCTCTCTCTCTCTCTCTCTCTCTCTCTCTCTCTCAGTGTTCTGACGGGTCATAATCACTACGTGATGTGCGCTCAGTTCCACCCGTCGGAGGACCTGGTGGTCTCGGCCAGTCTGGATCAGACCGTGCGAGTGTGGGATATTTCCGGTGAGGGGCGAGGGACGGGCAACAGTGGGTGGGGGTGGGGGGTGGGGTTTGGTGTGGAGAGAGAGAGAGAGAGAGGAGGAGATAAAGGAGTGAAATCTCTATCTCCTCTTCTCCGGTGTGTACAGGCAAGAAACTCTGTGGGCTTTAAACTCAGACACCCCCCCACTGACTGACTGACCACAACTGAGCGCCCGCAGACGACCGCAGTCACACTGAAAACACAGCGACTCTTCGGGAGCTCAGTCTCTGTTTTGTTCACACAACACTGACAGTCTCTAGATAGACGGAAAATATGTAAATAAAGAAATATTACATGAGTTTGAAATGAGGAACAGAGCTGTAGAAGGTTCTAAAGTGACTCAGAAAGCTGTAGAACATCAAGAGTTCTGATAAACATCAGCATGAACAGCCAGCATGAAGTTCTAATGAAAGTAAAGTCCAGAATAAAATTAAAATCCAAAAAGAAAATTTAAATCCAAAAGATCAAATTAATATCCAAAATGAAGTTTTAATACCATTAATATCCAGAACGACATTCTAATAATTTAATATCTAGAATGATGTTCTAATAACATTAATATCGCTTTAATAAAATTAATAGAATGCAGTTCTAATAAAATTCATGTCCAAACGTAGTTCTGTTATAATTGACTTCTTTTTTTGAATGACGTTCTCATAAAAGTAATATTCTAAATACTTAATTTGTTCTGAAAAATGAAGTTACTGTATGATGAAAAATAGTCTTAATATCTATTTACAGCAACAGATTTTCAGTTTTTATTTTGTAATGTTTTGAAAATTTTCCCCTCACTCTCCAGTCCATATATGGAATCTTGGCTGGAAAAACAGCAGATTTTGAAGTTACCGTTTTTGTGATGTCACAAAAGCCAGCACATTTACACACATCCACCTATTCAGCGTACGGCAGTTTAGCCCCGCCCACTCACACTGAATAAGGAGAGTTTCAGGCCAGCCTGATTTTAGAATGGAGCGCAACACAGGGCAGCCAATCACAACAGAGCTCATTTGCATATCAGTCTTAAAGACACAGTCACAAAAACAGCCTGTTCAGTTAAAAGGGACAAAGAGAGGCGAGTCAAAATTAATTGGGCTGTTTTTGTTAAATAAACACACATTAATGTTATAAGTGACTATAAAATGTAAAAATGTAGCGTATGGGCTCTTTAAGTCTAAATCTCATTAGTTAATATCGTTTAATTGGGAGTGAATATTGTGATGGTGAGTGACTCCAGGCTGTTGAACAGTGTTGTGTGACAAGCGTTTTCAGTGTTTGTGCTGCTGTTTGTGGGTGTTTATCTGAGTGTTTGTTGGTCAGAGGGGTCTGAGTGTCTCTGCATGCTGTCACTGAGCTGTGATTTGTGCTCTCAGTCTCTGCTTCTCTTCATCTCTGACTGAACGTCTTTAACCTGCTAACTTTCCTCACTCACTCGATCAGAGCATGCAGGAGAACATCTCAGCATCTCCAGCTACGACCCTCCGTTCCTCTCACTGCTTCTCCTCTACGCGCTGAGGAACAGAGCTGAACATGCTGGTCTTTAGTGTTGATGAAGCAGAATTACTGCAGCATGAGCAGTGATTAAAGACACTGAGCCGAATGAAGAGGACAGTGCGGTGTTTATTCGCGCGTGTGCTGATGTGCATGTGTTCCTGTTTGGTTTGGATCACTGCTGGTACATTTGCAGTACTGAATAACAGCTCGACCTAAATAATACACCTTATACATTTGTTAATACCTTCATTCATACAGCTTCATTGAAAGGCAGTAATTGCAGTGTGTATAAAATTTAATGCAAACTACAAATAATTGACTGACAGTTTTACAAAGTCACAGTAGATTATTTTTCTTCTGTTTTTGTCCATTTCTTTATTTATATAACGAGTATTTAGTCTGTCATTAATGACTTGTTAGCCCCGCCCATTCAGCCTACAGCGGATTAGCCCCGCCCATTCAACAAATGTGGGCTATTAGAACAGAACAAACACTTATTACAGATCTGGCTGCTCCTAATGTCCAGTATTAACTACTTCAGACTGTCAAAGTGACCTTTTTAATCAAATGAAGACTTAATTATTAATATCTTAGTTAATAAAAATATTCCTATGCTTGCACTGTTTATTTTTCCATTCACATAATTAATGAGCATTTCTGTAATATTAATGCACTGTTAATGTACTAAATGCATGACTCACCCCATTTATATCCCTACATTCATAACCATGTAAACACATGCATGTGCTAATCCTCGCTCTCTAGCCCCGCCCAGCGTCCCACCAGAGCACATTTTGCCCCTCCACCACTCCATCGGTCCACCAAATCCACCCCCCCCTCCACCTCGCTTCAGTTTGGTCCCATCGCCCCGACGGAAACATCCACTCCTGCACTTCAGCTCAGCTTCCGACTCTGTTGGGCTTTTATTCACACAGCAGATACTTTTAGTGCTGAGATCAACCACATCTCATCCTCCCTCTCTCTCTCTCTCTCTCTCTCTCTCTCTCTCTCTCTCTCTCTCTCTCTCTCTCTCTCTCTCTCGTTCTGATCTGGGAGGAAGCTCAGAGGAACGCTGCTTTCACGTGATCTCCAGGTCTTATTTCCCCCGTGTGAAGCAGTCCTTACAAAGTTAATGCACTGCGTAATAAATCATAGTAAAGTCTCTGTCTCGATTTGATTCTCGGCGCAATTTGAAACAAAGGCTTTAACTTTGAACAGTTTCTACTTCAGTAAACTAGGTGGCGCTGTGTATGTTATTCTCTATTTGGGAGAAGAAGTCTAGCTGTTCGCTCACAACAGCACAAGCCAGCAGAAATGGTTAAATAATCCTAGCTTTTTAAAATAGTGTTAGCTGTTTTTTTTAATTGTTAGCTCTTTTACAAATGGTGTGATAGATATGTGATAGATTGTGTAGTGTTAGATGTTTTGAGCTTTTTTAAGTATTCGTTATTTTTAGCTATTTAAAAATTTGTTTCAAATAGTCATATTTATTTTTAGATATTTCTAAATAGTGCTATCTTTTTTGCCCCTTTTTTGGTTTTTTGGTTTTGCTGTTGGGGCAAAACTTTGCATCTCAAAATTTTAAGATGAACAGACCAACAGAAATAGTCCGAAATTAGTCTGAAAAAATAATTTCTCCATTAACTTGCATTTCTGATTAAGTTACTGTATGAGGTTTGTGTTTTGATGGTATATTACTGTATAATATATAACATTACAGGCCTGTAACCTTTTTCAGTAGAAGTTTCAAGTAGTTTGTAAACATTATTTTCAGGGTTCTGAACTGTATCATTCACTCCTCAGTACATAGTCAGTTTTCCCACTTTTGGAAAATAGGGCCGTGAGATCACAGTGTGAAGGCTGGATTGGACTCCTCCTCCTTTGGAACCTTGACCACCATAAAGCTCTGAGCTCAGCAGTGTTCCTCTGAACTTCCTGAAAGGGTGTAGAGAACTTTCTTTCTGCCATTGATTGTGTTCCTCTGTTTACCTAATCAGACCTTTAGAACCCCCGTAGTGAACCCCTGCTCTTACTCAATCACCTGCACAGATCTGGAGCTGGAGTTGGTAATGATCAGGACTGATTGACTTACGTCTATTGATAACTGTCAGAATCAGACTGTTTATGATGCCGCTGATGCACATTTGAGGTGTTTTTGATGAAACAATGCTGTTCCTGCTTTTCATCAGTCCAACATTGATTTAGGAGAGGACGGGGAGGAGGTTCTCAGGTCGAGATTAGGAGAGGACGGGGAGGAGGTTCTCGGGTCGAGATTAGGAGAGGATGGGGAGGAGGTTCTCAGGTCGAGATTAGGAGAGGACGGGGAGGAGGTTCTCTGGTTGAGATTAGGAGAGGACAGGGAGGAGGTTCTTGGGTTGAGATTAGGAGAGGATGGGGAGGAGGTTCTCTGGTTGAGATAAGAAGAGGACGGGGAGGAGGTTCTCGGGTCGAGATTAGGAGAGGACAGGGAGGAGGTTCTCTGGTTGAGATTAGGAGAGGACAGGGAGGAGGTTCTTGAATCGAGAATAGGAGAGGATGGGGAGAAGGTTCTTGGGTCGAGATTAGGAGAGGACGGGGAGGAGGTTCTTGGGTCGAGATTAGGAGAGGATGGGGAGGAGGTTCTTGAATCGAGAATAGGAGAGGATGGGGAGGAGGTTCTTGGGTTGAGATTAGGAGAGGATGGGGAGGAGGTTCTTGAATCGAGAATAGGAGAGGATGGGGAGGAGGTTCTTGAATCGAGAATAGGAGAGGATGGGGAGAAGGTTCTTGGGTCGAGATTAGGAGAGGATGTTCTCTGGTTGAGATTAGGAGAGGATGGGGAGGAGGTTCTCGGGTTGAGATTAGGAGAGGATGGGGAGGAGGTTCTCTGGTTGAGATTAGGAGAGGACGGGGAGGAGGTTCTTGGGTCGAGATTAGGAGTGGACAGGGAGGAGGTTCTCGGGTCGAGATTAGGAGAGGACGGGGAGGAGGTTCTTGGGTCGAGATTAGAAGAGGACAGGGAGGAGGTTCTCAGGTGGAGATTAGGAGAGGATGAGGAGGAGGTTCTTGGGTTGAGATTAGGAGAGGATGGGGAGGAGGTTCTGTGGTTGTCAGTACCTGTGTGTGTTTAACAGCCCAACAGATACACTGTGTTTGTGTGTATGGGAATGTGGATTGTTCTGATGTTCTGATGTTCTGATTGTTGTTGATGTTGTTTACGGATGTGTAACAGTTATAATGTTCCTCCTTTCTGTTCCCTCTTCCTGTCATGGGTTCTCCTGTGTATCTTGTAAACGGGTTCTCCGTGTGCGCCGGACTGTAAATGTTCGTTCCAGGTTTGAGGAAGAAGAACCTGTCTCCGGGCGCCGTGGAGACGGAGGTCCGTGGCATCACGGGAGTGGATCTGTTCGGGGCGTCGGACGCTGTGGTCAAACACGTGCTGGAGGTGAGGAGCTCTGAGTATTAAAGGCTCCGCCTGAGAGTTTCGCTGGGCTCTTATTGTGTGCAAAAGTTTGGGCACCCCGGTCAAATTCCACGTGTTGCTGAAGACGTTAACACTACAGACACTCTGCACTACACTCTACAGAGACACACTTAACATGACACATCCCTGCACATTTTACTGAGTTTAACATATTGGAAAAGAGAAAACGTGGCGTGTGTAAGTTCAGACACCCTTTCAGTGCTTAGGAAGAGCCTTTTGGCTGAGTTGTTTCTTATGTCCAGGTAACAGTTTTTAAATGCACGATTTAGGAACTTATTTTCCGTTTTTCTGAATACATAATGAACATTTGAGTTACTGTTGATAAAATGATGCTGATCTGTTCCTTAATTTGATATCAACAGCAAGGGCTTGAACAGTTGCTACTTTAGTACACCAGGTGGCGCTATGTGCCAGTTATTCTCTTGAACAGAGCACTAGCTTTTTAGTTTAGCAGAGTTAGCTAGTGTCCGTCATTTTCAGTTAGTGGAGCTGGCAAACCTGATCTATGTTCAGTCAGCAGAGTTAGCTAGCGTTAGCAGTTTTCAGTTAGCAGCGTTATTTAGCATTAGCTGTTCTTCATTAGGAGAGTTAGTGTCTGCAGTTTTCAGTTAGCAGAGCTGGCTAACTTTATCCATGTTCGGTTGGCTAGGGTAAGTTGTTTTTGTTTAGCAGCGTTATCTAGCATTAGCTATTTTCCGTTAGCAGAGTTAGTTAACGTCTGCCATTTTCAGTTAGCATCGTTAGATAGTGTTTACCTTTATTATTTAGCAGAGTTAGTGTTAACCATTTTTAGACAGAGTTAGCTAGCGTTAGCTGTTTTTAGTTAGCAGAGATTGCTAGTGTTTGTTATATTCATTTAGCAGAATTGGTTAGCGTCAGCCGTTGGTTAGCGTCAGCCGTTCGTTAGCCTCAGCCGTTGGTTAGCCTCAGCCGTTCGTTAGCCTCAGGCGTTGGTTAGCGTTAGCCGTTCTCGGTGCTGAGATCGTGGAGAGAGAAAATGCTGTGGGAAAATGTCTCAGGATGGGAAAATGTCTCAGGATGGGAAAATGTCTCAGGATGGGAAGCTGCGGTGAAGCTGGAGGTATTTGGGTATGAAATGTAGCTCTGCTGTAACGTACAGAGTTAATGAACTAATGAATGAAGAAACTTTGACTTCTGTCCTCAGGGTCACGATCGAGGGGTCAACTGGGCCGCGTTCCACCCCAGCATGCCCCTAATAGTGTCGGGAGCTGATGACCGGCAGGTGAAGATCTGGAGGATGAACGGTGAGTGTGTGTGAGGTCCAAACACAGAGCATGACTCCTTTATATCTGTTAGGAACACGGAGCTGCTGCCTGGACCCTCAGGAGTGTCTGTAGGACTTTATCTCTGGAGTTCTGTCGGAGTGCTGTGTAAACTCTCAGGCTCTAAGATTTCCTAATTTTTTCCCCACTTAATTAAAACCAAGCAGTCTAAATGGAGAATTCCACTGGTTTTTCAAAATTCAGCTTAATTCAGTGTTTGAGATGTAGAAAGTCAGAGTGTTTGCTCAGTCCACAAAAGTGGAAAGTAAGAATACGTTTTAGTCCAAGATCTGCTCAAAACTATCATAAAACAGTGTCTCAGTCATCAGGCAGTGAATTCATAAACATTTACTGTAGGAACTTTCTGTGAGGGAGCTTTTAGAGGTGGACGTCTGGTTCCTATCACCACCACTGTGAACAGTTCTGACTCGGTAAGTTTATCTAGAACGGAGCGTTTCACACCAAACCACTCTGAACCTCTCTGATTACATCTTAACCACTTAATTATGCAGAACTTTAGAAAAATCATTGGAGTTTCCCTTTAGTAACCCCCCCCCATATGTGCTCCTTAAAACAGCGTTAAGCATAGTTTTGTCTTGATGCTGTTTGATGTGTGTTGTGTTCTCTGACTCCGCCCCCTGTCCCTCTGTCCTATGTATACAGAATCAAAGGCGTGGGAGTTGGACACCTGCAGGGGGCACTACAACAACGTCTCGTGTGCCGTCTTCCACCCTCGTCAGGAGCTGATCCTGTCCAACTCCGAGGATAAGAGCATCCGTGTGTGGGACATGTCCAAACGCACCGGTGTGCAGACTTTCCGCAGAGACCACGACCGCTTCTGGGTGCTCGGAGCTCATCCCAACCTCAACCTGTTCGCCGCAGGTAAAGCACGCTGCACGCTCTGGGGGAGGGGCTCACGTTTGGATGGGTGTAAACTGTGTCTGTATGTTAATAGCATCTGGCGCAGCCAGTAACATTGATAATACAGCGTGTCAGTTTTGTCGTCACCTACTGGGTACTTTGTGAACTGCACTAAATATGAAGAAGAAGGGAGTATTTGTTTATTCAGGTGCTCGTTTTGAAGAACTAGTACATATTTGAAATCTAGAATAATGCTGTTTAGATGTGCTGTAGTGTCTGGAAATGTAAAACCGTGTGGCTGAAACGCCTCTCATGGTCTTCTGTGCATTTCTCGTTTACCATCTTTCATGGAAAAAACTGTTAGTGAACAGAAGTAGGCATCAGGCTGCAGCCCCTTGTTCTCTTACCTCTAAACTCATTTATTGCGAGTAGTGCTTCAGTTCTGTCCTTCAGACTGTCAGTGTATCTATAACGAAAGGCTTGTTATTTGTCATTAAACACAACAGCCGTTTAGTCAGCGTTTATTTTTGCAAAATATAATCCCTGCAATGAAAAACAAGACTAAACTAAAATTCTAAACCGCAGAGACTCTAGACTTGACTCGGACTTGTCCCTCAAAGATTTGAGACTCGGCCTCGCACCTGGGATGCTCAGCTCGAACTCATACCTCAGAGCCTCGATACTTAACTCGGACTTGCATTTTAGAGACACCGGATTTGATTTGAACTTGCACCTCAGAGACATACTTGACTCAGAAACTTACCGCAGAGACTCAGAACTCAACTGGGATCAGGGTCTCTGATTTTATGTTCGCTCAGTGTTGGTTCTGTTTCTCAGGTCATGACAGCGGGATGCTGGTGTTTAAGCTGGAACGTGAGCGTCCTGCGTACGCTGTGTATGGAAACATGCTTTACTATGTGAAGGATCGCTTCCTGCGCCAGCTCGACTTCAACAGCAGCAAAGACACTGCCGTCATGCAGCTGCGCAGGTACCGGCCTGTTTCTCTTACAGTATTTAAGCCAGTGTTCCCCAGCCCTGCACCTGGAGCCACACCGCCCTGCACGTTTCAGTGTTTTCTCTGCTCACAGCTCACCTGATCCAGCTCACCGGCTCATCACTGGGCTGAAGTGTGTTTGATCAGGGAAAGCAGTGTGCAGGACTGTGGGCCTCCAGCGCTGGTTTAAACAGCTCGGTCATCTCTCTGTTTTAGAGCTGTTTCTCTCACTGATTTGTCTCCTCTGTTCTCTCCACAGCGGCTCCAAGTTCCCCGTGTTCAGCATGTCCTACAACCCTGCAGAGAACGCCGTCCTGCTCTGCACTGTGAGTATTGAAGACACACGTTCACGTTCTGTACATTGGGTGTTAATTCAGTGCGCTCCATGTTAGAGTGACAAATTTCCGTTTCCCCCTTAATTTGTGCTCAGTGTTAAATACTCTGCCTTCATTTCGTCTGTATTTGTGCACGTTCTCTGAAAACTTAGACACGGACGAAACGGAGCAGTACCGCCCGAAACCATGGGGGCAGTGTAGCTACTAAAGACACTCTCAGTAAAGACAGTTTTCTTCCATTGGTTATAAAAGTGAAAATAATTCTTCGTTCAAATCACGAAGAGTTTAATGGCCTCACAGACCACAGCCGTCTACAACTCCGCCTCTTCCGTAGTTGTAGAAACATTGTGACCTCCTCCACTATCACCATGTTTGTTGTCAGAAACCAGACTCTGGACTGCCCTCTAGTGGATGTTTTGCTTAACATCCTGGTCACCGTAAAGGACGCATGAATATATGTGGGCAGTGAAGGTTGCGCTTCCGTACTTCACACGTAGTCAATCAACCGAGACGTGTTTGGTGTCTGAAGTTTGCCTCTTTAGTTTTCGCTCTGGAGCTACGAGGCTAAAGCAGCTAACAAGAAATGAAACCTTGTGCACCAATTAGCATGATGCTAACTGCACACCTAAACTGTCGCACGCTCACCTCACATCATTGTTCAGTGTCTCTAAAAGCAGGGCTGCTCAGTGCAGTACAGTGTTCTCAGTTATTCGTCAGCTATTCTAAATATGTGGTGTGTTAAATATTTCCATACTGCTAAAGCGTAGTCATACGGGCTGCAACGTGGGGTAAGTTCTGTTGTCCAGCAGGTACTCCAAGCACTATAGAACGTATCAAGGTGTTTGTAATCAAAGGGTCTGATGATGTACACTGTGCCCAAAAGTTTGTTTAATTTGGGGCTGTAGTGGCACATATACAGCTAGCAGTGATTTGACGTTCGCCTGCTTAAATTCGGGTCTGGATTCAGAGACGCCCCATTGCTGTTCATGCTATGTTTAGCATGTATACTGTCTTCAGCCTATTATGTAGAATTAACTGAGTAAAATGAAGATTTTAATTAAATATGAATTAATTATCGCTGAGTCATTTCTTTAGGTAGTATACCATTTTTTTGACCCAGTGTATGATTCCAACTAAAGGTGTGTTCCTGCTGGTGTGGGTTTCCTCGCGCTCAAAGACGCAGAAAAAAGGCTTGTTGAGTGCTAAAGCACCCGTTTTTGATAAATCTGATTTTTTGCAGAGAAAATGAGTTCTGTGTGTTTCACAACTTGAACATTAAAATACAAACCTTCTACTACATCTGTTTTTTTCACAATTTACTAAAATGGCAGTTTGTTACACTTACTGAGATTCTTTACTTTTTCAGATCGTTGTCATTTTTATCTGTGCAAAAAAAAAATGTTCTGCAACACTTGCAGCTTTTATAGCACCAGTGCTACATGCTGAAAGTTTATGATCAGCCCTGAACAGACTTGGCTATGTGGATTCTGTCACTGTGTGACAATTAGCAACATGCTAATCAGTGGGGTATAAGCTTCTGTTACATGTTGGCTACATTAGCCTCGTAGCTCCAGCACTAACACTAAAGAAGCAGTGTGTCTGTCTGTGTGTGTGTGTCTGTCTGTCTGTCCGTGTCTGTGTCTGTGTGTATGTGTCTGTGTCTGTGTCTGTCTGTCTGTCTGTCTGTCTGTCTGTGTGTGTGCCTCTGTGTGTGTCTGTCTGTCTGTCTGTCTGTCTGTCTGTGTGTGTGCCTCTGTGTGTGTCTGTCTGTCTGTCTGTCTGGATGTGTGTGTGTGTGTGTGTGTGTGTGTGTGTGTGTGTGTGTGTGTGTGTGTGTAATCGATGTTCTGTCTCCTCTACAGAGAGCCACTAATCTGGAGAACAGCACGTATGACCTGTACTCCATCCCCCGAGACAGCGACTCTCAGAACCCTGATGGTGAGAACGAACTCTTTATACTCTTCTGGGAATCTCTCGGTGCCGCGATGCGATCATTAAACAGTTCTCGATAAATCTCACTGCATCTCACCTTTTAAGAACCTCTATCTTCTGTAGAAGTTTGTGTATCCTAGATTATATTTTTTCCTGTATGTCATTTAGTAGTGTTTGTTATTCACTCTAGTTGTCAAGGTTCTTTAGTAAAAGGATTGGTTCTATTTAGAACTATGAGCTTTATGTAAAACCATTCCATGCTTAGATGGTTCTCTACATGGGGAAATAGTTCTTCAGATTGATGCAAAATGTGTTGTATGTGGTTCTATACAGCACCAAAAAGGGTTCTGCTGTTGTGCTGAAATTATACCTGTTGTACTGCTAATAGCAGAACCCTTTTTGGTGCTGAATAGAACCCTTTTCAGCTGTTTTTATTTTTGATAAATTTCAAAAAGTTCTACATGCTTATAAAATTATATAAGAGCGAAGTTTCCAGCCTTTTATTTTTATTTCCATGAATATTGTGACCGGTCTGTGAATGTTTGCACTACAGAAACCCTGTATTTTCCCTCCTCCATGCTGAGCTGCATCAAATTAACCTGCTTTATAACGTATCTAGTTTCTGAATAAACATGAGATCGTTGTTTTCTGAATTGAGCCAGAATCTTTCAAGAAAGAATAACGATGCATCAATTATTCAAGACGAATCGTTTATTCTTCCCGCCTCTTCTCCTCCCGCACTGCTAATTATTAGTTGAAATTATTAATTAATATTAATTTTTATTGATCCTGTTTTCCTGTGTAGCTCCGGAGGGGAAGCGCTCCTCAGGACTGACCGCAGTTTGGGTGGCCAGGAACCGCTTTGCCGTTCTGGACCGCATGCACTCGGTGAGGCTGCTTTACTGCTTTTTCAGATGAACTGAAGTGTGAACCCACATGTTGACGTTTAGCTTATAGGACTCATATTATAGAAATGTTGAATATAAACACTGTTAAAGTTTTGCTCCTCACTGCACGCGGATACGGACACTGCACTGCAACAACAGCCTGTTTGGAGTTGGTTGCAGTTTTGATGTCACAAAAACTGACACATTTATAGATCTGCCTATTCAGGCTACAGCAGTTTAGCCCCACCCAATCAGAACAGAGCTCATTTGCATGTTGTCATAAAGTGGAAACTTCTCAGAAGAACGTTAAAACTTTTTTTGCTCTTAATGTAAAATAATGTAAAGGCAGTGTTGAGGAGCTTTTCTGTTGGTCCATTCATTGTGAAATGTTCACACAACGTAAACGGCTTATAGTGCTTTTTACAACAGGCGTTGTCACAAATCAGCTTTACAGAACAATAATAATAAATAGATGAAGGAATAAAGGAATAAATTAAATGAAGTCCTTGAAGGAAAGTCTGTTCACTCAGCGGCCGTCTTTGCAACACTGTCGGGCTGTTATTTCCACCCATACAAGCCCAGACTGCTCTCTCTCTCTGAATGGGGGAAAAACCAAAATACCTTTACATTTACAGCGTTTAACAGACGCTCTAATCCAGAGCGACTTACAGTTTGATCATTTGACACAGGTAGGTGAAGGCAGTGTTAGGAGTCTTGCCCAGGGACTCTTATTGGTATAGTGTAGGGTGTTTACCCAGGTGGGTGATTGAACCCCAGTCTACAGCGTAGAAGGCAGAGGTGATACCCACTACACTATACCAACCACAAAACTTGAAAACAAAGTACTTGAAACTGTAGGACAAAAAAACAGGTTTGAAGTCCCTGATAAAATGTGATAAATATCATGTGAGTAGTTTGTAGCGTTTGGCTCAGTAATGCGCCACTGCGCTTGCACAGAGCTCGTCAATGAGGGCGGCTTAACCGTAAATCTGATTGGCTCTTTTTTTATTGAGGGGCAGGACTTTCTCCAAAAACAGACACCATGTTGAGTGTTATGAGCTTTCCCATCCATATTTTAAGCACTGACCGTCTTCATCTCTGGAATAAAATTCGAGACAGATTTTGTGTTCTTTTGTGTTCAAAAATGGCCCAAGCCAAAAAATAAGCACTTATTTTGTTGAACATAATCTTAATCAATCGCCACTCGCTCTCCTCAGCTGCTGATAAAGAACCTGAAGAACGAGATCGTGAAGAAGGTGCAGGTTCCGAGCTGTGAGGAGATCTTCTACGCTGGAACGGGTTCTCTGCTGCTGCGGGACGCTGACGGAGTCACGCTGTTCGACGTCCAGCAGAAGCGATCGCTCGCCACCGTTAAGATCGCCAAAGTCAAATATGTGGTGTGGAGTGCAGACACCAGCCACGTCGCCCTGCTGGCCAAACACGGTACTGCAGCTACAGCCACTACACTGCACACTGTGGACGTTACATAGAACAGTGTTGTTTTTCTCCAGTATAACTTTCCAAATCTTTCAGTATTGATACTTACCAACATATACATTTCCTAATTATAAATCTGAATAGCATTTTGAATGTAAATTGAATAAAAAACTAGCCAAAAATAGGCAACTCTATGTAAACAAGTTATATATTTACACACATGTTCAGTTATGTCATAATTTTAGAAACAAGCTTAAATGTTTTTTATAGTGCTTTTGAATAATATAATGGAAAGTAACTCTAACTGTCCTGCTGGTTTGTGCTGTTATGAGTGAATAGCTAGACTTCTCGCCTAGACAGTAAAAGACACACAGCACCACCTAGTGTACTGAAGTAGCATCTGCTCACAGTTCTAGCCTTTCCTGCTGATACTGATTGAGAAATAGAATGACATCAGTTTACCTCAAATAGGTATTATTGATATCAAAAAACATTAGATTTTGGTAATTATGTCCCTTAGGCCTAATTCAACTTTTCTAATAATAATTATAATGACAATAATAATTATAATAATCTTAATATCTATTGATATTTGTCTGTAACTCCACAGCCATCATGATCTGCAACAGGAAGTTGGAGAGTCTGTGTAACATCCACGAGAACATCCGTGTGAAGAGTGGGGCGTGGGACGAGAGCGGAGTGTTCATCTACACCACCTCCAACCACATCAAATACGCTCTGACCTCTGGGTAAGACGGCCAGCGCCGCTCACACGCCCTCTCGTACTACACTGACCACAGCAGCTCTGCGACAGGGTGTTCGATTAAAGGGCTCATATCATGGAAAACTGAGTGTTCCTTACGTTTTTCTGTTTAAAATAAGTTCATTCTTCAGTCCATATAACCGAAGTCCACATATGGAAACTAAGCTGCAAATTCAGCCCATTTTTTAGTACATGATGGTTGTGATGTCAGATCCATTAACAAGTTTGGATATGACCAGCCATTTAGCCCAGCAGCCAGTCGGAAAAGGGCTCATTTGCATATGTCTTAAAGGCACAGTAACAAAAACAGCCTGTTGAAGGCAGAGGCACATTAAAATGAATTATAACTGTTTTTCATCAAGGGTTCTTTAGCAAAGACAGTGGTTCTGTATAGAACCATGAACACTCAGAGAACCATTTGCATGATTACAGGGTCCTTTGCATCATGAAATGGTTCTTAAGAATGTGCTGTAGATGGTTCTGTATAGAATCTTTTTGAGAAGAGTTCTATATAGCATCCTAAATGGTTCTTCTATCGTTACAAACTTGACTGTATTGAGCTGTATAGAACGCTTTTCATAAAGATTCTGTGTAGAACCATCTACAGCACATTCTTAAGAACCATTTCATGATGCAAAGAACCCCGTAGTCATGCAAAGTGTTCTTGGAGTGAACCATGTTCTTTTGCTAAAGAACCCTTTGAGGAACCATCCTTTTTAAAGATTGTATCTCACACTCACACAAGCGCAAGCAGACCTTGAGAAGTAAGTCATGCAAGGGAAAGGTAGAATATGAGCTCTCTGATGTGCCCAGATCTTAAATGGAACCTCTTTAGACGGAATAACAGCGTGAATGAATAGTGGTTCTCTGTTCCCTCCTGCAGTGATCACGGTATAATCCGCACGCTGGACCTGCCCATCTACGTGACGCGTGTGAGGGGGAACAGCGTGTACTGTCTGGACCGCGAGTGCCGACCCCGCGTCCTCAACATCGACCCCACAGAGTACCGCTTTAAACTCGCCCTCGTCAACCGCAAGTACGAGGAGGTCAGTGACGCCTGCTTCGGTCAAATTCACCTCCTCAAGTCTGGACTTAAGATGGTTGCTTTAACTATATTATGGAAAATGTTAATATATAATTAACTATGTGGATACGTAATAACATTACATCACTTTATGTACTTTTTTACATTTTTGTGTTTGTTTTAGCGTCAGTAAAATGTCAGCACTGGCCATAATGTAATATAAATGCTCTTTATGGCACCATTGGTGACCTCTCCGTTACCCATAATCCCTCAGGTACTGCACATGGTGCGTAACGCTAAGCTGGTGGGACAGTCCATCATCGCCTACCTGCAGAAGAAGGGCTACCCAGAGGTGGCGCTGCACTTCGTGAAGGATGAGAAGACTCGCTTCAGCCTGGCTCTGGAGTGCGGCAACATCGAGGTGAGTCACAGCACATCAGCTCACACAGCGGCCCCCAAAAGTATTCGGACATTTGAGCCACATTTAAAGCTGTGTTGAGGATTCTTTCAAAAGGTGGCTGATTGTTACGGTTTCAGCAGTTTGTTTGCATACATCAGCAGCTTTGCATCAAAAATATCTTTGTACACTTCCCACCAGTGAACACGAGTTCAGTGACAGCACTGTGAGGAACACAGCCGCAGACGTTTTCACATGGAAAAAACTCAAAGAACTTCACTGAAGTCTGCCACTGTTTCTCATGTTTTACACCAAGACGTTTTTTAATCTTAGTTTTTCTTAATATCTTTTTATTTAACTTTAAAAACTTGACCCTTTGTGTAAACTATATAGTTTATTTTTTATTTTTTTCATATTATTATTTCTATTACACCTCCCCCTCCACCATCACCACCACCCCTTTTGGCAGGCCCTGGCAAAGTACATGGTTCTGTAATGTTTACTGTTCAGGGCAGTTAAAATAATATAAAAATCTTTTGATCACAAAAAGTTTGCCAAAAAAGTTTAGTGTCCAAATAGTTTTGGGGCCTCTATGTCATGGCTTTTAGATAAGTGCAGTTCAAATCTGAATAATTCAGAAATTAAAGTACATTACTGACTGCTCTTTATTAACATTTATAATAATAATAGTATAATAAGAAAATAATAGTAATTCATGAAGCATCTTTGTTGTAGTTTTGAAATCCTAAAGAAGACGAGAAGTTTAGCACAATAAAGAAATTAAAAGAATGAGGGGCTTTTTTTGTAAAATGAAAGTGTCGTCTTGCACTGCAGGTGGCGCTGGAGGCTGCGAAGGCCCTGGATGAGCGGAGCTGCTGGGAGCGTCTGGGCGAGGCTGCGCTGCTGCAGGGTCACCACCAGGTGGTGGAGATGTGCTACCAGAGAACCAAGAACTTCGACAAGCTCACCTTCCTGTACCTGATCACCGGAAACCTGGCCAAGCTGAGGAAGATGATGAAGATCGGTGAGTGGCGGGTGGAGCGTCATGGAGCACTTCCTGTAGTGTATTACAGTCTGTCAGAAAGCGCACTCCTCTTGTTCAGCATTTGTGGGTTAATGACCGATGTAGCGCCCCCTTTCTGCAGGGTTTAGATTGCAGCGTGCACTGTCATCATGGTTGTGTTCAGAATGCGGTGCTGTGTAAAGCTGATTATGCATCTCTGGCTGTCTCGTTTGTGTGAGTTGTAACCCGTGTGCTGTGCTCTGTGTTGTAGCTGAGATCAGGAAGGATATGAGTGGTCACTATCAGGCCGCTCTGTACCTGGGAGACGTCAGCGAGAGAGTGCGCATCCTCAAAAACTGCGGGCAGAGTGAGTAACACACACACACACACTCTACACACACTATACACATTATATACACACTATACACACTGTATACACACTACACCAGGGGTCAGACTTAGATTACCTGGGGGCCACTAGCCAGGTGGTCTACAAACAGGGGAATCGGTTTAAACATCCCAAAGCGTCCCATTTTTATATCGCTCTTAAAAAAAGGATGGATCTTCAAGGGTTCTTGAGTAAAGAAAATGATTCTATATAGAACCGTTAGCACTCAAGGAAACCTTTGCATGCTTAAAGGGTTTTTTGCATTGTGAAATTGTTCTTCAGACTGAAGAATGTGCGAAAGATGGTTCTGTATAGAATCTTTATGAGGTGCTACATAGCACAGAAAAGGGTTTCTCTATTATTACAAGCTTGACATCGTGACAATAGCAGAACCCATTTGGTGCTGCCCTTTTTTTTTTTAATGAGTATAGTTTTAATCATCTTAGTCAGTGTTTATTCTTCTGTCTCCACAAACCTCAACTACTACTAATACTAATAATATTATAGGACTCTTATTGTGAAAGCATTATCGTTCTTGCTGAATGTGAGTGAATTTACTGTGACTAAGGTAAGTAATAGCTGAGTTAGCTGTTCGCCAAATTACAGTCCAGTGCCAAAACTAAGGAAGCATGTCTTGACTGATTGGTGTGTAGTGAATCGTGCACTGAGGAAAGAATTTAGTCCTAAAATAAGACAAAACCAAATCAAGAAATTAGTTACTTAAATTAAGCAAAATTACCTGCCAACATGGTGAGAAAAGTTTACATAATAAGGTCTCTCAACATAAGATCATTTACAGCACAAGATCTTTTTTCTTATTATAAAATCAGTACATATTTCATTGTTTTAAGGCATTGTGGTCAGATTTAAGTAACACTGATTTGACGTCATAATCTAATGATGTTAAAACTAGCTAAAACTAGCATATGAGCCTTGCTTTTTGCATTTTCTTAAAACCATAGAAACAAAATTTCTTTAAGTGAGAACCTTTTAGACTCAGCACAAGAGAAACTCTGCTTTTAAATAAACAAAAATGTCCTTAAAACAGTCTTCAGTCAACACTGTAATGCTTGAAGCGAGATAATTCCAGAAAACACTTCTCAAAATGAGGCCGAAATGTTGCTAATATGAGAAACTGCTTTTTTAAGCTCTGAAGACCTGAAACACGGTGAACTGCTCACAAATGGAGACGCTGCAGATCTTGAAAATGATTTTCTGGCTCGTTAAGATTCCAGTGTTTGCTGTGATGTTGATGTTTGTAACCGTCTGTGTGTCCAGAGTCTCTGGCGTATCTGACCGCTGCCACGCACGGCATGGACGAGGAGGCCGAGGCCCTGAAGGAGACCTTTGACCTAGAGAAGGAGATGGTAAGATCTGATTACCAGCTTGTTTACATCCACACTCACTCTTAAACACCCAGAACGCTGACCGCTCTGCGGTTTATGATGTAGATCCCGGAGGTGGACCCGAACGCCCAGCTGCTGCAGCCTCCTCCCCCAATCAACCCGTTGGACACTAACTGGCCCCTGCTGACCGTCTCCAAGGGCTTCTTCGAGGGAGCCATCGCAGCCAAGGGTCAGTGTGGAGCTTTGCTTTGATGGAGCCTTCTAAGATAGCTTCTAGCATAGCAGCCGTCACAACCATCATCTCCTCTTTGATGAACAGAAATAAATAATAAATACTGGAGCTCGACCCATATATCAGTTAGCTTTGAGCTCCGCCCCCTGAGCTACAGTATTTACATTAAGACTCTTCATTCAAGAAGTGTGATAATTGAGAACTGACGATCAGATCAGTCAAGAAAGCGCTGTTTAACTACAGCTGCTGGAGTATAAATTAAAATAACATTATTTTCATCATTTATTAGAGGCTTCAGATTAGTAAAGAGCTCAGATCATGATTAAAGCCTGTGCCAATAAACTTATTTGTTTACTCTTACAGGAAGGGCCGGTCAGATGGCGGCTGATCTGGACATGGACGCTCCTGGAGGAGAAGGCTGGGGAGAGGATGCTGAACTTCACCTGGACGATGGTCAGTCTCTCACAACACTCACACTGCAGATTCATACTGGATTAAAATCGCTCCACAATTATTACTGTAAAACTACACACACTGCAGATTCATACTGGATTAGGATTGTGGTTCTGCTGCTGTGATGTTAACTCGTCTCTCTGATGGTGCAGATGGTTTCATGGATGCTCAGGACGGTCTGGGTGATGAAGTCGGTGTGGGGAAGGAGGAGGGAGGAGGCTGGGAGGTGGAAGAGGACCTGGACCTGCCCCCAGAACTGGTACGACAACTTTACTCACAATTACACTTTTACACTGCATTCAGAGGTTTAGACACACCTGGCTTTTCAGTGTTATTAATGAGCATGTTTTCTTTGGTGTTTTGGGAAAACTTAACATATTAAAGATAAAAGCAGATTCTGGAAATGTGCCAGTTTTACATGTGAGTTAGTTTGACATTATTTAAAAAGCATATTGTGTTGTGTGGACCAATAGGATGTGCCTGCTGGTGGAGGGGGAGGAGCTGAAGGAGAAGGCTTCTTTGTCCCACCCACTAAAGGTGTTAGCCCCACCCAGATGTGGTGTAATAACTCCCAGCTGCCTGTTGACCACCTGCTCGCTGGATCCTTCGAGACAGCCATGAGGGTAAAGATCAAACAAACCCAGGAGGCCCTCGAGGCCTGGAGGATGAAGTGATAAATCTATTTCAGTCAAACTGTGGTTGGTTATTTTCAGTATTGAAAGAAAAGGAGAAATGAACTGTAATTAAACATCCAGCCCTGGTTTTATTAGATTGTGGGTTTTTTTTTTATGTGTGTGCTGTCACAGTATTGAACCCTGTCTTATGTCTGTGCCTTTCTCTCTCCTGCAGTTACTCCATGATCAGGTGGGTGTGGTCCAGTTTGGTCCGTATAAGCAGCTGTTCCTGCAGACGTTCTCCCGCGGCAGGACGTGTTACCTGGGGCTGCCGTCGCTGCCCTGCCTGCAGGGTCACCCTCAGAGGAACTGGAAGGACAGCGGGATGAAGGCCGGTCTGCCGGCAGTGGGCCTGCGCCTCGCCGACCTCATCGCCCGCCTGCAGCAGTGCTACCAGATGACCACAGCTGGACGTTTCGAGGAGGCTGTGGAGCGCTTTAGAGCTATTCTATTGTCAGTGCCCCTTCTGGTGGTGGACAACAAACAGGAGATCGCAGAGGTCAGTTTTTACACAGTTATTAATTCATAAAGTAGATTGAAGATTTAATTTACTTAAAAAAGCCTCTATAATGTTCATATGATCCACACAGTCACTCTGACAGACTGTAATACACTACAGGAAGTGTAGGGGGCGATATGGCTTCTACTGTTTCATTTAAAAAGCTCTATAATGTTCATATGATCCACACAGTCACTCTGACAGACTGTAATACACTATAGGGGGCGATATTGCTCCACTGTATTATTTAAGTAGAAATGTTTTTGTTTATTTGGTGTTTGTTTGTTGTTGTTTTTCAGGCTCAGCAGTTGATCACCATCTGCAGAGAGTACATAGTGGGTCTCACGATGGAAACAGAGCGGAAGAAGCTGCCCAAAGACACTCTGGAGCAGCAGAAGAGGCTGTGTGAGGTACTGAGCGTCGCAGTGGGAGATCAGAAATGAACGTTATAAGTGTCTGAGCTGTGCCTGTTCAGCACTTTACTGAGATCTGAGCTATAAAGCTGTGTGTGTGTGTGTGTGTGTGTGTGTGTGTGTGTGTGTGTGTGTGTGTGTGTGTGGTACGTCATGTTAAATAACGCTGTTCTTCCCTGTGTGTCCTGTAGATGGCGGCGTACTTCACCCACTGTAACCTGCAGCCGGTGCACATGGTGCTGGTGTTGCGCACGGCGCTCAATCTCTTCTTCAAACTCAAAAACTTTAAAACAGCCGCAGGATTCGCACGACGCCTCCTCGAGCTCGGACCCAAACCTGAAGTAGCACAGCAGGTGAGAGAGAGTTCTGTTATATTTTGATCAGTGCATCTTCACTACAGGCACATTGAGAGGTGTGTCTCAAAACCTGGTGAGCTCTCATAGGCAGCTGTCTAAGTAGGCAGCGTTCCAACCGTCATCTCTCCTTATAAGGCAGATAAATGAGACGCTCTAGTTAGACAGCAGTGACGCCGCCGCTTGTTCCCGCCCACTGCACGAGACCGGCGTTCACTTACCTCAGCCATCAGAATCACATTTAGCCAACATGGATCTGCTCTGGCGGTTTATATAGTGATTTTAATTGTATTTGCTCTGAATGAAACAGCAAAATAGACAATAGTTGTGGTCAAACTTGGAAACTATAGGCTATTTGTGCACCTTTATGACTAGAAAACAGATAAAAACCCCAGAAAATCAGAATAACTTACATTTGAAGATGACGTCGCTGCTTGGTGAAGCGCTTCTGCCATCACACAAAAGCTGCCCCGCGCTGCATCGTGGGATTGCCTCAGCGGCTGAGGAAACATCCAATGCCCTCTCGATATTGGGCCAAAATCAGAGACCTCAGTAGGCAGCATGTTTGAGATGTCTAAGAATTGGGACAGCCTTCTGTCGGGAGAGCATATTGTGACGTAAAATGCTGTCTGTGTAGAGCTCACTAGGTTTTGAGACACACCCAGTAATATTTCAGAAAACAGTTCAGAATGTTTTACAGCTTCCTGTCCAGTCAGTACTCAGGCAGCATAGAGTCATTAACTTTATTAATAGATACTTTAATAAAGGTGCAGTGTGTAAGACTTAGTGGCATCTAGTGGTGAGGTTGCACATTGCACCCAGCTGAATCCTCCTCCCTCATCCCTCCCTTTCCAAGCGTGTTGTAGAACCTACGGTGGCCGTCAGGTTTTCTGACGACGTCTGTCCTGATTTCGTTTTCCTTCATGTTTTCTCTTCTTTGATGGTGACGATTCACCCTCCCTCCCTTTTTTGTGTTAAATAATATGTTTGATCCTCCATTTGCCAAAATTTGGGTTCTCAAGCTTTTCATAGCACGAAAAGGTCAGCAGCACCAGCAGCATCTACTGATTCTTCTTGTTTCTACACTCTTAAAAAATTATGGTTCTTCAAGGATTCTTTAGTAAAGCACAGGCTTTTCTATAGAACCTTTTTGAAAAGGGTTCTGTATAGCACCCAAAACAATAGAACCCTTTTGGGTGCCATATAGAACCTTTGTCAGAAAGGCTCTATATAGAACAATCTACATGTCATTCTCCATCACTCTGAAAAATGCTTTAATCATGCAAAGGGTTCTTTGAGTGTTTGAGAGTTTTCTTCACTAAAGAACCCTTGAGGAACCATCTATTTTAAGTGTGTACGTCTTCCAACCGGAGCTACAGCGCCACCAAATTCAAGCTGCTGCTGCAGTGTAGGAGTGTGAAAGGCGCCCTCTAGAGTCAGTGTTTGGTTTGTCCGTTCTGAGCTGCTGTAGAAACATGGCGGTGGCAGCTTCTGTTGTAAGAGGAGCTGCTGCCTATGTAGATATGAAGGGCTCATTCTAAGATAACGAGAAGATAATGATTCATAATTACAGCTGATTATACAGTAATGAACACATGGTTCTGTGTATTACATACTATGTTCCATTTCTGATAATAGACCCCCCTAAATCTTACACACTGCACCTTTAATGCATAGGCTTATTAATTTGCATTATTAAAGCTTAATTGGCTCATTATCAGTTGTAATTTAAAAGATTCCTCAAGATTATTAATGGCAGCTTATTTTTTAATTGATGCTCAATAAACAACTTTATTAATGCATGGGTTCATTAACTCAGCGATTTAAAATAGGAAAATCCTAACTTACTCGGCTTATTCACTTCATTATGAACTTTAATACTGACTTAAATGGCTTACTGACTTTATTAATGCTGGCTTATTAGCTTTATTAACACGTAGACACGTGAATTCATTTATTTCTATATTTATTTATGTAAACTTCCTGAAACTGGTCGTCACCATGGAAACTCTGACACCTCCTTCTCCTCCACAGACGCGTAAGATCTTGGCGGCGTGTGAGAAGACGCTGACCGACGCCCACCAGCTGAACTACGACCCCCATAACCCCTTTGACCTCTGCGCAGCCTCTTTCACCCCGCTGTACCGCGGACGGCCCGTGGAGAAGTGCCCGCTGTCCGGCGCCTGTTACTGCCCCACGTACAAAGGCCAGGTCTGCAGGGTCACACAGGTCAGTAGTCGCCAGGAGGGCGGGGCTTATCTGGAGTCACTGTTATCTTTAAACACGGACTCACAGGTGTCCTGAGTGGTGCGGCGGTTTAAGCCATAAACCGCAGCTCTGCACTGCCCTCTGGTGGAGTACAGAGTTAAGACACCATATTAGACTGTGTAAAATCAGAGACGAGCTCATTTGCATATAGAAAAACCTAACCTCATGCTAAGCTTCTCGCTTGGTGGCATCGTGTAATAGAGGGTTAGCCAGCTAGCCGGGGGCGGGAACAGGACACGAATAAATCCATCACATAGCTGAAAACAGGAGCCACAGTCACCATGAAGTGACAGATGGTCAGAGATGAACTCAATGAATGAATGATGAATCTTCAAACAGCCAATCAGAGAGCTGGAAGAGCGGAGAGAAAGGAGAAGAGACGAGCCTGAACAGCTGAGACAGAGGAGCTGAGTATGAACACAGGCAGATAAGAGCCGATATCACTTTATAATGTTTATAATGATCCAGATCAGGTCACTGTCTTTACAGTTTCAGCTCAGCTGCCAGTGTGCAGTGAAATATTTCTCCAGCTCTCACTGCGATATCAGTGTTCATCACCACAGATTCATCCCCAGTTTATTACACACAAAAGCACAAACAGGCCCAGTGAGTTCAGCTCTGTGTGTCGTGTGATCTGAGGAATTCTGGGAGTTTGAGTTCTTACTCGTAGCCTAAACACAGAGATTATTCTCTCTTTGCTATGTCGTCCAGTCTGAGCGCCTCACAACAAAAAGACGAGAAGACTGATGTTCAGTGTGTGATTCTCTCCGTTTAGAAATCTGTTAAGATATTAAGTCGTGTAGTGACGCCCAGCTTTAATGTTCTTGTCTGAAATGTCTCTCGTTGAATCCCTTTATATTTTAATTGTAATTTTTATCCGTCTCCCAGGTAACGGAGATCGGTAAGGAGGTGATTGGTCTGCGGATCAGCTCCCTGCAGTTCCGCTGAAGAGCCGAGGATCTCCAACTTCATCACATCGCTTTCCTATACAGACAACTACAGCCCATAAAGCGTAGAGTGAATAGAAATAAACTGTTCTTTGTGTTTCTGTTATTGTTCTTGTGCTGAATCACTGACGCTCTGCGCTGCTCTCAGCATAATATTCACGCAGTGCTTTATATTTCATATTCTGTCCTGTTTAACTCCTGAAATACTGAAATAAAGGTCCTGAAACGATGTGTACTGGTTCAGTTTCATCTGTGCTCGGCCGTGTAGAGAACAGAAGCTTGTTAAGAGTATTTTTATAGAAAGTTTATGGTTCTGACTGAATTACTTTAATGCCACTAAATATGAAAAATTCTCATTCAGTTCAAAGTTTCAGTTCATTAGCGAATTACGCTTGTTACAAAATCTGGATCGCTGATCAGGCAAGTTTTAACACCCCAAGTTCCACGTTTTTTGATTTTCTGAGTGTGAATAAGTTAACACATCCTCTACAGACACAGAACTGCACATTTAATATACAACTAATGTTTGTTTTACATACTGAGGCAGAAAAATATATTTATAAAACTTGAAATATGGCCTGTGCAGAAGTTATGGCACATTATATAGGTCTTGTTTTTTTTTGTTTTTTTTTTCACTTTTGATAAACAAAACATATTTTGACCAGGAACGTTTGCACACCGTTGTGCGCATTGGCGCTTATAAAATTCTTAAATTCTGCCTGCTGCCCGTTTTGTTTCATCTGTAGTCCCACTTTCAGCTCGTACACAAATACAGATTATCTCATCTGAAATTAGAGAATTTATCCATCCGGTTCTCTTCAGATTTACTACTGTCTTCTTTCTTGAGCTCAGTTTCACCCCAGTAATTTAAACCATAATTAAAGTTCATGTGTCAGATACTCTTCAGCCGTTAATCTGCAGACACTAAACGCTGAATGGGGTCAGACTGTTAAAGCTGTGTTAAGCAGTGTGAAGATATTTTATAGTGATGTGAGGGCAGAAGGTGCTGGATCACTAACCAGCCTGCAGTCCTCAGTACAGCCACATGGTGTCGCTGTACTGCACAGTGATTACGAGAGATCCGGCCTGCAGGCCTGCACACACTCAGACTCACATGAGGGCAGTTAGTGCTGTGACTTATTCTCATCTCACAAACTCCTGATTTCAGTTTAGTTAATGAGCTGATAATGAGGTAATAAACAGAGGTCTGTCTGTCTGTCTGTCTGCCTGCCTGTCTGTCTGTGTTACTGTAGTAAATATACCAGTGAAGATCTGCACAGTGAGTGTGTTGAACAGTAAAAACACTAGAACTTTACAGTAAACATACATAAGTAATCAGAATATGTGTGAAGTTATATCGTCACCGTCCAAAGAAAGACAAGCGTCTCAAACACGGACACTTTCTGGGAGAAGGTGAAAACGTTCTTTACTGTCAGTTTAAGTTCATGAAAAGAAGTTTTATCTGAAGCAGTTTTGCAGCATTTCTTTCAGTCCAGTCATCATGAAATTTTCACACAATGTAAAGAACAGTAGCTGAACTTAAAATGTGCAGAAAAATAAAAATAGCAAAAGTGGGAATGCTTGTTTTTTAAGGACAGTGATGATCTGCAGCTTCCTGACCTTCACACGGGTTTGTTCAGTTTAGTCTGATTTGATTTATTAGTAAAGTATTGATTAGATAAGGAGGGTGTTTGATGGTAACAGTAAATACTGGACAGTCCATTCCTCACAGATCACCTTCTCCTCAGAACTGACCCACTTCATGTTATTTTTCACACACGTGAAAATATGTCACGTTGACGTGTTCACAACTGAGTTTGGACATTTCTGGTCAGAACCGCACGCCGAGCTCTGATAATCACGGTTCATCACTGAGCTCCTGTTTATTCGTGTTTATTCTGGTGTGGGTTCATTAATTCAAGTTCAGCATTAATTCTTTAGGAAACGATTCAGTGAATCTCAGAATTCTCTGCAGGAGAGATTTGGGAAATGGGGGCGGGGTTAAGACAACACACTCACACAGAACACCCACAGTGGGTTGTTTGTTTATGTTTATTGTGACGTTAGTGTTTTTATCAACAAATAAATGTTTATCGCCCAAATAAACAGCATCATTGTTTTTTCAGAGGGACTAAGACTTTTACACAGCGCTGTATTTACACTCCTATTAATAAAGGCGCGCTGCCAACCTCACAATACACACAGCCAACGTCTGTGAAAAAGTCTTGGTGCCCCTGGTCTAATTCCATGTTGCTGATTTTCTGGGTGTGAATAAGTTAGTACACCCTCTACCGTGAACACACGCTGATTGTAGAGCATGATTTCTGTTTATTTGCATATTTGGGTAAAAAATAAAGTATAAACTTTTGCACCGGCCACATTTGATGTTTTTTTTTTTCCCAATATGTTAAACTCAGTAAATAAACAGTAATTCTGTATTAAAATATGCATGTGTCTCTGCAGAGAACAGAACAGGGAGGCGTTTCACAAAGCAGGATTTCACACTTAGCCAGATAACTTAAGTCCAGAGTCAAGCCTGTCCAATAGGAAAAGAGCTAAGGGACATTCCTATTGGACAGTCCTCATCTTTGGGCTTAAGTGATCTGGCTAACTGAGAAATCCTGCTTTGTGAAACACCCCCAGAGGTGTTCAAACTTTTGCACAATCAGTAGCAAGATGATGTTTTTCACTGTGTAGTGTAAAAGTGTATGACACTGTAGAAGATATAAGGCGTGTAGTCCGCAGAGTGCTAACTGGTGGGCTATAGGGGTCCATTGTTAGCTACATTAGTCTCAGATCTCAAACTGTGGACATCAAATTTGGGGAAACTGTTGAACTGTCACATCAAAGATTATATAAAAAAGTATTTTCTCTGTGAAATTTTTGGACTAATATTTTTATTTGTGCAGAATCAGTAAAACGGAGAGCCGGGCTCATTCTGTAGTTTACAGCGCCGCTGGGGTCCGAGCTGAAGCTCCATCAGCTCCTGAGTGGAGTTTTAATGGATGATGTCAGATGAGCTTCCTGAGGGTCTCGAGTCTCAGAGGAGTTTGTCGCAGCCCTGCTGCCTGCTGGCCACCATGCGGCTCACGTCGATGTTGTTTTTGGTGAAAACCTCTTTGCCATGGTTGATGGTGGACTCGGGCAGAGAGCGGCTGCGGCCCAGGATCCAGGCGAAGTCCACGTGGAAGAGCCTCAGGACGTCGGTGCAGGAGTAGACCAGCGCAGAGTTGACGTAGTCGGTGGAGATGATCCAGTACGGCGAGTACGGCAGAACTGAAACAGCACAGAGAACAGCGTCAGTACGGTGAGGAAGCTGGAAGTGGATTTGGAGACCCCTCTGGTGGAAATGTGTAACTGCACAAAGAACATTGTGTAACGTTGTGTGTGTCTTCTGAGGATGTGAGTGAATCATCTACTACACATCTTCATCGGTATAATGTGAGTTACTGTGATTTTTTCAGGGGAAGGATGTTCTCAGACACGTCAGGAAGTGGAGTCAAACCCCTGTGGTAAAATCACTGTAACGCACGGCCTCAAGTGGCTTATTGCTTAAAAGCGGCGGCCATCGTAAAATACAATAAAACGCACAATTTTTCAGAAAATAATTTATTATCAATAATGATCGACATAAACAAGTATTCCGCCAAGAAATGTAGTTCCTTTAGAGTGCGGTATCGTTGCCGAGCAACCACTGACCACCGAATGAGGAGAACGTTTAGTTGCCCATCGCTGTTCACTGCAGTCATTAACTTTTTGTCATACAACAATGAACATATGATAACGCAGCACAGTTTAATGCAGAATTTCACTTCATAAGTACTTTTTGGTCACCAGATCACCATCATGAGTCTTATTTAGCACCAAGCTAACAGCACCTCTTCTCACACTGGGGCTGAATCTCAAACGGCTCCCTGCTCCCTACATAGTGCACTACGTAGGAGTTTAAATACTGGATCCTGCAGCCCAACAGTGAATAATACAGCTAAGAAACAGTGATTTGGGACTCAGACTCATCCACACTCGATAAACGATGCACTGTTTGTCTGTAGAGGCTGGAATCTCTAAACTTTCACAGCTAAGTTAGCACCTAACTCATTTAGGGAGTAAGGAGCCGTTTGGGATTCAGCCTGGGTTTGACTGGGTTTAATTCAAGCCTGTGATATTAATGATGGAGTTGGTTAGCCTGTTAGCTCTCTGTTAGCCTGTTAGCTATCTCACCAGCCTGGTTCTAGTTAAGAAAATAAGTTGTCAGCTCCTCAGTTTAAACAGAACCGGGTTCTTACTTCATCAGTACACTCAGTGCTCCATGTGAGCAGCATTAGAGTCAATTAACAGCAGAAGGGTTTTTCGTGCCGTGGCGCAGTGATACAGAGGTCAGTTGCTGTGAGGCGGTCAGAGATGTGGTATATCGTAGATTTTACAAAGGCTTCAAACGTGGTTTAGCCAATCAGATTTATAATGTTGATTATTGATCAATTAAGGTCTAAACATCGACCCGGACCTTCTTTTTGAGCCTGTGTGTTCCTTACTGCTGTGTGGACTGACCGCTGTGTGGACTGACCGCTGTGTGGACTGACCACTGCCGCTAATCAATAATTTCATTACTCTGAATCAGATTAGCCGCATGTGATGACGGGGTTGAGCACAGAGCTCCTCTGTTCCTGACGTTCCGTGTGGTTCTCACCGTATGAAAAGCTGATGCCGAGTTTAGCCGGGTTCTTTTTGTCCTCCACCACTGCCGTCCCCTCGATCGTCCTCACCTCCCCTTTACTGTAGCGATAGAGAGGAAACAGCAGCTTTAGTCACACAGACTGATAGAAGACTGGACTTTACAGGCTTCCTCAGTTTCAGCACCAGAGCTGCTGTCTGATCCACTCACACCAGCGCAGCGTTAGTGCGAATGCTAATGAGCTTCCGTTACTTGTTAGCTACATTAGCCTCGTAGCTTCAGTGTTAAAAAGGCTGATGGTCCACATGGGGCTTAAGGTGAAGGGAAACTCTCTGTTCTCTAACACTCACAGGATCTCAGAGCTCAGGACGCGAGCGGTTCCGTCAAACTGTAAAGTGAAGTTGGTCTCGATGCAGCGTCCTCTCTCAAACTGAGCCGGCAGTTTAGCGATCTCGAACCACCGGCCCATAAACTGTAAACACACAATCCACAAACATATACACTTCAGTACATCAACACACAACTTACACATTAGTTTCACAGCAGATACTGAATAATACATAATACATACTGAACAATTCAGAGTAGTTACTGAATAATTCAGAGTAGTAAACTGTACCAGTTTGAAGTTGAAGGCCGGTTGGGTGACGGGTTCGGGACAGGGACCCCAGTGGGGCACCTGAGCGTTAATCAGGGGCCACAGGAGGGGCAAAATAACCACCAAACACACCTGCATCTTATCCACACCTGGAGCAATCAGATCATCACAACAACAGTCAGTTACAAATTATTATTATTTATAAAAATCTCACTTATGTTTTCCTTTTAAATAAAATAATTACATTTTTATCTCATTGAGGTTTCTCCCTATAAAATATACATTATATAAAATAAAACAAGATAAAGATTTTTTTTCATCTCACCTTTTTTGCTTAAACTATGGTTAATAATTGGCAAATAAATAATTAAATAAATAGATACGAATAAACATAAAATACAAATGTCAATATCAGAAATGTATAAAATTAAATAAAATTTTAACTTCTAAAATAAAATTTAAAAATATTTTTTTATCTTAATAAGTCTTTCCAAGTTAAATAATGGTTCACATGAATGACAAATAAGGAACTAAGTAAATACTAAATAAACGAATTCAGTTTTTTAATGTCCTGCTTAAATAATTAAATAATGAAGTATCAGTTTTATTACAAAGCCAAGGAATCAATCAAACTAAAACTGAGACAGAGGATGATGGTATAAAATGACGGACATTAAAAGCTCCATCAGAAAGTGAGTCTGTTTACCTGCAGTCCTGCTGTGGCCGATGTCTGCAGTCGGAGGGTTCCAGGCTGTGTGAGTCGTTCTCCTCCAGCGGTCAGCAGAACAGCAGGACGTCCTGAACGGGACGCTTTGTCTGGACTGAGTTTATTCCTGACCTGATGTTAGAAATTAGACTGATTAAAGTCACGAGGGGAGAAGATTCCAGACGTTCCCAGCACTGCGCTCTGCTCCTCCTCTCTGCTCCTCCGCTCTGCCCCTCCTCTCTGCTCCTCCTCTCTGCTCCTCCTTTCTGCTCTTCCGCTCTGCTCCTCCTCTCTGCTCCTCCACTCTGCCCCTCCTCTCTGTTCCTCCTCTCTGCTCTTCCGCTCTGCTCCTCCTCTCTGCTCCTCCTCTCTGCCCCTCCTCTCTGCTCTTCCGCTCTGCTCCTCCTCTCTGCGCCTCCTCTCTGCTCCTCCGATCTGCTCCTCCTATCTGCTCCTCCACTCTGCTCCTCCACTCTGCTCCTCCTCTCTGCCCCTCCTCTCTGCTCCTCCTCTCTGCTCTTCCGCTCTGCTCCTCCTCTCTGCGCCTCCTCTCTGCTCCTCCGATCTGCTCCTCCTATCTGCTCCTCCACTCTGCTCCTCCACTCTGCTCCTCCTCTCCACAGACAGCGGTTACTCTTTATACTGTTTGGGAGGATCTGTTAGCTTCTCACTGGGTCGCTATAGCCCTTAAAGAGCATTTAGAGCCCAGTCTGAAACACTTCAGTGTGAATGGGCGGGGCTAACCTGCTGTAGGCTTGGTGGACGGGGCTAACCTGCTGTAGGCGGAGTGGGCGGGGCTAACATGCTGCAGACCGGGTGGGCGGGGCTAACATGCTGTAGGGTGAGTGGGCGGGGCTAACCTGCTGTAGGCTGGGCGGGCGGGGTTAACCTACTGTACACTGAATGGGCAGGGATAACCTGCTGTAGGGTGAATAGGTGTCGTCCGTGTAAAAGAAAATGGGACTTATGAGACCAGGTGATCTTCCAATGCTCCAAGGTCCAGTTCTGATGCTGGTGTGCCCATTATAGGAGCTTTCAACGGTGGACAGGTCAGCATGGACACTCCGAGCCCAGTTTTGGTCCTGAAGATCTACCACCCTTAAGAGCTCAGCTGCAGCCTGACCCAGCTCACCTGATGTCTGAGTATCAGAGCCAGGTGTGCTGACCTGAGCTGTCCAGGGTGGAGATGTCCAGCTCCAGGACTGAGCAGCTCTGCTCTAAACTGACCCACAGTGGGTAGATTTCACAATCACGTTCACGTGGCAACAAACAGGAAGTGACCTGGGTGCTGCTGGGTGGAGGAACAGATTTGGGAGCTGAGCGCTGATGGGTTGGAATCTGTGTCCTGACGCTGTGTGGCCTTTGGAGGGCAGCAGTGAGTAGTGTTTATTTATTGATGTTGGCATTGAGGAGCTTCTGTATCAACAGTTTCAGCCAGTCTGCCCCCTACAGGCTGCACACAGTCAACACAAGGACATTTATTAATCACAAGTACTAATATGGCAGTTAATTCTCCGATAAAACCCGGTGATCATGACAGGCCTACTTGCTGCCGGAGCGGTTTGTCCGTCCTCAGTCCACTGTGGATGTTGTGATTGACCACTGCTTTTTGCGATTGGATGGATTGTAAGTGTATTTATTGTAATTGATTGCAATTGTGATTGT